ATTTTAATACTATTTATTAAATTTAATTAAATAAAAAAATAAAACTTATATACTACTTCTAGTATATTTACTATTAGATTATAAATAAAAAGTTATTTATTTAATTATTATACTATAAGTAGTCTAACTTCTTATATACTAAATAGTAGTAATAATCCTATAAAGTACTTTACTTAAAGGACTTTAGTTATATAATAATCCTTTTTATATTTTTATAAATATAGAATTATTATTACCTCTTTATAGAGAGTTTAGTAGTAGCTTACTATTATATAGGTGCTTATATATACTTAATATATATAATATAGGGGCTCTAATAGGTGCCCTAATAGGACCCTAATAAAGAGATAAGGAGGTTATAATAAAGTGGCTACTATATATAAGGAGGGAGTCCCCCCCCCCCTATTAGCTTTATACTTTAGACTACTAGACTATTAGTCTAGTTAGACTATAGTTTAAACTCTTATAACTATAAGGTTAATAATAATAGTATTTATATATAAATAGACTTTTACTTAGGTTAAAAAGTTTTAAATATTTTTTTTAGTCCTATTAAATAAGTTAAGTTTAAAGAACTTTAGTAAAGTAAAAGTACTATTATTAGTATTCTTTATAGTCTAAATTTAAATAGTAAGTATATTAATCTACTATTTTATTTATACTATAGTATTATTTAGGTTAGTTATTATACTATTAGTAGTAAATATTATAAAGGTTAATTATTTATAATTTTAAAAGTAACTTATTAAATAAGACTAATTAAAATCTAATAGTAGTTTAATCCTAATTTATAGTTAATCTACTTTTTAAATAAAGAGTTAGTTTAAATATATAAAGTATATATAAGTAGTTATTATAGTATAAGTTATATTAAAAGATACTCTCTTAATAGTAGAGTTATTATTTAGATTAACTAGTAGAGATCTAGTCTAGTTATCTACTAGAAATCCCCTTCTTTATATATTTATTCTATCCTCTACTATATTCCTAGGATCACTCTAGATTACTAGTAATCTTTATAATCCTAATGCCTATAGGATTACTACTAGCTCACTAGAATCCTTAGTGATCTAGTCACGTGACCTTATATTCTAATTAGGCGACTTATAGGTTCCTACCTAGTCGCTTCCTTAGGCCGCCTCCTAGCTGCCTTATGTATATTCTTAGTTTATAATATAGAGGTTAGAATAAATATATAAAAAAAGAGACTTCTAGTAGATAATTAGACTAGATCTCTACTAATTAATCTAAATAATAATTCTACTATTAGGAGATATCTTTTAAATATAACTTATATTATAATAATAGTACTCTATATATATTAAACTAACTCTCTTCTTTAGAAATAGACTAACTATAAATTTAGATTAAACTATTATTATATTATAGGAACTTTATAAGGAGATAGTAAGAGAGTTTTAGTAGATTATATATAGTAAGTAGTATAGTCTATTATTTTAACCTTCCTAATAGATTCTTTATTTATTCTAAATAATAGTAATTAATCTATTAAAGAATATAGTTAGTAGAAAGAAAGTAGAAAGAGAGATAGTAAGAAGATTATAATAATATAGTTAGAAAATAGTAGATAGTTTATAATTATAATTATATTACTCACTAAAGGAGAGAAGTCCCCCCTAGTGGCTATTTACTATATTCTCACCTTTATATGGCTGCTCTTTCGTACGTAACTAATAATAGATCGTGATAGAAGGTCGACCACGCGGATGCAGCGGCGTTCTAGAGGGCGTTGGGCCCGCTGTCGGCCGCCGTCGAGGCGGAGATGCAGAGCCGGGCGGACGAGAAGGTGGACGAGACGGAGAGGAACAGACAGCTGCTGTTTAGCGAGGATGCGGCCCGGAAGTTCGCAGAGGTCATGGAGGGAGATGCCGGCCCGCCGGAGCCTTAGTATTACAAGGGAGTTAATCTGGGCCATGGATGGAATTAAGTGGGATTAAAGTAAATAGATAAAAATGTGAAACAAATCCTCCCAGTAAGGAATGACGCGTGGTATTATGCCATCATGTACTCATGTACCTGACCAGCATCCCCAAACACGGCTGGATATATCCTCCGACTGCCCTTGTTACGAGGCCCCTTGGATGGGCTGAGCACTTTCTCGTAGAGCCTTCTTGTACACCATCGGACCCTGCGCCTCGTTTACGGCTTTTTCGTACGGAGAAAGACAATCGACGGCAGCGGCACACTGCTCACAGACGCGTCCACGTCAAACACCGTCTCCGGGCCGTCCTGCTCAAAGCCGAGTTTCATGTACACCCGTCTCCCCATCACCGACGCCTCGGTGACCGCCTCTAGGTCGCCCCTCTCCCTCGCCTCGCGCAGCCCCCATCTTACCAGCTCCGCGCCGATGCCGCGGCCCTGGTACCTCGGGTCCACCGCGCAAATGTCCAGCACCATGAGCGCCGGCTGCTCCTCCGCCGCCTTGGCCCTCACGGTCGCCCAGCGTTGCCGGTGCATGGCGCGCATGACGGCCGCCCAGTGCCGCTGCTGCGCCGGGTCGTCCGGGTACAGTTCCTGGATGCTTAAGTCGGCGCCCTCGTCGGCGGTCGGCGGGTCGCCGTGGCCGGGCACGACGGACGCCTGCTCCCACACGGCCATGCCGGCGACGGCGCGGAGACCGGGCGCGGCGGGGTCGGCGACGGTGGCAAGCAGGAAGACGGTGTTGGGCTTGCCGTCACGGTTGGTGGTGGCGTTGGTGAAGCGCGCGGCGAGGCGGGCGGCGCCCTTTTGCTTGCCGGCGGGCGTGTCCCAGCCCGGGTTGGTGCCGATGAAGACGCCGTCGCGGGTCTGGTGCCCGAAGGCGTGGCACATGGGCTCAAAGGCTTGGGCGACCTCGTCGGCCGTCCCGGCGACTTGTATTTGAAAGTCGAGATGGTCTTTTGTGGTGGACATTTTGATTTTGTAGAATGTGATGCTTTTGGGTGCTTAGATGGACCTCAATATGGAATACGTGGACGGTGATTTATACATAGCTCGACCGCCGTGGAGCTGCGAGCGCAGCGACGTATCGTGCTGAATCCATATCCGTACATGTTGCTCGTATGGCCGGCATTAAGGCAGGGATTTGCTTCGCCACCGACGCCCTCTCTTCCCGGCCAGAGAACTCAACAAACTTGACGATGATGACTCTTTCTTTGGTGGATACGTTCGGCGAGCCATGTCCGTGCTAGCGTTGGGGATGCCGAGACCTGAGCAAGTGTTTGGCAAGGCGTGGACAACCCACAGAGTTACAGCCAAGCACTGCCAAGTCTAATATGATACTGGCAACTCATTCGTACTGTCACAGCCACCATCCCGCGGAACCCTCCCCGAGCCATGACGGGTGAAAGATACGCTGCGCAGGTGCTCGTGGTGTAGATGGACATGGCAAGACACTGGCACGGTCAGTCTGACAAGAAATTTTGCTTTCTAGGCAGAATTCTGAACTCTGTCAACTACCATTTTTATTTCTTTTTTATGCTTTTTTCCTTTTCGGGGAACTGAGACTGGGTGGGCGAAAGTTACCATAGGCGCACGGCCTACTGCATATAACCAGCGCAGGATTATATAGGAAAGTGTTCACTGTGATCGCTGCTCTGAACGAACAACAATACTAACTTTGAACTAAATATATGGATCTTAGCATGTACACTATTTATTGAGGAGCAACAATGACAAATTCTGGTAAGATAAAAGCGGACGGACTTTGGTGAGGATTCGGGTAAGTGACGAAGGCCGATACCCGATACCCGCGGTGGTTGGGGCGCTGCTCACACCAAGCACCGAAAAGGAGACCTGACTAGCCACAACAATTTGTTGCAACTTGGTTGAGTAAAAGAATCAAAGAAGGATGGGTATCCTAGTGTTACGGAATACGAGGATAATGTGGTGAAATGCCACACTAGGTTTTTCGCGGCCACGTGTCTTACAAGCCAGCGTAGCAAGGACCAAAGATGCGCAATGACGCTTGGGCATAAAAAAGGTACCAAGAATGGCACCGGATATCTTTCTCGCTCAATCTCGCTCAATCTACCCACCGCCAACGATGTTTCGGCCGCAGCGCCATGCTATCCCAATCGCAACGTGACCAATAGTGCTGGATGACCGACCGGCCTTGCTCAAACGACAACCAGCGCGCTATCTATATACAACCCATGCCATGGCCATCCAACAGTAGAGTTATAGTGTAGTAGAGTAAAGTATAGTACCAGCCGTGATATAAATATAGCTATTAATTGCGCAGCGCCTTGCTGCTTGCGTTTCGCTGTCCTTTTGCGCCCTCAGCCCCAGAGGCGTCCTCCAGCTCCTTGCCGGCCAGCATGCTCGACATGACGAACCACATGGGCGGCCCAGCCGCCGTGCGGCGATCCCCGGCGAGCGTGCGGAGGTCGACCGGCGCCCGTACCGGCTCCGGCTTCGGTTTCGATGGTGCCGGCTCTTCCGGTGCCGGTTTCGCTGGCGCCGGCTCTTCCGGTTCCGGCTTTTCTGGTGCCGGTTTCGATGGTGCCGGTCTTCTCAATTTTGTCAGATCTCGTTAGCGCGCGCCAGGCCAAATAGAACAACGTACCACGCGACTCTTGTGCTCACTCTTCTTCTTCCGGAGGCGCCGGGATGAAGGCTGCCTTGGCCAGCGCAATCTTGCCCACGATGCCGCCGGCGACGGTCGTCCCGTCGACGCTCTCCTTGGTTTTCTGGGACACCTTGGCGTAGTTTGCCAGCTGTATGTCATTTTTGCTGTATCCCGTCAGTGACTCGTTCCATCTTCGGCGGGTGAGCGAAACTTACGGGTTGATGACCATGACCTGGCCGGTCTGGCAGTGCGGCCCCGTCGCGCAGTACAGGAACATGGCCTCAGCCGAGTTCACCACCATGTTGAATGTGCCGACCTCCTCCTGGCCGTCCTGGAAGGGTATGTGCCCGCTGTGGATGGCGGTCGGGTCCGAGGCCTGCATCGGCGCGCACCCTTCCGTCTCCTTGCTCTGCGTCACCGTGTGGTTGCCGTTGCTGAACTGGAACTGCACGATGTCGCCCACGTTGGCGCGCACCAGGTTGGGCACGAACAGGTCCTGCGGCCCGCCGACTACCACGGGGATCAGCACGTTGCCCGTCGTGCTGTTGGAGACGACATTTCTGCGGACTGTTCTCATCTTGATCAGCTTTTGTCACAGGAAGTTGTTGGCTGGGTAAACCATCCTCACTTCTGATGCCTCTTCTGTAATGATGAGCTGCTCTGGCGACGGCCGGGTCAGGAAGGACGCCAATCGCCACTGCTGAGGCGTATACCAGGTTGGAAATCTTCATCAGTCCTGCCGATGATTCCTTTTTTGGGTTGCTGATGATCTGATCAACAGCAAGATGGGATGATTCTTTCTCAATCAGGTGTGTTGTTGCATTTAGTATCGGCTCATCTTAGCCGTGCAGCATAGTCAGGGCCCGTATCAAGGAGACCTGGCTATATATGTTATCCGGGCTGACATCTTTTCGTCTGGTGAATGGCCTGATTAAATGCTTGACTATTATGCAATTTCCGCTACTGAAACCCAAATTTAACTACAAGACACTAGAAAAACCTTGTTATTGAGGCATTTAGAGTTTTGTGCTAAAGTATTTCGTTGCGAAACCAGTTTCGGAATTCGCCCCCATGTGTCACATCTTCTGCAAGTGGCGTCTTTTTATTTTCCGCGCTTCATCTAAGCGGGCGGGCGGCTATGGCAGCCTATAGGTGAGTTGCGGCTAAAACTCGATTTGCATTCTTATCTTAAGTTTTACGCTCCAAGTACACACTAAGAGCGTACGTAAAGGGTACTTAATACAGTTATAGTTAGAAGGTTGACCAGCTAAGTAAGGAGTCGATCTTTTTTCAACCACAAGGTAGCTAGCTAGCCAACCAGTCAGCCAGCTAGTTAACCAGCTAGTCAGCGAGAAGGTCAACCAGCCAGCCAGTTAACTCGAAGGTTAACCAGCCAGTCAACTAGAAGGTCAACTAGGAGGTTAACTAACTAGTCAATGAGCCAGCAAGTCAACCAGAAGGTCAACCAGCCAGCCAGTCAACCAGAAGGTCAGCCAACCAGTCGTCAGCCAGCCAGTCAACCAGAAGGTCAACCAACCCGTCAGTCGGCCAGCTAGATAGTCAGAAGGTTAACTAATAAGGTAGGTAAAGAGGGTACATAGCTCAGGGGGTATAGAGGTACCCACTTAAAATCCCTTATAGAAATATTATATAACTAAAATAGATAAGATCACCTTTACAAGAATGAAAATCGCCTCTAACCCCACATGAGGGGTGAAATGAGTTTGGGCCGCAACTCACCTATAGGCTGCCATAGTCGGCGGGGATAACCATAGGGATAACTCTACAGTCACCTTACAATCGCGGGCAACCCCCCGGTTGATCTATCACCACACATCAGCCGAGTCATGGTTGCCGCATAAGCTGGGTGTCCTTGCGGCGGCACCGAAGGTTTTTGTCTCAACACCTGTTTTGGGTTGTCCTCGTAAAAACACCAGACTAGCGAATATCACCAGTCAGGCAACAAGAACTGCCCCTGAGCACCGGAACGAACTCGATTTTCACCACACGGAACAGGATTCCGACAGCAACGTGGCGCAACGAGGCGCCGTTGTTGATTATAAACCCTGTATGGCATCACAACCCCCCCCCCGTTTCACTCTCGTAGGTGTACGAGCTGTTTCGAGTGATTGGTGATTGCCATGATCCTCTGACCTTGCGTGTCGTTTCAAGATTGGCGCAACAACATGCTTGCGTCGCTCCCAAAAAGAATCCTGTCCGGCGGTCCCAGTCCCCCTGCTCTCTCCTTCCCGCGGATTTTCATATGGGATGGAAGGTGGTTTCGAAGGTGATGGGCAGCGCTCCCTTATTACCGAATACCGAAGGTGCAACCCGACATGCCAAGACCGACTTGTCTCGCTACGTCATAAGGAAGGTTTTGACAGGAAACACGCGGCGGATCATCCACATACATGGTACCATCACGGTTGTTTCTCGTTCGGCTGAGGTGGCGTAACCAACCGACCATCCAAAGTAACCTAAAGTGAATGTAGCGGCATCGTCGTTGGCGCCATCATGGGGAAGTCCATGCGGGTAAATGTACCGCGATTTTATACAGAGCACCAACCCATAGAACATCTCAAGTATGGAGAGGATACATGAGTAGCGACATAATATCGCTGGCGAATTTTCACGGCGATGCCACATGCGAGTCGCCCTCCACAGGCGGGTAGCCAGTGCGCTGGGCGATGGATGGGCGGACAGACAGCGCACAGACTTAGGCCAGATGTCCTGTGGCATGGCAGTGCCGGCCGAAATGGGCCGAAAAGAGTCGGTAAACTAATGTTAGCATATATCATTGTCCTGTTACTGGCAGGGCTGCTTCAAGCGTCCGGCTGCGAAACCCGGCGAAGCTATGCACTACACCCGAGTCCCACCCGCGATGCATTGTGTTGCAACAACAGAGAAAAAGAGTATACTGAAAGGGTGGACTTTCATGGAGCTTTGTCTGAGTCGGCAACAGTGTCTATCGACGCCTCGTATGTATATATATACGCTTGTTGCTTCTCTCATCATTAAACATGACAGAATTGTGTTGACATTCGCAGGCGTCTTTGGCTTTCTCATCCTCTTCCGTTCCTGGTGGCACCATCCCAAGATCCTGGAGATCAATCACTTTCATTCTACCTCTACTTATTATTAAAACATCATCTTTTCTTCCTATTCTTTCTTCTTCCTTCATCATGATGCGCTGGACGGCATCCCTTCTAACGGCTGCGCCGCTCTTTACTCTGGGCTCCGGCCACGCCGTCATTCTTAATGCTCAAGGTGTCCAAGGATCTCCCCCTAGTGTTGGCTTCCAAGGTAAACATTGTCGATTCCTTTCTTCTTCTTTTTTTCCAAATCCTCTTTTTCTAAAACATTTCGTCAGTCGACCCCGCCGTTGCCCGCAACTGCATTACCATCAACCCCTGCCAACAAGACACGACCATCATCCGCGACGCGGAGATTGTGGCCAATGTCGCAAACCAGTGCGGTCGGACAGAGCTCACAGGAAACATTGACGTCGGCGAGAACACGGAGAATGCCCTGGCAGCAGGCGCAGTCACCGAAGTCGAGGCTGGCAGTGAGATTGTCGTCACTCTCCACCAAGTCAACGCCGACGGCGCCGGCCCCTTCTTCTGCGACATTGATCAGACGAGTAACACGGGCCTCAACCTCCAGGTGTGTAACACTTGCCAGGGAGTCTTTGCTTGTCCAGGATGACTAACTGGATGCGCAGAACCTGACGGTCCTCGACAACGTGCCCGGTGTCAACGGCCTGTCGCAGGCCAAGGCGCAGGCCTTTGACATTCGCGTGCAGATGCCTCAGGACCTCAAGTGCACTGGTGGTGAGTTGCCTCCAAATATCATGCGAAGAGAGAGAGAAGACGAGCTAACAGGAATAAAGCTTCTACCGGAAACGTGTGCACCGTTCGCTGCCGCAACAACGCCGTGGCCGGCCCTTTTGGCGGCTGCTTCGCCGTGCAGCAGAAGAACACGGAGCCGACGGTCAACAGCCCCAACACCATCACCACCGCGCAGCAGCTGAAGCCCGTCCTGGACCAGGTGCAGGTGAACCAGAAGGACTTTCCCGTCGCCGTCCAGGCCAACCAGGAGGCCGGCTCCGACGAGGCCGCCCAGAACTTGAAGGCCGTAGAGGCGCTCCTGGGGTCCAAGGTCATCACCAAGCCGTCGCCGCAGGAGACGCCGAATGTCGACCTGGGTGGTGGCAACAGGCAGAACCAGGGCGACCGCAACAACCAGAACCAGGGCGACCGCAATAACCAGAACCAGGGCGACCGCAATAACCAGAACCAGGGCGACCGCAACAACCAGAACCAGGGTGGCCGCCAGAACCAGAACCAGGGTGGCCGCCAGAACCAGAACCAGGGCGACCGCGGTGGTCGAGGTGGAGCGGGAGGAGCGGGCGGAGCGGGCGGAGCGGGCGGAGCGGCCGGCGACCGGCCCGGTCAGTCTGGTCAACCTGGTCAACCTGGTCAACCTGGTCAACCTGGCAACAATTTTATTGGCGGTGATGGCGGCCGGGGTGGTCGTGGGAGTGCCAGCGGCCGAAAGAGACGCCTCCGTGTCTAGTCTGATTCACTCAGACTCAGTCACTGTGATAGCGAAGCGGGGGATTTAGGGTGTCTGGAAAGATTTCCATAGGCTTATTAGATGTAAATTTTCCGATGGTTGAAATACGTTGCGCTCTTTCCATCTGCCAAGCCAATGCTTGTGTTTCGTGTCTGTGTTTCGTCTCGTCGGCCCCTACCTGGTCACTCATTGACCGAATTAGTTTTTCCAAAGACTCGCGTAAATTGCAGCCGGTATTTGTAGTTGCTGCGAAACTCCAAACACACATCTACTTCCCCTTCTTGACGCGCTTGTTCTCCGCCGGTACCGGGGCCTTCTCTCCAGCGGTCTCAGAGCCCCCCGCGCGCCCGAACTCATAACGGAGCCAGAGGAGCGCGGTGGCTAAGGCGATTATGTTGGCAAACGCAAAGACGCTGAGCTCCGCCTCGGCCATCTCCTCCACCGTATACCCCACGCCGAAGAAGTCGTGGACGACCGCTTGAGGGAGCAGCGCCATGGCGACCCCGACAGCGTACAGCAGGATGAGGCTGGCCCTCTCGATGGAGATGACGGAGGCCCAGATGGTGTGCATGACAGCCCACCTGCGGTGGCGCGCAAAGTCCCTCGCCCGCGCTGTCGCAGCTGTCTTGTACATGGTAAGCCAGTAGAAGGGCACCACGAGCCAAGTGGTCACCTCGAACGTCGGCCACGGCACGGGCGACAGACCGTTGAGGTTGTGCAGGTGGAGCAGGTTCTCGTGGGAGTAGGCGTGCTTGGCGATGAAGAGCCAGGCCCCGGTGATGCTGAGGAGGAGGGAGATGGAGAGGAGGACGTAGCCGGCGGAGCGGTGCAGGGCGGGCCATTTCCTGCGGAGGCTGTCGACGTGTTGGAGGGGCATGCCGACGCTCCAGATGATGGCCGGGACGGCGTGCAGGCTGCGGTACGCCCACATCGGCGCCGTGCGTTGGCGGTAGGTGAAGAAGTGCTCGCCCGTCTGTGCTCTGTGTCAGTCGTGGCTGTATAGGCTGTTTGGGATTGGAGATGGAGGATTCGCCCTACCGGCATGCGACTGGTGGTAAAGACCCTCGCCTTCGGACCTCGCACTGGAAGCCGCTCAAAGAAGGCCAGAAGAGCTGCTGTTATCATGACCATGCACAATGGTACAATGATCTTTTGCGATATCCGGACCGGCCCCTTGACAGCCATTTTTTCCTGCTTCTTCTTTTCTTTTCTCCTTTTTGTCGATTCGGCGATGCTCGGACAATGTATCGTAGGTCTGAGAAAGAGCGATGCTCCTTCCTTATTTCAGTCAGCTGGGCACAGTACTGTAGTTACATATGGAGGTACCTTCCCCGCCCACGGGGATTGCTTTGTCGTCTTGTCCGCCCCAACCACTTATGCTCACGCTTTTATTGTTTTTGTTGGCTTAATATAGTCTCAAACCCCTCAGGTTCCTGATCTGCATGCACGGATGGCACCGAGAAAGAATTACAGAGGCTACAATTGGCTTGTGAAAGTCACTGAACCAAGCTTGCCCACCCGGCCCCGCCACTGTCCCGGCAGCCAGCAATAGCTGACTGGCACAGGCTTGTCAACGTTATCATGGGTCGGCTTGTTAATAACGCTATCCTAGGTCGCCTTGTCACGTTATCAAAGGCCGCTCAAACTAGTGGGATAAAGAAAAGGCTCAACAAAAGAAATGTGTTATTACAGCACTTTGAAACTGTCCGCTATTCCAGACAACGTCCCTACTCAACTTCACATTATGGAAGCCTACAAGTCATCGGTATACAAAATGCGCGAGTCGTATTAGCTAGTAATGCGCAGCCTACTAGAAAATGATGCCATTCAGGCAGTACAATTTACATCATCATCATCGTCGACTGTTTTGTATGGTAAGTACCCATCGGAAAAATTCAAATCTCGGGCAAAATTAGATACCTAGAGTCAGTTAGCATGTGTCTGTGTTCATCAAGCCCCCCACAAACCACCTACCAATCGCCTTAGCAAGAGCGAGACCAACACCCTTAGCGGAGGCCGGGTTCTGGCCCGTGATGATCTGCCCGTCTACCACCACCTTCTCGCCCCACGCCTTGTCCGCCTGATTCCACTTGGCGCCGACCGCCTTGAGCCGGTCCTCCAGCAGGAACGGCATCGCCTCTGCGAGCCCGACCTCCTTTTCTTCCTCGTTGGTGAAGCCGGTCACCTCGCGGCCCTGGAGGAGCGGCTTGCCGTCGGCGCCGTGCGCGTTGGCGAAGACGATCGGCCCGTGGCAGACGGCCGCGACGGGCTTGCCGGCCTGCACAAACTCCTCGATGAGCGCGATCGAGTGCTTGTCGTCGACGAGGTCGTACATGGGGCCGTGGCCGCCGGGGAAGAAGAGGCCGGCGAACTCGAAGGAGCGTCCGTTCAGGTCCTTGAGGAGCTCCGTGTGCTCCCACAGGTGGTTGTTCTTGAGGAAGTTCTGCGAGGAGGCGTCGCTCTTGAAGGCCTCGACGGAGCCCGGGTCCAGCGGGGCCTTGCCGCCGTGCGGGGAGGCGAAGACGAGCTCGGCCTTGGGGGAGAGGACATCGTACGGGTGGGCAAGCTCAGGCTGCAAGGCTATTTAGCGGATGTTGTCGGGCTCCCCAAGCATTCACATCGGGACTTGGGATTCGTCGGTCGGCACGAGTGCTGCTATTCTTACCAGGTACCAGCCAGTGGGCTTGTCAAGCTTGACAATCTTGTCAGCGCTAGTCAGGACGACGAGAATCTGAGGTGCCATTGTGGTTATGTTTATTAGCCTTATTGTGCACAGTTGGCGATGGTGGGAGAAAACGGTGCGCTTGGGTGCAGAAGAGCCTACATAGATATTTATTACAACCACGGCAGGCCAGCTCATCTAGCTTTCTTCCGCATTCCATCACCCTGATGACCGCTCCAGGCTCCAACTAGCGAGGCTCCACGGCACGCCTGGCTAGCTAGAGATGAGGTTCATTTGACGTCAGAATAGCTGCAAATGGATCACTAAGTGCTTTTGTGGCAGTAAAGTTGTTCTGCCCCGCGCCAGCTCATGTAACGTTGGCGCAGGCTGGTGCAGTGGCGAGGGCTTGAAAAGGTTTGAGTAGCTCGCCTCGATTGGGCCGTTCTTGGAGATGCAGAACGCCCAAGTCGCAGTAAAAGCGGTGCGATCCCGTCAATACCAAATAGATCTTAACGGGAAGCGTCGGTTCCTTCTATCAGCAAGTGTCGAGGAGTTGGAGTTGGCAATCAACAGCCAACTATGCAGTGCTATCCGTATAGTTAGTCAAGTTGCCACAGGCGTGTAGCTCGTTACCTATCAGCTCATACAAGCAACCAAAAAAATGACTGCATTAATTTCTTCCCAGCAGATGAGCGCTAATTACTGCTTTATTTACTTTGACAATATTTATTCTTTTTGTTTTATACCGTGCACACTCTCATCCGTCAAGTCCTCAGCCCAGCCAGCAGAGCGCGCCGCAACAAACCAATCAGTCCCCAGCGCGACAGTTGGAGTGAGTTGCCGTTAGGAACTCGGCACATCAAATTTATTAATTTATAGATGCAACTGATTTTTTAGATTTCTTTTAGATTTTTGCCCATTTATATTGCTAGCCAAAGGTCGTTGTCCTCAGAGGTGTTGACTTTAACAGAAAGTGAGGTATTTCGTGCGGCGCCAAGACTCACAAATGTCTGGGTGTTCAAGTATTGGGCGAATCATCATGAGATTTTGCTCATTATGCAAGGAAATTCAGCCGCAGCCGACCTTGACTCTCGGCCTCGATTTCAGCTCTAGTACAAATACCCGGGACCGCCTTTTCCATGAGCATGTTCTGCAACTTGCACAAGCGTTTGGACCGCCATCATTTTTGTCGCAACCATGGATACCATCCGATTCCTAGCCCAGTCCAAGTTCTCTGACTACGATCGCTTCCAGAAGCGTGATTTCCACCAAGTCCACTCCTCGGTGCTTACTGATCAGGCCAACATCGCCGCAGCAGGCGAAAAATTCCAGGAGTCAGAGTCACGAGGCCAAATAAAGCCACAGCTTCTAACAATAAAAGCCTCCATGAGTGGGGAGTCCACCTTGTCGCTTCAGGAAATGGACGACGAGCATATGCTCAAGCATCTCAGTCTACCAGAGAGTCAAGGACCCGGTGCATCGCTGTCCTTGATAGTGGTGCCGTACAACACACAGAATTGGTCATTCGACACGAGCAAAGCTACCTTTCTCAAGCTCTTTGAGCTGTGCGCCCTCGATCCGGCCGCCCTGGACCCCATACGGTACCCGGCCTGGGGTATGCACATCTTCCGCCAGCCCCATCACTGCGCGACGTATTATCTGGGCAGCGTCCTCGGCATCATGTGCTGGTCCTTTGATCCGAGGACGGCCACGACGCGCGGCATCGTCGTTCCCCGATCGACCCTCGACACCGGTCACGCCAAGGATACTCTGGCCCGCCTCGTCAAGCTGCTCACCCTGCAAAAGGAGCACATCCACACGCCGCACACCCTGACCTTTGTCCAGTTGATAGATCTCGTCTCGACAGTGGAGGAGCTGCTGTCGCGGGATTTGACAAAACTGGCGCAGATCGAGCGGATGACTGGGCACGGGCTGTGGACGAGGAGCCTGGAAGGACCCGAGAAAGAGTCGGACCCATCGCGGGAGCTCGCTTGGCTGAAGGAGGCGTCAAAAGTCATCGGAAACAAGTCCATGAATAACTCCCGCTATACGTATCTGCTAGACATTGTGGAAGCGGCGGTTCGCGACGTGAGATTGGACGACAAACTGGCCGAGGGCGTCTACCGCGAGACTGGCCCGGAGCAGCAGCAGTACACCCGGTACCAGTCGGACGCCAAGTACAGGCTAGAAGCTTTCCAAAACCTAGAGCGACGTGCATCGAGGCTCCGACCATCACTCATTTACCACTCGAGCAGGTTCAGCGGCCAGGCGACCGTGGTGAGTTCCGCCCCCTTCTCGCACCCGGTCGCACCGCAAGGCTGCTAATCACAACGAAGATTGCCTCTCTCATCTCTCACGCAGATGCCAGGACTGGCATGAAAATAGCCGAGGCCAGCATGGAGACGGCAGAAGCAGCAAGAAAAGATGCCTCTGCGATGAAGACTCTGGCGGTCATTACCATGCTATTCTTGCCGGCCACGTTCCTGGCAGCCGTGTTTGCCATGCCGTCGCTTCAATGGGATAAGGACGAGGTCATTGGGCCGCGTTTCTGGATTTTCTGGGCCATAGCAGTCCCCTTGACAGTGGTCGTCTTCATTGCGTGGTTCGTCTTGAATCGCCAGACAGGAGTGTCACGGCGCCCCGAGCGTAATGTCGCTTCTGTGGGACCAGTTTGACTGAAGATGCTTGTTACCACTCTTACACCCTTTCATTCGCTATGCTAAGTGACTTCAAGTTATACGCCAACGTTTTGTTTTTGGGTTCATGCCGCATTTCATCGCATCGCCAGGCCGTGGCCGGCCTCGAGGCAGTAGGAGAGCAAGCTGTCTGCGCGCTCTCAAGCCTCATTCGAATATCCATCATGAAGTCGAAACCCCATCATCAGCAACCCCTCTTCCCAAACTTACAGCTTCTTTGTTGTCAATATATCCGTCTGCTTCACGTAGTTTTCGAACAGCTGAATATCCCTCTCGAGCTCGGCCAAGTTGACCGTTTCGTCCTCGACGACCAGGTTGATGTGCAGTTTCTTCTTGCCATGACGAGCCGGCAAGAACTCGGACGTACCCCAAGCCAGGCCATCCCTCTCGATGCTGCGCACGGCGCCCTCCATTAAAGCCAAGTCGACCTCCTCTTCTGGGCGAGGTAAGCAACACAGTCCAACCAACGTACATTTTTTGAGCTTTTACGTACCCCAAGGTATGACTTCCAGTAGAAGTTTTGACTTTGCGGTGGCAGAGGGCCTGGCCGCCCGTCTCTTGCGATCCTCCGCCAGGCGGTTCGCCTCGGCCTCGGCTGCCCCGGGGCCGTAGGCGGTGTAAGGCTTCGCCGGGTCGCCAGGGAGCTTGTAGAAGACGGGGAAGTGGCTGTCGGCGGTGTTGAACCAGCGCCGGGCGTGCGGGTACTTGACGGCGTCGGGGGGGTCGATCAGTTGCCTGCAGACGGCCGCGTCGGCCTGGGTCATCCAGTAGCTATCGACGGAGTGAGTCACCAAGGTGGTATGAGTGAGTCGAGGAAAAGGACGGGGAGCAGAGCGCAAGGTTACAAAGTGCTTGCTCCGTCGTCCCTGTAGGTCTCGAGGGGGGAAGAAGAGGGTAGACTGTGACATACCCGTCGATGAAGGAGCGGTTGGCCAGCCAGGTGTTGAGTTCTGCATCTCATTAGGTCGCCATGTCAAACCAATCGCATCAACGGGCCACTACATACCGTCCAGACCTTCATGCGTGTAGAGGTCACTGAAGCCCATGATGGCGGTATCAAAGTTATTGGTGGCGAGCGATGGAGGGAAAGCGTCTGACTATTGAGATATTGACAAGTTAAAAGAGTAAAAAATTACTGCTGTTCAGACTCGAAAAACGAACCCTTTTACAGGATATTTGTTTGCCTCGTGTGAGCCACTACAGCTGCCGCGTCAAAGAACTCATGCGCAAATAATAAGCATAATGTGGGATTCCTCTGCCATTTTGCCTTCTCTGGCAGAAAGGAAGATTCGATGCCAGGCCTCGCGCCAAGAATCCCCTTTCTTCAAGGCCACGCAACGTGACTCGGACAAGCCCGACGCTGTCTCAGGCGGCTGATCAGGTTGCCGGCGTCGGTCATGGCAAGCCGCAGCCGGCCGTCGGGCTTTCCCGCTCCCGTTGATGCATATGCAGGCAGTAAGCAGTAACCCGGCTTGAATTGTCTCCAGTTTGCGACTTTACACGTGACAAGTATGGACACCAGCAGCTGTCCTCGTTTATGTCCTCGCCGATACCCATTTTCTTTGGTCAGGGCGCAAGCATTCGCCTCGTTCTTGCGGGCGCAGTGCGAGGCGAGGCCGGCGACCTCCCTCTGCCCTTTTTTTAGTAACAGTGTCAAAGAAAGATTCATCAATTTGAAGCTCAATTGTTCAAGCCCTCCTCTCGGTAATATACTTTGAAAGAGTTGGTAGCGGCTAGCCGGTCCCATTCTCTGTGGCTCCGTCATCATTCGTGCAGCATCGTCCATCACAACATGCTCATACAATTGCTAGCCAGTGGTGAAAAGTCAAACTCAGTATGATTAAAAGTGTCATTTCATCAGAGCTCGTGTACTGCCCAGAATCCTGTTTCCATATCCTGCTTGTCTGCCCCTCAGAGCACCTGTCCAGCCCCTTCGCCCTACTTTGCAGTTCCTGCAGCTGCCACCGCGGCTTCCAATTCTTTTAGAAAATTCGCAACGTCGGCGAGGCGCTTGGCCTCACTCGCCTTCAAGTACCACGTCACCGCTGACCGCGTCCCCCTCGTGTCGTACGGCCGCCCGCGCATCCACAGCGACCACTTCTCCAGGGCCGCCGCAGCGCGCTCGGCCGAGACCTCGAACCACTCCTTGTGCTGTTGCTTGCAGCGCTCGCAGTACACCCGCACGCGGTGCTCGGCGAGCTCGGCGTGAACCAGCCGCTCCACGCGATGAGCATGCGGCACAGCAACCGCCGCCGTGCCGGCGGGGGACGGATACAGCACCACAGACTCCCGGTGGCAGTCCTTCTTCCATTTCTCCACCCGCTTGGTGACGTCGCCCGTCGTGAAGCCAATCTTGACGAGGTTCTCGTTCCCAGCGACTTTGTAAAGGTATACAAAGCCGTCGTAGACCTCGCTTTCGGACTTGTCACCGGCGGTGTTCAAAGACTGCTGCGCAATCTCGCGAATCTCGTCAACGGCGGACTTGCCCTCGTCGAGTATGTCACCTGCTCCGAGAATCTTCCACTCGCTCGTCTCATAAGTGGTATTCCAGTAGGTTCTCGGGTCGCCGAACACTTTCTTGCTATTTGGCGTAGGTGGGGGAGATGGGAGTCTGCCGTCATGGGCCGTGTGGTCAGCCTCCCTCTCCCTCGCCGTTGCTTCCTTGATCATCGCGGTATCCTTGTTCCTCCTGTTCAGCTCAGCCTGACAGGCCACATAGAACCTGTTCACGCGCGCCACCCATTCATCTTGCTGCTTGCAGGACCATTTTTGGTGCACATAGCACAGCAGGTGGTGTTGTAGGACCGTTTTCAAAAAGGTCAATGGGTGATCCTTGTCAGTTGGCTCCAATGCCACTTGTATCATTCTCTCAATCGTCTCGTCGGCGTAAAACCAATCTTGATTTCCAATCGGATTCTTACAAGGCTTCCCCTCTTTCTTTGCTATGGCGGTGCACTTCGCTGGCCTACCTCCTAATATGTCTCGCAGGAGCTTCTGGACGGAAAGCATACGTGGCCCGCCTGGTAGCGCGACCATCCAATGACGGACTCGGGCTTCTCGGAATGGCGGGGGGTCGTGATAATGGCAATGAACCAACTTGGCGAGATCATCGAGGTGCGCCTCGACCTGAAGTGACGAGTTGCTGGCGATCCAAAGCAGCATTATGGTGCTATCAATGCTCTTCCTTTTCTTAGTCGATATCTTTTTCTTGCAAGATTGACCGTCCTTCCTGGTAGCACCGCATTCCATACCGGAGAGAGAAAGCGCTTCTCTCCAAATAGCGAGTTCCGAAGCCTCCTTTGCGGACTCGGCTTCGTGGGCTTCGCAGGCCGTGGATGCGGCGGGTGTGAGCGGGCGGGCATCTCCATCTTCCTCAGGCGTCACTGGTCGTTCTGTCGGATCGCTGAAGTCGGTGGCCAACTTGAAGTTTGCGATTGCCAGTGCTTCCCGGGGGGCGGCAGGTCTACCTACCACCTTGACTGACTCGGGCGAGGCTGGAGGGCTGGGATAGGCGTCCACGGGCGGCGGCCCAGTCGCCGCACTCTGAGATGCTGACATGATTGATGAACGACTACTGCGCGTCAAAGCTGCGGCACAAGATGCTCAGGTCAAAAGAAAATAGTGGCTAAAGGGACTGACCGGCCAAACTTTTGCTCAAAGGTGAGGGAAATGAAACAGTCAAACGCTCCGCTGTCAAACCCCTCACTTTGGCAGCGCGTACAAACGGAGCCTGGTTGGCTGGATGCACCTCACATACGCCACGCATAAATTTTATGGCCTCATTTTTACTGTGGCTGTTTGTGTGTTTTCCCATCATTCACACTGCTCGGTTTTCGAGCCTTGCTCTACAACGAAGGCTTGGGGGGGCCAAGCACTGACTGGGTGCGACGCCACCACAAACTACAGCGACTTGTTTTGACTGGCGACAGCCTTGCGGCCATACGCACCGCTTTCGGTAATATTGACGTGATATAAAATCATTCTCCTTTGTTACTCCTTGATTCGGAGTCATCTTTTATATTAGGCATCCACCAGTCATATTCCCCTATTTTCCCACACTGCAGATCCCCGTTGGACAAAAAGGTGGCGGGGCGCCAACCATATCGACGATGACCTCATTTTGATGCCATGGACAAACAGCCACGGAATTTAGTATCCAATCCAGACTTTACTTAAACTTTGATATAACATCTATTTATTTAAAGCTCCAATGTTTATCTGAGCTAGTTCATTTACTTTTCCGTCACAAGGGTTCATCCAATTCCGTGGTTTACAATGTCCTCGAGGGCAGCGAAGAACGGTCCCAACTACTTCAATCAGAGCGATTCTGAAGATGCAGTCGACTGGACAACTGGGCCCCGAAATGTTCCCGTCACGCCTGCCTTTGGCCGTGAGAAACAAGAGTATCAGGCCAAAGCTAGCTCTGAAAAAGCAAAACAGGACTATTTCGGGCTCTGCCCCTCGCTAAAGGGAAATGTCATTTCCGCCACCTTCACCATCCCGCATATCCTATACAGGAAGGGCAAACAGGTAGAAAGGGTGAGAAGCGCCGTTCAAGGTTACTGCGACCTTTTGATGTTGATTCATGTAGTAGGACACTGGTCACGGTTTCTGGCAGTCTGGTCATTTCGACTGCCTGTCGCACTTGACCAATAGCCGCGTCACTTCCCAGCACATCGTGGTTGCCTGGCCGGGCGAAATAATCCAGTCTGGAGCCAATTCTCCCCCTTCATCCGCCACACCGACTCCCACCTCGATCGCTCCGGACGGCCACGCGCAGAACAACGACGACCCGAATCCCGACAGGGTCGTCTTCGTCAGCACCGAAGAGCAGGAGCAGCTAGAAACGGACCTGCGCCAGGGCCGCGAGCACATCATCCCGGTCTGGCTGTGCGCCGCCACTGGACGCAAAGAGAACGGCATCGAGCTCCAGAACCAGTCCCGATGGAGAAGATATGCCGAGCACGACTTGTATCCGCTCTTCCACTACAAGCAACGGGAGCCGACAGGTGGCGGTGACGAGAGAGCCCGATGGAACGATTACCACTTCGTCAGTGAAGCCTTTGCTAACAAGATCTGCGCCGTCTACAAGCCCGGTGACACTATTTTGGTCCATGACTTCTACTTGATGCTCCTCCCTGGGATGCTCCGCCAGCGTCTCCCCTCTGCCCGCATCGCCTTTCTCCTGCAGACGCCGTTTCCCACGAGCGAGTTTGTGCGGTGTTTGCCCCATCGGCGGGAACTACTCGAGGGCGTGCTAGGAGCCGACCTCGTCGCCTTCCAGGCGCCCCTTTACGCGGAGCACTTTGCCAACTCGTGCGCCCGGATCTTGCAAGCGCGCGGTAGCGGACCGGAGCAGGTCCTCTACCGCGGTCAACGGACGCAACTCGCGCACATACCAACCGGCTTCGACATCCAGCAGATTACCCAGAGAGCATTCCATCCCGACGTGGACAAGCTGTGCGAGGAGGTCAGGGACTCCTTCTCCGGCAAAAGAATCATCCTCGGCCACGACCCCGTCAGCAGCCTGAGCGGGCTTGACAAGAAGCTACTGGCGTACGACCGCTTCCTGCGCGACCATCCCGAGTGGCGGGGACGGGTCGTCCTCGTCCAGCTCACCAGCCCCGCCGCGCTCGCCGACGCCGGCGCCGAGGAGGCCGACTTTGCGGCGCGGATCAGCCTCCTCGTCGGGGACGTCAACGCGCGCCACGGCTCGCTCGGCCACACGCCCGTGCAGCTGTCCCCGTTGCCGCCCCGTCGTGACGAGTACCTCGCGTTGCTCCGCCGGAGCGACGTCGCGCTCGTCACGAGCGTCCGCCAGGGCATCAGCACGACGGCGCTCGAGTACGCCGCGTGCCAGCGCGACGACGCGTGCGGCACTCTCGTGCTGTCCGAGCTCAGCGGCACCGCGGCGGGGGCGCTCGGCGCGGCGGTCGTCATCAATCCCTGGGACGTGGCAACCGTCGCGGATGCGATTTACGACGCGCTAACGGCGACGCGCGAGGATAGGGCGGCGCGGCATGAGGCGCTGCGCGGGCAGGTGCAGGACATGAGCGTGGAAAGCTGGGCAGCGAAGCTGTTTGGCATGCTAGACCGCATCCCGAAGAAGGACGATAATCATGAAGCCGTGTAAACATGTAGTTAGAGCAATGCCAAGGAGAGAGAGAAAATTAGTTTCTGATAAGATCCTGTAGTAAATACGTTGGTACACTGTGCCCAGACAGGTGAACAGTGGATGGTGGGTGAAATGAGCCTCCCAGACTGGGCAGTAAACTAGGTACAACGGAATGCGTAAGAATTGGTGGTCAAGGGGGCACCACCGGAGAAGTGAAGAAGCGCTCTGCTTGAATAACTCTATACTGCTACATCCAAAGAACAATATGCCACCGTCTACTCGGTCGAGCAGTCAATCGGATCCGCCTGGTCGCACCACAGCTGCGTGATTGGCGCTCCCCGCACGCCGCGCGCCAGCATGCGCTCGCGCATCTCGGACAGCCGCGGTCGGGCGTCGTACATGGACCTGTTCTGGCCCTGGGCGTCGAGCCGGCCGGACCACCAGCTCTCGCCTGCGGCGGCCACGCGCGGCCACGCGACGGTGTCGAGGCTGGTGCCGTCGACCGTCTCCGTCCACAGGGCCACCTCGCCGCCGATGACGTTGGCCGCCGCCTCGCCGGTGAGGCCGGCGCGCGGGTCCTGCAGGTAGATGAGGCGCCAGTTCTTGGTCGGCTGGCACCAGTCGTTGAAGGGATACGCTTTCTGGAGGGCGGGGCCGTTTTCGTAGTCGAGGAAGCTGCCGCGGCCACAGTCGAGGTACTGATATTGGTTAGCACTTTGCTTCTGCTCCCCGGTGGGATTTTTCTTCTTCTGTGCAGCTATAGAGGCTGTGTTCCTAGGGCACTTACGTAGGTATCAGAGTTGCTGACAACCACTTTGTGGCCGGCCTCGGCGAGCTGCTTGATCTTATCCCCTCCGAGCCACGTCTGCACCACAACGTCGGTGCCGATGCTGGCGTTCCAGTGGTTGACCATCTCTTCCCAAACCATGGGCACGAGGCCATGCTTGCGTACTTTATCGTGCGTGAATGAGATAAAGAGCTGCAGGAGAGGCATCAATTTGGACGTGTCTTCGGTGTTGAGATCAGGATCAAGAAGCGAGTTGCTTGGGTTGTATTCGTCTCCTCCAAGGTGGAAATAGGCTGCGTACGGCGACAAGCGCGGCAGCAGGTCCTCAAACAAGGTGGCGAGAAATTCTTCGACCTTTTGGTTACCGAGGCGTAATGCACCGCATGGGGGCTGTGCGCAGTACTTTGCGGTAGGACGCTGGTTGTAGGCTACAGAGAGGCCAGGATAGGCGAGGTCAATACCGACATGGCCCGGCATGTCAATTTCCATAATCACCTGCACGCCGCGGTGAACGCCATATTCCTGCAGGTCCGCGATCGCGGCCGGAGAATACGTCAGGTTCTTGCTGTACGCATGGCGCTCGGTGAGCAGAGGCAAGGCCGGGATCTCTATGGGCCACGACTGGGTATCAGTCATGTGCAAATGCAGCACATTCATCTTGGACATGGCGAGGCCGTCAATCGTGCGCTTGATATCCTCAATAGGAAACCAGTGGCGGGCAACATCGAGCAGCATGCCGCGGTGCGCGAACACGGGAGAGTCATGGATGCTCACAGGGGCCAGCTTGGTGTACCACGCATCGCCCAGGGTATGCCTGAAGAAGAGCTGGGAGAAGGTCTCAAGGCCGCGCAGCACGCCAATGGAGGAGTTTGCCGAGATGCTGGCCTTGCCGTCAAAGGTGACGTTGAGGGAATACGACTCGTCGCGCTGGCCGGCGAGCGGCTTGAAGGTGGTCGCGTCATCCGGGCCCGTCTGCGTGATGTCGAGCGACTTTAGGCGGTTCTGGTCCGTCGGCCCGCAGTGCGGCTCAAATTCGGAGCCGGGCTTATGCAGCATCCAGGGCACGTAGCCGTGATCGAAGATGGCGTCGAGGGCCCGCGCGAGGCCGCCTTCGACGATGGCCTTGGAGGTGAAGTTGGCGCCAGCAGGTGGCTTGCCGCCAGGCTGATAGGCAAGCTGTGGTGTTTGCGGTTAGTATTTGGTTTCATAAAACAGTGTCTCTTTCTTGGAAACATACCGCCGCGCCATTGTAGGTGACGCTGATGGACTTGTCGATGTAGAGTGTGGTGTTGCCGCTGGAAATGTCGACCGGGATGGGCCAGAGCGCCGCTACTGGCGATGCAGCGAGAGCCGCAGCGAGAAGCGAGGGCATACGCATGATTTGGTTTGGTGGAGTGGACGGAAACAAGAGTGATTAAGAATGACTAGAGAAAAAGAAAAATAGAGGAAAGCAGCCAGCTATTTTATGATTTCAAGAGAATTGAAGAAAGAAGGAATTCCCCGGCGTATTTAATCTTTAGAGCTGGCTACCAAGTACAATCAATGCCCTGGTGCACCCCCACGAGACGAGCGACATGAGCCAGCGGGCGCGACGCCTGGGCTTTGTGCTTTGGGGGTACAGAAGGTCAACGACCTTGACAATGCAATCAGCTGCTTTTGAAAGGTCTTTGCCAGGTAACATCGTCTCATGTGCGCTCTTTATTGTTTCAATGCGCCGGCCAGATGGTCTGTTTTCTTTCTCATGCATGCAAGCGCTTGAGCTTTTTTTTTCCCTGTTCTACTTTACATCGCTCCTCGGCTTGACGTCACCTTCACTTTCCTCTCTCCAGACCGCTCGCAAAGCTCCCCTCGGCTCCTCACCGTCCCGACCACTGGTCCCTCGTCTTCCTCTGCGCACTCGGCAGCAGCTGGTACAGCGACTCGAAGCTCTTGTGGTCCGTCGGCCACTCGTTCTCCCACTGGTCCGGCTCGAACTTGGGCGTGCCCACCACGTTGGGGAAGCTCTCCAGCGGCTTCACCCCGTTGCCGCCGTAGTACATGAAGTCGATCCTGTCCGGCGGCTCCTGCGACGCCGGGTGCAGCGGCGACCACGTGTCGGCCGGGTCCTGCGCCGGGTCCGGGTGCAGCTCGCGAAACGTGTCCTTGAGGCCGGCCGCGAGCGGGTACTTGGAGGTCGGCCACTCGTAGTAGCCCACGCCGCAGTGCGCGTCCCGCGTCGCCTCGGTCCAGTCCAGCTGCGACGGCGCGTTGAAGTCGCCTGTCAGGAACACGGGCACCCGGTCCGCGTCCGGCATCAGCTGGGCGATGCCCGCCGAGATGTCCATGATCTGCCCGGTGCGACCCGACTCGGCCTCGCGCCCCGTCACCTGCTCGGCCGTCATGTTGCTGAAGCAAAAGTCGTACGGCCCGTACGGGTCGTATCCGAGGTGCGCCGTGTAGAAGATGATCTCGCTGTCCTCGCCGTCCAGCTGGATGTGCACCCCGTCCGCCGCGCCGTTGGCCTCGAGCGCCTCCACGATCGGGTACCGCGACAGGATCGCCTTGTCGCCCTTGTCGTGGTGGTAGTACCCGAGCGCCTTGGCGAGCCGCGTGCCGGCGTCCCCGGGCTTGACCGTCTCTTGCAGTCCGATGACGTCCGCGTTGGTGCTCGCCAGGTAGCTGACCTGCTTGTAGTGGCTGTTGTGCACGAACGCGCCACCGACCCAGATGTTCATCGTCGTCACCTTGAGCTGGTCGACCATGGGCGCGTCCGCGGCGACCACAGGGACAGATACCTGGAGTGTCGTCTTGGAGCCGTTCTCGGCTATCGCGCCCACCACGATGGTCGTGGTGCCACGGTCGCCCTTGGCCGGCGTGCCCGAGATCAGGCCGTCGCTGCCGACCTCGACCCAGCCGGACTCGGACGAGTCCGAGAGGAGCGTGAACCGCGGCGGCTGCAGCCGGTTCTTCACCAGACCTCTCACGCGCGCGGTGAAGCGCTCCTTTTCACGGGCGTTTTGCGTAGTGAATTTACTCACGATGAACTCGATCGGCCCCGTCTCGCCGCGGTTCAGCGCCCGGACCGGACCGGCGAGCTTGTTGTAGCCGTTCTGAGCCAGGAACCAGGCAGAGTATTCGCCGGGATAGGCCCACGCAGGTTGGATCTGAACGGTGCCGCTGCTTTCGGGCGCGTAGGCCCAGTAGAGATACTGGGTGCGCTGCTCGGCGACGCTTGGGTCGTAGCCCTTGGGGTAGACGGCCACCCAGTTGGTCTTGTCGGGCACCGTAGTGCTGTAGTCGAAGGTGAAGGTGGGCTTTTGAGCGTCGAACTTGAGGGTACTGGTCGAACTACTGGCGCTGTCCGCCCTGACCTGCCAGGAAAGCAGCGTCGGTACCACTGCCGCGATCAGTGCTCGGAACTGCATCATACAAGTCTTAATGTTGAGGAAATCAAGACACAGCGGCCTACAAGGACCAGCGTCAAAGGGTACGCTACAGAGCTATTTATATATCTGAACTTCCCCGCTCTGGCTCTTTGTGTTATTGCTAACAGCATTCCATGTCAATGTTACCTTGGAAAGATAAACACTTGACAATTAATGGCCAAGGCCTCATCGTGGAGACAGACTTGGACCCAATATGGAAGGTTCCCAGTAGCATCTTGGCACAATGATAGGATGATCACCCAATGACTTCGTCTCCTAGCTCACCATGATTTCACTAATACGGTGGGTTTCTCTTAGGTTACCTTCACAATGCACTTGTCACTGGTGGCATCTATTTCTATTACGTCTAGTTGCGGTTCGCCGACGAACTAGTGAAAGCTGAGCCGAAAGCATCATGACCTACACTCGACCTTGAACTGGCAATCAACGCAGGCATGGACAAAGTTCAAAATACTGACCAAAGCAAGTGAGAGAGGGACCTGTGTTGCCTCGATGTGTCTCGTCGCAGCTACACCTGGCTGCATCCTCCAACTAGTTAACCGCGAACCCGAGAGGGTCCTCAGCTGTCAAATTTGTTTTGAACTGTCAAGAGTTGTTGTGAACTGTCAAAAGTTGTCCGCAGGAATGCGGCTCACCATGCAGATCCCGTTCCGCAGCGGAGCATCGGGCAAATCGGGAAAGGGCTGAGCAAATTTCCGTCAAACAAGATGAGGCCCGGTTATTGCATAACAATCAACTTGTTCGGTAGATTTTCATGGATGACATTGCGGTATTGCCTCTTTCTATACTGTTGGAACTGTCACACGAGCAGCTGCCAGTTCTTGAGATGCTAGAAGGCACTAACTAGTTGACCAATGTAACAATTCAGCCGTGTCTACTCCAGGAGAGGCAGGTTGCATCAATATAGTCATTGAGAGTCGATGGTTTTATATTTATACTTACAAAAAAAATCGATTCGTGTTGGGTTGTAATATTGTATGTGTTGTGCGATACGCATCGCAGCAGTGGCAACGAGAAGCTGTAGCTTCCACTTTTACTTAAAGGCCGCTGTAAACCGCGGTATGCCGCCGTTAGTGAGGGCACTGCAAAGTCGCATTCGTTGCATGTATCCGTACAGGTTTTGAATTGCGTGAGCGCCTAGCTAAACTCGAGACTGGATAGTTTTGAGATGATTGTATTCTAAAACCCCGACCTTTTTTGTTCCTCTCGTTCATGCGCGTTCTTCAGCTACAGACCCTCATTTCGCACCGGCGGACACTCCAATGTTAGATACGACTGTGAGAAGGAATCAACCACGAGGGAGCATTTGGTGCAAAAATTACACCCAGCCCGTTGTTCGACTCTCTTTTGCGTTGGCGAAAGTTCGCCGCGTAGAATTATTGCTATACGCAGTCAAGTTACAGCTGTTACGCCCCAGAATCCATCTATCTCGCCGTCTACCCTATAGCCAAGCACGATCTGAAATAATAGGGGCTGATCAGGAGAAAGACAGGGCCAAAATTATTTTTAGCTCGGTGTGTATTGGTTGTGTGGCGCGGCATGGCACCACTGTTGTGGGCTGCCGTTGATATTTTGCAGGGAGACTGGCGATATTGGATCCGGGGTGTGGACGAACGAGTGGCAGGCAGTGAGTGATTGAAGTTATTACCTGTTATTAAGTTGGTTATTTACAGGGCGGCATTCCTTGTCAGAGCGGTCAGTACGGATACTCCGCATCGGTGTACTGTCCTGTACGGAGCACCCCGTCCCGTATCCATGTATTGGGATAGAACGAAGGTTGCCGTCAGGGCAGCAGGAGCTTGCCGCATTTTTCGAGTAACGAGGGAGTGTCCCGATTGCTTGTCAGCGATACTGAGAATTGAAATCGGGGCTGCACTATTATTATTCTTGGGCAAAATTGGGTGACGATTGCATATCGCCGCAGATCTCGGGAGTGTGCATAATTCAGGCACAATTTAAGCACTTCAGGCACAATCCAGGCACAGTTCGGGGACATCAAGGGGCAAGCAGGAACAAATCTCCACCTCCAGCGCATCAAGTCCTTGCCATCCCTGATTATCCAGACCAAAAAGCCGCCTCAAACCCTGCAATGCGGCGGGCGCCAAACCAAAGCTGGCTTGGCGTCAGAGGCAGTGCTGTTTGTCTCACACACGGCGAGTTCCTTGTTATATTTTTTTTTGTACCGCTTTGGCGGCCATTTTGGCGTGACTGTTGTCTTTTGGCCAAGCCAGGGAAAACGCCGTCAATCACGTGCACCCGCGTCCTTACCTCCTCACACTCGTACTGCCTCACCTTCATTCCAGATCTCCGTTTGCTTTGTTCAACTCCATCTCCTTTATTCTTTCTTCCTCGTATTTCTTTCTTTCGTGTCTCTGCATCATCTCACCACGCCGTTCGTTCTTTATCACGGCTTTGTCACTCTTTCACAAAATTAGAACCATCTTCGCACGCTCACTCTCTCCCCTTATTACATTTTCAATAACGCATTTATCCACCAAACACCAGTCACCATGCATCTGACCTCCACCCTCCTTGCTGGCGCCGTCGCCGTCGCCTCGGCCGCTGCCGATAACAACTATCTCGGCTTCAACTCGGGCGCTACCCTCGCCGACCGCTCCGCCAAGTTCAAGAAGGATTTCGAGGCCGAGTTCAAGACGGCCCAGGCCCTCAACGGCGCTCCCGGCAAGTTCAACGCCGTCCGCCTCTACACCAACATCCAGGCCTACGCCACCGACGACCCTATTGAGGCCTTTGAGGCCGCCATCGACACACAGACCTACATGCTACTCGGCATCTGGGCCTCGGGCGCCGCCGACATCACCAAGGAGGTGACCGCCCTTCAGAAGGCCGTCGACAAGTACGGCTCCAAGTTCACCGACCTCGTCATCGGCATGTCCATTGGCTCCGAGGATCTCTACCGCAACTCCGTCACCGGTACCAAGAACAAGGCCGGCCTCGGCGCTGACCCCGAGGTCATCGTTTCCTTCATCAAGGACTACAAGAAGGCTTTTGACGGCGGCGCCCTCGCCAAGGTCCCCATCGGCCACGTCGACACCTGGGACGCCTGGACCAACAGCTCCAACAAGGCCGTCATTGACGCCGTCGACTGGATTGGCGTCGACGAGTATCCCTACTATGAGAACGGCAAGGGCAACGACATCAAGAACGCCGGCAAGCTTTTCGACAAGGCCTACGACGCCACCAAGGCCGTCGCCAACGGCAAGCCCGTCTGGGTCACCGAGACCGGCTGGCCCGTCACCGGCGAGAAGTGGGACGAGGCTGAACCCTCGGCCGAGAACGCCAAGTACTACTGGGACGAGGTCGGCTGCCGCCAGCTCTTTGGCAAGACCCCGACCTTCTGGTACAACCTCCGCGACTCCAACCCCGACAACACCATGAAGTTCGCCATCACCAAGGACCTGAGCACCACTCCCCAGTTCAACCTCACCTGCCCGACCACCTTTGACACCGACAGCAAGGACTCGTCCTCGTCCTCCAGCTCCGCCTCCAGCACCCCCACCTCGCGCTCCAACGGCTCGACCTCGGTCTCGTCTCCCACCAGCACCGGCTCCGGCTCCGGCTCGACCGGCTCGACCGGCGCCACCTCCGCTGCTGGCTCCTCTGGCGCTGGCGCCAGCGCGTCGGCTCAGGCCGCCAACAACAACAAGGCCTCTGGCGTCGGCAAGGTCGCTGCCTCGAGCTCCGTTGCTGGCATCCTGGCGCTCGTGGGTGCCTTCCTCCTGCTGTAAGCGTGTTCGAGTTGCCATGACTTGATACCGCATCACCTGGCTAGCCAGTGCAGGCCGCGTATTTTTCGTGTGTCCTTGTTTGCAAGCTGGTCGGATATGGCCCGGATAGACATTTGTACTTAATTTCATAGACGCATCCAGCATCGAGAGTCACTTACTGCACCTAATACTGTTTCTTGCCACACCTTCCTTGATTCTTGATGTGCCCTTGCGCCAGTACGCCAGGTATTTAAGTGATGTTGTGTAATCCCGCAGCTTCTACCATAGTTCATATGAACTTCTGAACTCATTGCCCAATAAACCTCTGAGCCTGGTGTCTTTGACAGCTTAGGCGTAGTTGTGCTTGAGCTTGCGGGCATCGTGAGCAACATGCCGAGCCCGAGCGTGATTACTGACCGTTCTGGACTCGGCAGTTTCTCATGTTGAATATCGATTAGGAACTTTCCGAATGTCACATAGCCCCAAGCGAGCAGTAAGCTTGTTAATTGTACTTTGAGAATGTAACCGGAACGAATCCCAGCGCCTCGTGGCCGCGACCAACCCCATTTGCCGTTTGCCCGTTTAGTTGGTACTACACCAGCAACATCCTCCGCATGGCTTTAACTAGATGAAGAAAAGTAACTTAACGAAAATCTTATTCTCGCTAGACAATCGGAACCATTTGATTCCTGGATTCTTTAGTGCTGAGGTCGACGCTCCACAGGCCGCCAGCGAGGGACTAAACGGTAGCTAGGTCGAGTCGCAACTTACACGGGTCGCTCGCCGAGAAGGGCATGTCCAGAAGGACGAGGTGTAATATATGGACATAAAAAGGGATACATTATAGATTTTTGACGTAAAAAGAGCGTTAATTTTGTGGAAAAGGCTGACTGGCCGCAGTGGTCCTAGCACGTTGGATCCTTTCAGAGTTCTAGTTCGCCTCGACCACCCGCCAAGGGGCCTTTCAACTAGATGCAGAAGGAGCGAGCTTATCAATGAATGCTAAGATGATGAACATAAATCTCACCAATAGTATCCTCCTAGTCAATTAGAGTAGTCTCTTGGAGAGTTAGGGGTCATTGTGTCCCCTCCAAAGCATATAAGATGCTCGCATGGCCCTGCTTGGCATGGAGATGCCCCGTGTTCACTCACGGCGCGTGTCTCTCGTGACCACTCTGCAGTTCCTCTCCGTGACGATCATAAGTAGCAAACATGCTCGCCCAGTTCAGCATCATTGGCACCCTGTGCCTGACCCTCGCCGCCGCCAAGCCCCTCGACATGGGCGACACAATCACCCACACCGCGGCGCCCACGCCCACCGGGGACGACTACGACCCGTCGGACCTTGTCCCGGCCAACCGCGCACCCGGCACGCTTGTTCCCAGCGTCGTGCCAGAGGAAGAGGCCCGAAAGAGCCTGCCGCTCGGCACGGCGCACGGCGGCGCGCTCGATCTCCCGCCCGCGCCAACCGCCGGCCCCGGCGCCATGGCCGTCGAGGCGGCAACAGCAGCTGGCAACGCGTATATAACCGTCTTCAACAGGCATAACGCTGCCATCACAACGGTGCACGTCCACGGCGAGGGTCCCGCGCCCAAGGGCAACGTTGGCGCGGGTAGGCTGAACAAGGGCCAGCACGGCATCTTTACAGTCGCGCACGACTGGAGTGGCCACGTTGCCCTAATCGTTGCTGGAAAGTAAGCGAAAGGGTCCAAGTGACAGTGTGCAAGAGAATAGGGCTGATTAGGCTAGGTCCGTCACGACCGGCGACGAGTCGCTGATCGAGGGAAGCTTCAAGAACCAGGGCCACGGCTTCATCGGCGACATCAACGTCAGCTACGTGTAAGTGCGGCTTCGGAACAGTTGCTTCCGCGACACAACTGATGGCAATCTTGTAGTGATGGATTCAGTGTTCCCGTTCTCTGCTAGTGCAACCAGAACAAGAAAGCGGCCGGCTGCTCCAAGAACCTGTTTGCCCTCGCCCACTGGCCTAAGTAAGTCCACTGTCCGCCTCAGCGAACGGCTCGCAACTGCTGACCCGAGCACAAGACCCCAACGGCCAGGGCTCGTGCAAGAATCCGAACCGCGGCAAGGGCGGCGTCCGCTCGCCGACGGCCTTCTTCAAGCCGTGCTTCTACCCCGGCGGAGCGTACACGTTTGACGACGACAGCGCGGCAAGCAGTCTCAATGGGCGGTGCCCGAACGAGCACTACACCTGCTACGTCGGCGCGGGGTGTCACGCATAGATGGATAGGGAAAGAGTTTGTTGGCCTTTGAGGGCGTGAAGGGAGAAAATGTATAAACGTGGTGAAGAGCTGGATGACTTTGTTACATACTAGGCGGCAGGAACATGTACCGGACAATAACACTACATTGATCTGCGCAGACTGTCTGCGCAAGTACACGCTTCAAATGAGGCTGAAGGAGACCTAAATTTGAAGAGGCTTTTAACTACTATTCAACGGCGTTGACTTGGTCTGATCCGGCACTATCCTCATGCTAGTCCAACGTCGGTTATACCCCACGTATCGCGGGGTTCTTACATCCCTGGGCCAACCTTCCTCAAGCTACTACCTATAAAAGGCAACATTACTTCAAAAAAAGCTGACGCAAAATGTCTATGACTGACAAGGTCATCGCTGTTACTGGCGGCGCCAGCGGCATCGGCCTCGCCACTGCCAAGATGCTCGCCGACCGCGGCGCCATCGTCTGCATCGCCGACGTCGACGTGACCGCCCTCGAAACCGCCCAGGCCTTCTTCCAGTCCCAGAGCCCGACGGGGACCGCGGAACGGTTCTCTGTCACGCGCGTGGACGTCTCGGACCGCGCAGCGGTGGACGGCTGGATCCAGGGCATCGTGGCGCTCTTCGGGCAGCTCGACGGCGCCGCCAACGTCGCGGGCGTGATCGGCCGGAGCCACGCGGCGGGCACGCTGGCGGACCTCGAGGACGACGAGTGGGACAGGCTGATGAACGTGAACCTCAAGGGGTGCATGCACTGCCTGCGCGCGGAGCTGCGCAGCATAGTGGACGGCGGGTCCATCGTCAACGTTGCCTCGATCCACGGCACCAACGGTACGTGACCTATTGTTGAAAACTCCGTGGGGGTTCAAGGCTGATGCAAATTTTAGCAATGGCGCTGCATGCCGCGTACGGCGCGAGCAAGCACGGCGTGGTGGGCCTGACGAGCGCGGCGGCAAAGGAGAACGGCGGCCGGGAGGTGCGAGTCAATGCGGTCGCGCCGGGCGCCATCTACACGCCGATGATGCAGCAGTCGCTGGTCCAGCTGGGACTGGATCCGGCCGAGCCGGCGAGTGATTTGAGCGCGATCAGGCGACAGGGACGGCCGGAAGAGGTGGCGTCGGTAATTTGCTTCCTGCTGGGGCCGGAGAGCAGCTACGTCACGGGGGCGGTGTATCCGGTGGATGGGGGCTGGCTTTAGACATGTTGGTGATGAGGTAGCGGGGTTTTGTGGGAAATTGAAATCGAAGAAAGTTCATTTTACCAGATGTGAGTCAACATTGGGAGGCTTTGCTTGGCATGGGCAGCTGAATGTCCATGGTGACTCATGCGACGATCATCAAACTGGACTACTCACCAGACCACAAAGGAAGAAGAAATACAGCGAATGTAAACTTGCGAGCATTCTACCAGACACCAAAATTCTTCGCAATCCAGCATATCATTGTTCATCCCAATAGCCTCCGACCAACACCCGCCCGCCATGAACTCGCTGCCCGCTGACGTCCGGTACTCGGGTCTCACGTGGAACTGCCCGCTGTCCGAGTCCGCGGCGGACGGCCTCCTCGATAGGCTCAAACTAAGCCCGGCGACAACCATCGTCGACATTGGGTGCGGCTGGGGCGAGCTCCTCGTGCGCGCGGCCCAGCGCCGCGGCCCCGTCGCCGCGGCCACCGGCGTCGACACGGACGCGGAGCTACTCACACGCTGCGCCGCCCGCGCCTCCGCTGCCGGCGTCCACGTCGAGCTGGTGAACACGCCCGGCAATCTGTGGCGCGGCCCCGCGGACCGCGCCATCTGCGTCGGGTCGTCGCACGTCTTCGGCGGCACGCGGCGGATGCTCGAGGGCCTGGCGCGCGCCGTCCCGCGCGGCCGGGTGCTGGTCGGCGACACGTGCTGGGAGCGGCCGCCGTCGAGGGCGTGCCTGGACGTGTTCGGGGAGGAACTGCTGCCGCTGGAGCGGATCGCGGGGCTGTGCAGGGAGACGGGGTGGCGGCTGCTGCACTTCGAGACGGCGACGAGAAGGGACTGGGACGCGTTCGAGAGTGGTCACCGCGCGGGGCCGCGGGAGTGGCTGCTGAGCAATGCGGGTGATGACAGGGCGGCAAGCGTGGAGGAGGACTTGGAGAAGAGAGAGGATGATTACTTTGGTGTGTACCGAGGGACGTTGGGGTTTGTGTTTATGATTCTAGCTAGGTGATCGCCGGTGGTTGAAGCCGTCGATGGACCGGTGGATGTTGGGTACCCGTTGCACCTGTGTGCTGGAAATGAAATAGAACGTCAAACTTGTCCATTTTGAGTACCACACGCTCTGCACGATGCTGACGCTTATTACTCTGATCGCAGCCTCAGCTGATGCTTCCGTGATGTAGTTGCGTTTTATACTACTACCCTAGAGGCTGGCTTGGACAGAAGAACTGGCCTTAAAGCGCCTCACGACCGAGGGGAAATACTAGCTTGGCAACAGTTTGACAGGCTTGTACTAGCGGCTCTGTCTCACTTCTTTGTCCCTTCATCTATATGGTGATACAGGAATCGCAAGGGTCCTTCCACACTCGGACCTACGCGCTTGGACGGAATCTCATCACAACAATGTGACACCACACCCAGTAGGAATTCCAGCGGCAAGCACGACTACAATGGTAAATGGTAGAAAGTGTAGCTGAACTGCAACTGCATCCTAGTATATTGTGACGGCGGGTGAGGCTGAAGAGGCAATGGCCTGCTCACGGACGCCGGGCCCTGCCTCCGCCCAATATACCCGATATTAACTGCATGGCTCATGCGTTGGACGGCCGGGCCAGAAAGGGTTTCCACGTGCAATGAGGCTCCAGCTGAAGAGAGCACGGCATCAAGAATCGGAGAAGCACAGAGTGAGCATGCGGTAAGCTGCAATGTGCCGGTGGGAGGCAAGTATAGTCGTTGAACGTTGGTGAGGCTGGCGAGATAGCTTGGGGACATTGTGAAGGCTGGTGAAGATGGAAGCTGGTGGGATGGCTGGCGCCGAGGCCCGCCGCGCCGACGACCCCGCCTTCGACCCTACATCATATATCCTGCAGAAGCTGTACAAGTAGTCTGTTTATGCCGTAATGGTCTCGCTCGTATTGATGCAGGCATGCGGCTTGGCTTTGGCCCTTTGCGGGCTGCATGCGACCTTGGTGGATTGGAGGGGCTGAGAGGCTGGACCAGCGTCGTGCAAGCCGCAGGGCACGTATGATGTGAAGAAGAGTGAGCGGTATAAATAGACTCACCGGACCCCGAGTCTCGCACTTTGAACCAAACCAAATTTCCAATTGAAAGTAACAATGTGGTTCTCCAGCGCCCTGCTCGCCGTGTCCGCCGCCACCGCGGCCCTCGCCTGCTCCCCGCCGCCGGTGGTGCCGTCCAACAGCATCACCGACTTATTCTCGATCCAGGTGCAGAACGCATCGTACCCGGTCATCCACAACCGCTTCATGAACCTGTGGTCGGCCGGCGGCGGCGACCAGCACCTGTACCTGCGGCCCGCCGGCGACGTCTGGAACAACCTGACGCTCGTCTCGGGCGTGCTCACCACGCAGCACTTGCCGCCGCCCAAGCTGACCACCATCCGGGCCGTCATTAACGGCGAGGTGAGAGACCCTTTTTCACGTCTTGCTGTGGAACTCTGTGCTGACGCAGCAAAAAAAAAAAAAAAAACAGTACACTTCCTTTGACGACACGACAAAGATGTTCATGACGGAGCGTGGAGACCCTCGGGCCATCTTCGACGTCAGGTACGGGTGCAACCCGGACACGGACGCCGTGCAGACGGAGCTCGTCTTCAAGGAGCGCTCCGGCGTCACCGGCGGCCACTTGTGCGTCAGGCTGGCCTCGGGCAACCGCTACGAGTTCCGCTACTCGCCGCCGGGAAACACCCGTGAGTGGTTTCTGTTGCTCAGCGCCGTGCAACAAGTGCTAACGAACGCTACAGTTGTCGACTCGACCTCACACCTGTGCATTAAGGTTACCCTGGCCGTCATAAAGACCTAGAGCACGCAGCATGTGCATGTGCCATGTGCATCCATAAGAAACAAAGTGTCCAAGACAAAGGCGATTCGTATATATATACAGGATTAAATAGTAACTAAAAGTAAAGCCTAGAGCTGCGTCAACGCATCTACCGCCCCGGCCCGATATGTATGCTCGTGTACCAAAACAAGAATATGACAATGAAACATCTACTGTATGCTCGCTAAGTGATGCAAGGGGTTTTCTACCCGCCACCGTCCGTCTTCATCACGTGGCCGTCGGCTCGGCCGCGTACGGCCCGTACTCGTATCTCTTGTTGTTCTCCTCCACCCACCAGCGCGCGATGAAGGCGCCCTCCTCCGCCCACCGCGCCGGCTCCTTGCCGTGCTGCCGCTGCACCTTGTCCAGGAACGCGGGGAACTCAAACGCCTGCACCGAGTCCGTGTCGGTCGGGTCCGTCGCCAGGTCCGTGAACCGCCACTCGACGTCGTGGATCACCGGCACGACCAGCCGCCACGTCGGCCGGCGGCGGTCGCGCACGCCAAGCATCGCCCGTCCGGGGTTCATCACCACGAACTGCCACCCGCGGAGGTCCTCCTCGTCCGGGTCGTGGCCGTCCGCCCGGTAGGCCGAGTTCCGCAGCGGCCGGATCAGCGACTGGCCCTCGTAGTTGGCCAGCAAGTCGCCGGCGGCCTTGCTCGCGGCCCTTGACAGCGAGCCCGTCTCGCGGAGGAGGTCCAGCACGGTGGGCAGGATCTCCATGGTGCTCACCGCGTCGTCGACGTCGATCGGCGGCAGGCCCGGGTGGGACATGACCACGGGCACGTGGTTGCACCCCGCGTTGGGGTTGTGGTACGACGCCGGCGTGTTGTTCTCCGGCAGGCTGATGCCGTGATCCCCCGTGACCACCACCAGCGTCTCCCCCGCCACGCCCTCGTCGTCCAGCACCCCCAGGATCCTCCCCAGCCAGCGGTCATCATACCCAACCGCGTTGACGTAGTGCGACAGGTCGTCCCACCGGCCCGTCGCCAGCGGCACGTACGCCTCCTCCGCGGGGATCGCGTACGGGTGGTGCGTCGTGCTCGTCAGGTGCGTCATGAAAACACGCTCGCCGCTCTCCCGCGCCGTGGCGAAGGCGTCCCGCACATAGTCCAGCAGCGGCGCCTCCTCCATGCCAAAGTAGTTGATGTCGGGCAGGTCGACGCGGCCAAACTTGGCCGCGTTGGAGCGCAGGTAGCGCGCGCCGACGATGTTGTCGCGCGGGAAGCCGAACTGCTCGGTGCTCTCGTCGGCGTGGTCGTAGCTGAGCGTGACGGACTGCAGGTACTGCGAGCGCCACGGGTTCTCGGCGGGGTCGTCCTGGTCGAGACGCGAAAAGGCCTCGAGGATCTGCGGCAGGCAGGGCTGGTAGATGTGGTGCGCGTGCTCCTTGTTGAAGTCGGCGACGAGCGGCCACACGCCGCACATGGTGCCGACCATGCTCTTGCGGGTGTAGGTCGAGGCCGTGTTGGCGTCCTTGAAGTTGAGGCCGCCGCGGCGGGTGGTGTTTTCGTGCTCGAAGCCGTCGTCGTAGTCGCCGGTGAGGTAGTTGGCCGTCGGGGTCAGCGTCTCGAGGCGGGCCACGGATTCCCCGGGCAGCTGGTTGTGAGGAGCCGCCTCCTCGAATCGTCGCCATATCAGGTCGTCCCTCTTCAGCGGGAACACGTCTTTTCGGGTGCTCTCCAGGACGACGAGGACGATGTGCTTGATGGTCATGTTGGACAGGCTCTCTTTCAGCCCGGGTAATAGTTCCTGGTCCATGTTGGAGATCTTGAGGGGATCGGCCTTGGCGTTGTAGTGTGGACGGCCCTCCTCGTACCAGTCCTCGAAGCCTTTGAGTACGGTATCTTGCGGCAGCCAGTCAAATCGGATTGGCTTGTCAAGAGCCGTTAAATCGTCCCATTCGTAATTAATACCCACATTGTTGTATGGGCTAATGTCGCGCAGGATCGAAGCCGACTCCTTAAAGTCGACAAAAGGAATGAGCGGCGTTGTCCAGGACATGAAGATCAAGGCACCCTCGTTGGGACGCAGTAGAGAGAAGAGCACCTGGAGGACAATGAACCCACTCCAGACGAGGCGCCAGGATCGGCTCTCTACTGCAGACTCGCGCAGGCTATCGTCTCTTTTCTCCCCGGTGCTGATAAAAGGGTCGTCGAGGGCTTCGGAGGGGACTCGGGAAAAGGCATGGCCGGACTCGGCTCGATACCGTCGCACGAGGGACTGGAAGGGCCATTTTACGGCGTCGATAGCGGCTCCTCCAATCATGAAGATGCCATTCTGGAAGAAGCCAGCAATGGCCGTGATGCCGCCGAGCACCGTCAAGAGCGTCACGAGACCGGACAGGAGCACGCCGCGGGAGCCCGAGTCACCGGCAAAGGCGACGTCGCGCCAGCGGACCTCGGCCCTGGCGTAGAGGAAGAAGGTGATGCTGACCACAGAGATGACCGCCGAGAACAAGCTGACGGTCGAGTTGACGAACCGGGCCAGCACGCGCAGCAGGACGCTCCGCCTCGCGCCGCCGCCGTTGTGCGACCACTCGGTCAGGAAGCGGAGGGCGAGGAGCAGGACAAAGTCCTGCAGGAAGAAGGAGAGCATCCAGCCGACCAGGTCGCGGCGCAGCAGCGCCCTCTCGCGGGCAACGACGTGGACGATCTTGGCGGCGACGACGGCGACGGCGACGAAGGAGAAGGCGAACCGCCGGTTGGCCGCCTTGGGCAGCGGCGCGAGCAGCAGGGCCAGCGGAGCACGCGACAGGAACAGGGCCGCGGCCAAGGCTCTTGTCGGCATCGGGGAGTGGCGATCGCCAGTCGTCCGCCGGGATGTGCCACTCATGTTGGCTGGCGGTCGAGATCCAAGTCCTTTCTTCCGTCTGAGAGTGGACAAGGACAATAGACCGCAAGAAAAGGCTTATAGGGGGGGAAGGAAAGATGTAGATGGATGTCGCGTGAGCAAGAGACAAGACCAGGGGGAAAACCCGCCAAGTAAAGAGTGCATGTTTCTCCCTTATACGGTTTTGCTCCAACCACAAGTTTAGTTATTACCGCTTTGCCAAGACGGGGGGCCGCTTCGGCGCCGCCCAGACATGACAAGCGTCAACGACCACGTCAAGGCCTTTCCCTCCCTGATGAGCTCCCAATACTCCGTACCTTTTACTGGTAGTTGGATACTTGTCCCAGGGGGTGGGAGGGAAGAAAAAGCCCGGGAATTCCTCAACGGAGCCAAAAGCGGGCTGGAAAGCTGGAGTGGTGGCGGCTTGGCGACGCCCCGTGCCTGGCCACTCACCCGAGCGCCTCTTGCACACAAAAGCCCGTCCATATGGATATCGGCACCCGTTATTACTGCTGCCAACTCGCCGGCGGCCCCCTTGCCCAAGCGCCATGACGTACCCGGGCGTGTCAGTGAGAAGCCGATGTTTCCGGAGCCGTTTAGCCATGGCTGGGTGGGCTGGACCATTTGGCTTTGAAGGCCCTCGCTGTGCGATTCATGCGCTCGCTGGCTGTGGGATGAGGGTAACATTGGTGCCCGTCTGCTATGCGACTGGTATGCGTCTCATCACGTGCATAAGTCAAGAGAGAGAGCGAGAGAGAGAGAGAGAGAGGCGACAATGCAGCAACTTTGTTTCATCATCGACTTTCTCGTAGTACTTCTTCTTCTCGTGTGGTGGAGAGTAAACCGGGGCGCGGTGGACAGACTTAAAATAGAGCTTATTATACAGTACAAAGTACTGGGTACGCTATGCTGTTGCTCGGGTGTAGTAGCTAGCTTTGAGTTTTGTCACGATTTTTAAGGAGCCCTTCATCCATCTCCTGGGGTTGTTAGGGGCCGAGGCAGGTAATAACACGATCTCACCGTGCCAAGATCCGGCCGTCCAGGAGAGCACGCGACCAGGGAGGGTCTGTCAGATGTGACAAGCACCCACACTGGGGACGACTGGAGACGGTCGAGTTTATGAGTAGTTTGGCCAACTGTTATTATGGTGGCTTGCTGGCTGATGTTTGCTTTCCGAACCGCTCAAACACGAGACCAAGAACCAGCTACGGCTTATTCGGGGAGATAGCGCGCGCCAAGCTGAAAAGTTCGAGACAGGAGGGCCAGTAATAACACAGAATAGAATGATCCGGAGCCGCACACCCTTGCCATGCGTACTAAATTTGTGAAATTGCGGAGAATCACCCTGTTGTTATATTAGCAGGAGAGTTAGCGAGTACTGGAGTAGCAGTGATTTAGTAGGGGGGAGGGCATGAAAAAGATGCCCTTCACACAACAGTCAAAGGGATACAATGGCCCTCATTAGACAGAGAAATGTTGACAGAGTCGCAACCGAGTACCGAGCACAGATTAGCGTCAAGAGTAGAAACTCACTCTACGTGCGTCAACGACCGCGCATTGTGGGTTGAGACAAGACAAATCGTGAGCATGCCGAACAATGCCATGTACTTTTATTCATTATTTATTACCGTCTTGTATCACGTCCAATTTACCCGATACCGATAACCCTGAATATGCAGTCAAGTGTAGTGTCGCGCGCTGAACTGAAAAAATGCTGTTAACCCCGCCAAGCCAGAGATCAATGCTGCCTACGACGCGAGAATTGTTACGTCTGCGAGTTGATACGTCCGTGCCCCCATTTGTCGCGTCCCCGGCATTTAAGGAACACCCCGTCAAAGCCCTTTCGAAACCATCAAACCATGCAACTGACCCATGTCGAAACAACTATCCCGAAGCGTTGCGGGTTCGCGCCTCGAGGGCGGCCTTCTGCCAGTCGACCTTGAGGATATAGAAATACTCCATGAGGGTGACGCTGTTGCGAAGTTAGCTGGAAGCCCGGTCGTACTCCGGAACCGGCGCAAGACTCACACGAAAAGACCCCCCGTGATCCCTGTCCACATGCCCTTGATCTTCCAGTCAAAGTAAAAGGCAAGCGTCAGCGATGTGGGCAGCGCCACCACGTAGTGGCCAAAGATGTTGGCCGGCCCGCCGATGGACTGCTTGCCGATGCCGCGGAGGATGCCGTGGGCGCCGGCGCTGATGCCGTCCCAGAAGACGGCCACGGCCACGACCGGCAGCGTCGTCGCCACGATGTCGATGACCGCCTCGTCGCTGGTGAGTAGCAGCGGGATGTACCACCGGAGGGTCGTGCAAAGGACAATGTTGAGCGTGCTGATGAGGCCCGAGACAATGACCGACTGATTGGACTCGGGCGATTAGCTTTCTGGCCGGTCTTGAAACCGAGAGTAGAGCCTCCTGACTGCATGCAGAACTTACCACCTGGGCTGCCACCTTGGCAGAGTCGACGGCGCCGCCGCCAATCAGGCTGGCCACCCGCGTCGACGAGGCCACCGACACGGAAAACGGAATCTGGTAGAGCAGCGCGACAATGGTGAAGATGGCGCTCTGCGCCGCCAGGTAGTCCGTGCCGAAGCGGCTCGACAGTAGCGTGATGAGCTCGAACGCGAGCCACTCCGCCAGCACCATCACCATCCCCGGCAGCGCCAACCGGATCATCACCCCCCAGTTCACCAGCGCCCTCCTATCAAACCCTCCCCAGCACTGCCTCCCGTCCACGAACCGGATGTACAGCACCAGCAGCAACGCCAGCAAGTTCCTCGAAATCACCACGCCAATCGGCGCCCCGACAAACCCCAGCTCCAGCTTCCACACCAGCAGCCAGTTGACCAGGATGTTGATCGGCGCCACCACCAGGATGATGTACGAGATTTCGCGGAACAACCCCTGCGCTTGGAGTATGCGCTTGCCCGTCTCGAAAGTGATGTAGGCGGGGATGGAGAGGGTCATGATCTTGAGGTAGAGGCCGGCGAGGCGGGCGGTCTCGGCGTCGACGATGCGGGCGAGGATGGGCTCGGAGGAGAGCCACAGCACCGCGACGGGGATGGCGGCGCAGCAGAGGAACCAGAAGCAGCGCTGGCACTGCAGGCCGACGAGGTGCTTGCGACCGTCGCCGTAGGCCTGCGCGCACAGCGTGTCGAGGCTGGTGGCCAGGCCGATGAAGGGGGCGAGGCAGGTCATGGCCGCCGTCATGTTTGCCACTGTTTCCCGAGTCAGCATGATGCATTTTTGTGCCTAGCGAGGGTTTGCATGTATGTGTGTATACATGTACATGTACATGTACCCGGCCAGTCACGGCGTGGCCAGGACGAGCGTGGCCATGCATGTAGTTTATTAGGGAGGGAGGAGGCCCAGCCTGCCGACGGCAAAGACGCTGGTGGCGTTGATGGAAAATTGCAGGAAAAAGGTGATGATGAGCGGCGGCGAGCTTTTGAGCACCATCTTGACCTCCCGGCCCCAGCTGGCCTCGCCTGGTGCGGGAAGCTGGTCCCAGTCGCGGGCCTTTTTCGGCTCGCCGCTCTCCGGGTCATATTTACCACCACCGTTGGCATTGGAGGAGTTCCCCAGCAACGCCGAGGACTCTGTCGGAGTGGCCAACGAAGTGTCGGTGGCCTCCTCGTCGTCGTCGTCGTCGTCGTTGTCGTCGTCGTCGTCTCTCAACCGCTGTGCTGGCCGCTCCAACGGTGACCCATCGGTAGTAGTGATCACGCCGGCGCGGGGTTCTTCCCCGCGCTGCTCCTTGGAGCGTCCACAAGCCTCTACGGCCATGGTGACTTACCGGCTCTCTCTTACTCTGTTTATTGCTTCGAAAAGCAATCTTGTAGAGTCCGAGTGGGAGTGAGTGAGAGAGTGAAAGAGTGAGTGAGTGAGTGAGTGACTACGAGGGCAAGGGGAGGGAGTCGGAACAGATTGAGGACTGGGGGTTGGCGTAATTATTAATACAGAATGACGAGCCAAAATATCTCTACCATCAGAAAAAAAAAAACGGCCAGCTGGAGTCACACATCTTTCCCGTCTTGGCCTGGCCGACCGAACCCGGCTGTTAAGTGGGTTAAGTTAAAACTTTCCGCTGGCTAGGACCGAACAGCGCGAAGGTTAAGCTGCACCGAGACAATTCATCATCCATGCTCTTGTTTTTTTCTTCTCGGTGGCACCCGGCCGGCAAAAGATCACAAGGCTTGAGACATGGCGCACAACTTGCCTGTGTGTAGCAGAAAGGGCGCGCGCCCAACCGGCCTGTACGAAATTTGGCGAAAGCACAATACCCAAGACTCGGAGTCTCATCGGGAAACATGATTCGCGGCGTGCATCCCGCAGTGCCCCGGCGTGAGGGTGTGGACGACACATGCGGCTCTCTGAATCGGGGCTGGTTCATAATTAGTCCAGGCAGAAACTGCACGGTGAGGCTGAGGTTGACCACACCTGCTGAACTTTGGTTATTACGAGGCGGCTTGTCAATACGCGGCCAATAAAAATGAGCCCGAGACGTTTAATGCCACCGTCAGCGCGCAACCACGAGCAGCAGTTGGAACTTGTCACACCGGGGAGCTAGACGACGGTGCTGTGCAACGGATAGCTGCGTTGGTATTCGACAGGGTCATACATACATGCATTCGTACATACATACAGCCGCAGCAACTCTAGGCGATATTGGCTACGTGGCTGGCTGGCTGGCTTCAAAGGAGAAGTCTGCCCCGCTCGCAGGTTCTTCCTGCAGCATGATAATTTAAGACCCCGATGAGATGTTGCAAAAGTGAGACTCCTTGACATAACACATGCGTATATAACCCTGTTTTGACGCAGAATTCCTACGTATAGGGATGCGATCGGCATCTGTGCTCCTCTGCCGTGCAGCCTGCAGACGCCAGCTTAGGTGCCTCGTGGCCAAAACCAGAACAACAACACAAACACGGACAGCCCGTCCGTGATCAACGGGGAATAATTCATGTCGCACGTCATGACCAGCACGCTGGCCGGGAATATGGACGCCACAATGTACAGGCATGCAACGGCGTTTACGAGGAAGTCGATGCCACCTCCCACTTCGATCCTGGAGCGCCCGCGGCAAGATGACGGCGAGATGGGCCATCGTGGAGAGGATCACGCATGTACGAGCCGACAAGGCCCCTAAACGCCTTCGCCGAGCCGATGTAGACGCACCCTATGACGGCGCACACGCCGCCTCACAGCACAGAGCCGCAGAAGAGGCTCGTCGTGCAGACCGCGGCCGCAACTAGGCCGATCACGTACTTCACCGCCATGGTTTTGGGGACGTTACGGCCAGGGCTATGCACATGACACCCGGAGAGCCTCCGTTGTAGATGGCAACGGCCTAGCCGTCAATCGCTCACCTGTCCGTCTTCTGTAGCTGACAAGATAGCCGGCCGGCCGGGGAGGTGTTGCCCTGACCGTGCTGCCGCCGATGGCAGTCCAGGTCTTGCCCGTCCTCGCGGCGATGCTGTAGAGGTTGAGCAGCGAGAAGGTGCGTTGCAGCCCCCGCCTGTGCCCGGACGCGGTGATCGGTCCGCTGTTGGATGCATCCCCCTCACCTCAATGGACGAGGACCCGTGCGTGGTCGTCGTCGTTGCCGCCGGCTGCAAGAGCTCACTGGATGTCTTTGCTAAAGTGAAGGGAAAGCCACTTTGAGGAAGCCGGTGCTTTATGAAATGTCATGACATGGGCTTGGAGACGGGACGAGGCAGTACCACACGGGCTCGGTCTGGTCCCATCATGGACGGCGTCAGGTTGTGGAAACTGGAGGGGGCCGCGACGATCTTCCCTATGCCGACCGACAGTGGCGTCCGGCTACGGCCCATCTGTGCGCTCTTTTTCAAACGAGGCGAGTTATCCCGTATTGATGAGACTCGACGACGGGGTGGACATGGGGTAAAACAAGTAGTGTCAGAGTCGGGAGAGCCTGGTCCGTCGGCGGCATTTGCCTTGGATCCACGATCAATCTATCCAGGAACTGCGCCACACCGGTTTTCAACATTTTTGAGTCGAGACAGTAATTAGTGTTATTCAATAAGTACAATCTGCCGTGGAACCCTACTGATCTCTTCCGTCATCCTTGTCTCGGGTGGTATTATCTGTTCGGACTTGCGACTGCTACAAAAATGCATCACTGTCAAGCTTGGGCACGACAAGGCCAAGCACAACCCTGCGAGCCAACTTGAACCAATCGACGCCTGCATTTTAGTTCTATTCCCCCGCGTTATGACTGCAACGTTCCGAGGCCTATCCAAGCCTTCCCACATGTAGTGTGACCAACTGCACCCGCGGCCTTGCCTCAAGCTAGTGCAAGCCGACCGTCCATGCGCACGAAGTAGGCCGAAGCCCAAAACTAATAGCTTCAGTGAAATATGCCCTGAAATCCGAATTGAGAGAAAAGGAACATCCGCACGGGTGTCACCACCCTGACTAGTCCGTGTGGTGGAAGCCCGTCACGCGTCGGCCTACTACCTAGGCATGGCTCTTGGCCGGGCACGCATAATAAGAGCTCGCAAGTCCTCCAGACCGTTTATGCGCCCCAGACAGCCACTCCGTAATCTTCAGCGTACAGCATTGATGTAAGCACAATGAAACGGTCAGCATCAGGCGTCGCCGGCCTCCTCGCCTTGGCGGCCGGGCACGTCGTTGCCGAGCTGGCCTGCGGCTTCAACGTGAGCAGCGACTTCGCCGCGGCCCACGGCTGCGATGCAAAGTGCCAGGACATCCTCCGCCACGCCAACGCGTACGACCACGCGCAGGTCGGCACCGACTTTGACTTTTCCTTCTACGCCACCGCCGCCAACTTCACCGGCTCCGCGCCGGGCAGCCTGCTGAAGCTGGAGCCCGCCGACCCGGGGCCCCTCGACGTCCGAGCCGGCACCACCGTGTACCGGATGCAGTACACGTCGCTGGACCTGGATGGCAAGACCGCCGTGCCCTCGACCGGCTTCGTCGCCTTCCCCTACTCGCCCCTCAGCGGCGACGGCAGCAGCCCCGGCGCCTGCGGTGCGACGACGGCCGCGTACCGCACCATTGCCTTCGCGCACGGCACCATCGGGGTGTACCCCGGGTGCGCGCCGTCCGCCGGCCCGGCGCTCTTCGACTACGACAGCTGGCAGCCGCTGCTCGCGCGCGGCTACGTCGTCGTCGCCGCCGACTACGCGGGTCTCGGCAACAACCAGACCGAGCACAAGTACTGCAGCTTCCCCGCGCAGGCCAACGACGTCTACTACTCCGTGGTCGCCGCGCGCGCCGCCTTCGGGCAGCTCCTGAGCCGCGAGTGGATGTCCGTCGGCCATTCCGAGGGCGGCGGCGCCGTGTGGAAGCTCGCCGAGGGCGACCTCCTGGACGAGGCATACCTGGGCACGGTGGCGCTGGCGCCAGCGACGCGAATCATCGACATGGCCATATCCGGACTGCTCGGAGGAGGCGACGACTCCGACTCCGGAGGGGGATTCGCCAGCTACGCGCCGTCGCTCGCCGTCGGCATCCAGCGCTACGACTCGTCGTATGACCTGACCCTGCTCGGGCCGGGGATGCGCCGCCGGATGGCCGTCGCGGAGCGCGCGCAGGTGTGCGCGACCGGCCTCGCGGGGCTCACCCTGGACCTGGCGCTGGAGGACGTGGTCAGCCTGACGGGGGCGGCGGGCGACCTGCCGCTGCTGCAGCGGTGGCAGGACGAGACGGCGCCGTCGAGCGGCCGGGCGCGCGCCCCGCTGCTGGTCGTCCAGGGGCTCAACGACACGAGCATCCTGCCGGGCACGACGCGGGAGGCGGTGGAAAGGGCGTGTGGCGCTGGCAGCGCGGTGCACCTCAGCTTGTACCCCGGGGTGGAGCACTCGCCGCTGCTTCCGGCCTCGGCGCCGGAGTGGCTCGCCTGGATAGATGCCAGGTTCGCGGGGCAAGCGCTGAGTGAGAATTGCTCGACAGTTACAAGGGTGCCGTTTGGGAATGGCGCTTATATGAAGTTGCCGCCCGAAGACGACATGAAGGCAGAGTACGGGTTATAGCAGGGAGTTCTGTTTGTCTTGTTGTATAGAGTAGATTAATTCATAAGCTTTATCCTTCTCTTAATTTCCACTCTCACCAAGTCCTCAGATTCCAGCCCACCACCCCGTGGCTGTGTCAACTCTGCCAGGTCTGCGCGGCTCCTAGAGGGTGGCTGTCAGAATTGGCCAGCCATCCTGACTGAAGTTGAGGTAGTTGTACCCAAATCGCAAGTTTGGCGGATCGGCGGTATTATCTTGGTCTGCTCATGCGGTTATTAATTGGATGATATCTCGTGTATTTAGGGGAACTCACACTGATACCACATGCACAGTCCCTCTGTCGGGTCGTTGATGACGCCAACTGACCCGGGTGCAAAGACAGTTGCCTGAATTGTAAGTCGCTAAAGTTTTGAGCCGTTGATTCCAGTGCCAGTGTATGTAAGAAGACCACAGCCCGAAACCTCGGAGAATGCGCCTACAGGTATTTGGGAGCCTGGCAGGGTCACCACTTCGGAAGAGGCATAAGCAAACGCTAGTGAACAAGCCAGCGATAAAGTAGTCGGTCAAGTCTTTTATTAGGTGATCGGTTTCTGACGTTCCCCCGCGGCTACAAGGAAAGATCGAAATTGTTTGCTGCCAATGACACAGAACACGCCTTTGTTTAGGAAATGCGGCAATGGTGAAGTCTTGCAGGGCTGGGAAGTGAGACAGCCTGAATTGGTAATCATTGCTCTAACATTCAAGTCTATTCTCTTCTCGGTGCCTTCAGTCGAGCCTTGGACTGTTCCAGACCGGCTAGCTACACCCAGCGAGTAAGCCGGGTCGAACAAGATCAGTCTAAATGAAGCGATGGTACGAGGACTCAGCCTGATCTCGAAATCCAAATTACGTCGTGGAATGAATCACCTTGAAGTTTTCTTGACGTATAAATATGGCTGCCTCTTCCGTACTTCGATTCTCAAATATCGCACCACCATCCGACAAAGTTGTATGTGGCCACTGTCGACACGATGAAGTACTCACTCCCCCTTGCCGCAATCCCGCCCTTGGTAGCCGCGTCCGACAGTCTCCCCGAGAATTTCAAGCAGGGAGCCAGATGGCAGGTCGAAATCCTAAGCCCTCTCCAAATCTCCAATACCACGCAGAAGCTGATTCCCGACGCCGACATTTGGGACATTGACCTGTGGCATGTTAAGAAGAATCCTGACATCATCACCCAGCTCCATGTAAGTGACAGGTTCCGAGGACGGTAATCAGATTTAATGACCCACGAGAATCAATAGAGGCTCGAAAAGACTGTCATCTGCTACATGAACCTGGGGGCCGTGCAGCCCGAGGACTGCGACTTCACGGACTGGTACAAGCCGGGCTCTGCAGAGGACAAGTGGAACGGCCCGTGGTACTACGACGCCAACTTCGACCCCAATTCCACCCACAACGAAGACAACCGGTACTGCGAGCGCTACGTCAACTTTACCGACACCGCCGTGCTCGACCTCATGAAGGGCCGCCTCAAAACCGCGCGCGACCTCGGCTGCGACGGCGTTGACCCGGACAACATCGACATCGCCGGCATCACCTGGGGCGACAACGTGGAGGCGCCGTCACCGGACAAGGTCGCCGACGCGCTGGAGGCGCTCGCCGAGCACGCGCACAACATGATCTCGACGCGCGGCCACCGGTTCCTGATCGGCCAGAAGAACGGCGCCGACCTCCCGGCGCGGCTCGCCAAGACCCTCGACTTTGCCGTCCTGGAGCGCTGCCTGGAGGAAGGGCTGTGCGACAAGTTTGGCGGGTACTTGGCGGCGGGCAAGCCGGTGATTGACATTGAGTATCCCGCGTCGCTGCAGGACGAGACGGACGAGACGAACAAGTGTAACCTGAATCGCAAGAACGACTGCGACAAAGGAGATGAAAAGTGCCCGTGTAGGGACATTTCGGGCGAGTCTTTCAAGAAGATGGACAGGGTGATCAAGTTGGACTTTACGGACTACGGGCTGAATGGGTGCACGCAGTACTGCGATTCGGGGGTGGTGGTTACGCCGACGGATACGAAGACGAGGAATGTCTGCGATGATGATTTTGGAGGGAAGTGCAGCGAGGACCCGAAGCGAGTTGAGAATGGCTGCTGTAAATAAGCCTACGAGTTGCGGCCGGCGCTGGCTGAATTATTAGAAGACCAGCACAATTTCTCAGAAGGTACATATGAATGAGTAGTAGTTTGCGAATGTTGGCATTCGGATAAGATTAATTGCCGAAATTTACCACTATAGATCGTGCAGGACCTTTGTTCCCGATGCTTGGTCGTTGGACAGGTCGTCCCGCCTTGTAATTCACCTTGGGTAGCACGTACACATATTTCACAAGCCCCTATATACCGAAATTACTACACGTTAAGGTATGTACGGCCATAGCCGAGTGATAAATCTGGATCCCGTCTGATCTCCGAGCGATAACCACTCGAGCGCCTGAGTAGTAGCTGGGTCGGTGACGACCAGCGAACTCCGGGTGCTGTACGTTCTTTTTGCACTTTTTGCACTTTTGGTTCCTGGCAAGGGACCTGCTATACTTTCCTTTTTGCAGCTGGTAGGTAGTACTTGTGGAATGATGGGAATCACACATCGGGTATATTACCACTGAAGCGGGCAAGCAACTTGGCCATGTATTTGGCGGGCTCGTATTGAAGGCACAACGACCCCGTGTCATGATGAACTCTCAGGATAGCCATTGCGAATTGCTTACCAGCGACCTCCAAACGCCGCCGCCCAATCCAGGACCGTGAATACGGCGTCCAGCACCGTGATGCGGTCCAGGCCCCTACCCATGATCCACCGCCCGGACGCGCGGGTGCGCGTGACGTTGAGCGCCGCTGCGAGCAGTTGCCCAGCCCCAGCACGAGCAGCACCACAAAGTCCGGCGACAAGTCACCGTCCGCGGTGCGCATCGCAAACGGCGTGGTCGCGGTCGCGGTCGCGGTCGCGCGCGCCGCAAGAGGCCCCAGACGCGCAGGATGGCGAGCGCGGCTAGGGCCGTGTTCATGCCGCCCAGGTAGGCCATGACGTCGTGGTGCCAGGCGTCGCCGGCGGGCAGCGCGGCGACGGCGGGGTCGTGCGAGGAGCGGCGCAGGGAGAGCTTGCGCATCATCAGGTCCTGGCGGAAGGAGAAGTGGTAGAATGCGCGGGTGGCTGCGTGTTAGTCGAGTGAGGCGAGGCGGGCGGGATTGCTGGGTGGTGGATGGATGGACGAGAGAATGTGATCAAAAGGTGAAAATCACAATCTGTTTCTTTACTACGCCTAGAAAGAAGAAAGAAATACAACATCAAGTCTCAGGCGTATAAGATCAGATGGAAAATGACATGCTTGCATTGGGCAGACCCCCGGTTTGTCGAGAGCCGCGGTGTATTAGATAGTGTGTATGGTAAGCTATGCCGTAGGTAGAGGTACAAGAAAAGAGCTAATAACAAGTTTGGGTGTCTTCTGTCTGCAGGGGATGCCTCGCATGCACTATGCTCGCGGCATCATGCCAGCCTGCGCGATATGTATACCGGTGTCGTGGACCACGCTTCATCCACGTCCACATGACACCTCCCCTTTCATGAGGGAAACAATTTTGCAATGAAAACGACATGGCGAGAGGAAAGCAAAAAGTCATCAAGAGTCGTAAAAGTGTTTGTTTTGTTTCTTTCCATTTTTCTTCTTTTGTTTTAGATGGTCTTGGGGACGGGACCAAGGACGTCGTCGACCATGCCCTTCCAGAGATCACGAATCATGCGGCCGTGCTCGCCGTCGGCAGCAGCAGCAGCGGGCACGTCGTGGGCAAACTTGAGCTCGATGCCGTCGAGCGCCAGGCCCTCGACGGCGGAGAGCGGGGTGGCGGGCGCGACGCGGTCGGGCTCGGCGGCGAAGATGGTGGGCTTGGAGAAGGCGGCCTCGGGGACGGGCGGCGCGGGGGCGTGGGCGACGCCGTAGTTGTCAGGCAGCAGGGGTACGCGAGGGCCGGCTGGCGCGGCGGGGGCGAGGTCCATGGAGGGGAGGATCATGGCGTCGAGGTGCATCGGGGGCACGCCGACCTGGCTAGCGCTGGAGTGGAAGGTCTGCATGAGCGGGCGGGGACGGCCGGCGATGCTGGGCTGGGGGGTCGGGCGGTGGGTGGTGGTGATGCCGCGGGACTGAGCAAACGGGGGCTGGTCAGTGGATTGGACGGGGAGGAGGAGAAAGAAACAAGGGAAGGGGAGGGGAAACGAACCTTCTTTTGCTCGCGGTCGTGGAGGAGCTCGGCGTACTTGGGCATCAGGGGCGCGCCGGCATGGTGATGGGCGGCGCTGTCGAGGAGGGAGCTGCCGCTGCGGGTGACGGCGGCCGGGGCGGCGGTGGAGGAGATGGCGCGGGAGAGCTTGGCGACGGGGGCGGTGACTCTGGACATGATGATGGCGATTGCGTGTGTGGTCTTGAGAGGAGAGTTTGGCTGAATGGTTGGTGGTCGTTTGTTGAGTGGCAGAGAGAGCCTGTACTTGGGTGGGGGAGAGCAGGTCAAGCAGATGATATGGACAAGGCAGATTAGAGACTGGATGGATGTATGTATATTGAGAGTTTTGGTATGGAAGAGGAGAGCGAGCAAGCTAGGAAGATATAGTAAGAAAGAGGAGGGGAGGGGGAATGGTGCAGAAAGGAAGGGCGCGTGACGGGAGCTTTAATAATAAATGTTGAAGCTGTTGGGGATGGGGGGGGGAGGGATGGATGGATATGGATGGATGGGGTGATGGGCTGTTCTGGATGTTCGGGGGGCTTGTCTAGAAGGGTACCTGCAGGATGCACCAAGCCGGGCGCGATGACGAAGTATCTCGGTGGAATAAGGCAAGGCCGCTGGGTAAGGCGATGCAAGAATACGACCCCGACAGGTGTGTTTGCTGGTCATAATTAGTGAGCTTTAGTGAGGTTTTAGTGAGCGGACCCGCTGTAGCTCCAGCTTCTGCTCTCCACTGTAGACTGGTCGAGTACCTTTGTGAGGCCGCCATCCTGCTCAACCAACTGGAATCGCACCATGGCTGTTATTTTGGGCACGGATTTCCCGGAATAACTGGATTCTTTCCCCTCCCTTGCACGCGGTGTTTTGGAGCTTCTTGTTTGGCTGGCCCCCAGTTCGTCATCACATATCAAGCCAATCTCCCCGACTATCAACTTAGCGGCACCGCCACCGCCAGTCCGCCAAAACGGCTCCGACTTCGCCGTGAGTTATCAATATGTGAGTCTTGGTGTATCGTACCATCAAATTCATCAAATCCTCTCCCTTTTCACAGACTGCCCCTTTGTGATGAAGAATACTCACTTTGCAGCATGATTACACAACATACCACCCCAGGGATCCGAAACCCGCTCTGGTGTAAGACACTACTTTACGCTTATTTTGTATTACTCCATCTCGCACCACCGTCGCCTGTCTGCCGTAGTAATGGTGCATATCTGCCAGCCTGCCAAGCGAGCTCGTCCCCAAAAGGGTGGCATTGGCTTATTCCAGTTCTTGCCCGCGGCATCGAATCACAGATGCCGACCGCAAGTTCTCGTTTCTGGACAAGTGGGAGTGCCGATCGCCCCCAGCTGCCGCAACTGGCTCAATTCCCCGACGGGCATAATCTGTACTACGATACCAATTCCAAACTCGTTTCTTGTTTCTTGTCTGACAACACATGACTGCATCCAAAACGCCTCCCCCTTTCTTTCCTCTTCGTCGACATCTGCAAGGGCCGCGGGGTCTGGGCGTCCAAGAATAGCTGCTACACGCGGCCCATCGTCGTTGGGGAAACAAGACGAACAGATCAGGGGACGCTTCCGGACACCTAGAAAAAGTTGTTGCCTCTGAATGGCCCTCCCTGATCCACTCGGGCCACGTCCCGGGATACCAACCAAGCCCCCCGGCCCATGTCTCAACCATGTTGGGGGATCTACCTTGCTGGCTCGCGACAACATCTGGGCTGTTTTTGCGGTCAAGCCTGGCGCTAGAAGCTCGCCAAAAAGAAAAAGAAAATACGAATGGACGGGATGGTGAATGCTGACGATTTTGAGACCACAACATACCATGCCCACCATGCCGTCTCACAGAGGGACTCGAGTCGGGGTTCGCTGCCAGGTCGCGGTGGGAAACCCGGGCTTTCGGTACCTTTTTGAAGTGCTGCCTATGGCACGTTTTGGCGTGCTTACATCCAGGATCCCGTGCAGGCTTGAATCACGATTCTTCACCAGCCTTGCACGTAAAGTGGTGCAACATGATTACGAATACCAACAGGTGTCAGTTTCTTTCTTGTTTTGCTATGTAATGAGACCTCAGGGTTGTTGGGTCAGGCGCCCTGGACATCCTCAACCAAATCTTAGACAACTCTCAGAGCCCCCTTGGTCCAGTCCCAGAAGCCGCCACGTCGCGTCGACATGCCCTTGTCTACAGCCAATGGCCAAGCAGGGATTAGTTCCGAGTACGAAGACTGTATCCGTAAGTTCTCTCTCAAAACGATTTCCTTCCACCTGCAACGGAATGGTACTCTCCAACAAGCACAAGGAAGTTGCGTCGGCGGCCTCTGGCTCGTGGAAACACCAGCGTCTCAGCACAATGTTGCACTGTGTTTGATGCAACATTATTATTAGCTCAAAATACCTGCAACTCTGCTCAAAACAGCAAGGCACGCAATCTCCGCATCTCATCCGCCAAGGCGCGCTGCTACGGTGAAAAGGTGCTGCAACTTCTTGGCGCGCGACAAGTCCAATGATACAAGCATAAATTTTGAGTCATCCTAAACACCAAACCGAAAAGCGCTACGCTAATAATGATACATTAATGACACGCTGTAAATCTCCCTTGCCCCGCGATGTTTTGGTACCTTCTTGTAGAATATCGCTTAGATGGGCTTGGCGGCCTCATTCCCGTCCTCTCCTTACATAACATGGTTCGTTCCTTCTTGCTTCATCTAATCATCTCTCTCTGCACCCTCCTGCTTCCGTCGTAGCTTCTCCGCCTCCACGTCCACCAGACCGAGCATGACCGGCCCGATCTTGAGCCCCCATCCGCCCACGCCCTCGCCGCTGCCATAGCCGAGCACGCGGCCGCCCAGGTCCAGCCCGCCAAAGGAAAGGCGGCCACCAGTCTGCTGCTGCTGCTGCTGCTCGACCGCCGCAGCCTCTGCGGAGCTGGTTCCGCTCTCCCGGACAACCGGCGCGGCGGCCTCGGAAGGTTTCTTCTCGTCCGCTGCCGCCGCCGGGGGATGGTACGCCCCGGCGGCTTGCTGATCGGCGGGCGGCGCCTCGACGTAGCCCTCGACCCAGCCCTCGGGCCGGACACTGTCCTGCGGGCGCGTGCTTGCTTGTGATGTGGCCTCGCTGTACGAAGGCGGTGGTTGTTCGCTGCCGGACGACATGGCGTATGGGGCTAGATCGATGGATGAATTCTTCACGCTCTGATGGTGCTTAGGGGAAGACGAGGCAGGAAATGCTCATCTTTATCAGCTTTTGTAAGAAAAAAAATTTGAGGCCATCACGTGGCTGCAGCGTGAGGCCTCTGGGTGGTTGGGGTTTGCATGAGTGCCTTACCCCGCGCGGCGTCTAGAACGCGTGGCTACAGCCCTTTTCCACGCAATCGCTGTCGTGGACCTGACGTTTTTGCAAATAATGCTGTCAATTTTAGATGCCCATGAAGCGTTCTTGGCCTCTTCCCTATGCAGGTAGAGTAGGCCACCCTCGATTATGTGCGAAACACACCTTCTAGGGCAGGCCGTCCAGGTGGGATCGTGCCCAGCATTGCATAATGCACCAAGCAACAATGCCAATTGATCAGGAGACTTTACAATTACTGCAATCACGAAAAACGCACGTATGATAGTATGCAGGACACTCGGGCCCACGTCCCAGCATCGACCATCAACGGGCGCTTATGAGCAGGAAACACTCAAGGAACGAGGCATTTCATGTCATTAACCATCTATTTTACATACCGACCCAGCTATATAAATGAAGAAAGAAAAAAAAAGGGTATATCTAGTTTTTAAATGTTCTTGGAGTTGGCGGCAATCATGTTGCGGACCGGGAACTGAATCCAAGCAGGCAGGGAGCGGAAGCCCGTGATGAAGGACAGCCTCTCCGGGCAGACAATCTGGGCGCCCTTGCAGGCAAAGACCTGGTCGGTGAGCTGGCGGGCAACATCCTCGCTGGTCAGCAAGCGAATGCCGCCCTTCTCGAGCTCCTTGCTAAAGTCCTTGACGAGCGGCGTGGCCACGAAGTTGGGGTGGACGACGGTGGTGAGCACGCCGGAGACGCCGTGGGTGTTGCGCAGCTCCGAGTTGAGACTCTCGTGGAAGGCGAGCGCCGCGGCCTTTGTCGCCGAGTAGTCGGCGCCCTTGGCCAGCGCGACGAACGAGGCCATGCTCGCGACGGTGACGACGTGGCCCTTGTTCACCTCGACCATGTGCGGCACGAACGCCTGCACCAGGTACCAGTGGGAGATGGTGTTGACCGCGAAGACCTTGTTGAGCGTGGCGGGCGGGATCTCGAGGATGTTCTTGGGCACCGTGATGCCCGCGTTGTTGACCAGGATGGACGGGTGGCCGTACTCGGCGCGGACCGCGTCGGCGACGCGCGCCACCTCGTCCGGGTTCGTCACGTCGCACCGGAAGTAGCGGATGTGGCGGTGGCCCTCGAGCGCCTTGGGCAGCGGCTGCACGTCCAGGATGGCGCACCGAACACCGCGCGCCGTAAGCTGCTCGACCACGTTGCGCCCGATGCCGCTGCAGCCGCCGGTGACCACGGCGACCTCGCGCGGCCAGTCCCAGCCGGATGCCTTGCCGAAGCGCCACGAGTTGGTCGCGGCCGAGTTGAGCGCCCCGTTGACCGCCTTGACGAGGCCCCAGCCAAAGACGACCTTCAAAGCCAGCTCGATGGTCTCCGGCCGGATGTGCTCGCCGACGGTGGTGCCGGCGGCGGCGGACAGCCGGCGGACGGCGTCGGCGCGAAGGTCGGGAGGAGCCTGGGTGAAGGCGAGAAGGGCGGCGCCGGTGACGAGGGGGCTGGTGAGGAGGCGCGCGAGGGCGCCGAGAGCCTGGACGGGCGACGACTCGAGGTAGTGGACGAGGGTCATGATTGGGGTGTGATGTGTTTTGCTTGTCGGTGCGTTGTCGGCTGTATCGTGGGAGCTGGCGCACTGCGGGCAAAGTTGAAGATGGCGAGTGCAAGGAAAACAAACGAGTCCAATTGACTATGGGCAAGGACAGAGAAGGGCGAGAAAAGGGTTAAATACAACTGACGACGGCCCAGAATTCGAGGGGCTCCGTCGCTCTGATCCTCGGCTTGGAGCAGCTTCTCTCGGCTGCGGCTGCGGTTGGGGTAAACTAAACTTGGAAAGCCGATGCGCTAACCGGATTGGGCAGCCGGGGTAATTTACAGGTGTCTCCTTGTGCGCTACAGGGGAGTTCCAGGGGCGAAGGCACTATATTGAGCATTCCTTCAGCGGCTCTTACACTGTTCCCTTGCACATTACGGCGAGGAACGGCTCTATGGCAACATTAAGAACCCTTGAATCAGAGGAAGCAGTCGGTGATGAGGACGTGATGTTGGTGCCGGCAGAGAGATTTTTCTTTTCTTCTTTTCTTACCTTACAAGGGATACGCAAGAAGTGTACATATGTATGTATAGCGAGCCAAGAGAACAAGTGAGCCCGTTGGAATAATTAACGCCGGGGCCGGGCCAACCAGCCATCCCGGCACTCTGTCACTCGCCGAGGCTGCGCCGTGACAATACAGCGACAGTGTTGACAATGACACCACAATACGAGAACCCGAACCCATCTCGTCACCCTCAATTATATCAACAGCCCATTCATCAGAGCCTGAGCCAGCATTATTCCCCAACAGACTCACTGCCCCTCTTCAACTCCCGTCTCCATATGGGGCTTTGGGAAGCACCGAGTTGCATGCGGCCTCCATCAGGACGATCCCCATACAGGTAAACTTGTGTGGAATCACATGCATCTGTAATTTGTGCTTGACGACGGCTATTGCAGGTCCTTCCTGATTCATGGCACACGTGTACCTGACTTGACCCCCCAGCCCTAAAACAGCTCGCTATGCTTTACCACTAGGTAGCCAATGACAGACAGCAAAACAATTCGACCTACCTAGCCGTCTGATACCCAAAAAGAATGTCACATCCAATCCTGGGCCAACAAGCTTCTAGATCCAATCCATCCATCACATCTCTAGAAACAAGTCGCATCGTCCGATTGATCCATCATTGCAGGGGCCTCCCGCCCAATCGAGTGCCGTACGGGATCCACGGACCCGACAAGCTCCGCCCTAAAAGTCCACTGAGTCGGTCCAACTATGAGGCATCCCATCCAATCTTCATGCTCGGCCCATCTGGCCCATCTCCGGTCCATAGATTCACAGGAGCTTCGCAATCTTGACTCGAAAACCCTGTCGGGCAAATGACTAGGTTCAAAAACGTGGTTGTCTGTCGCGTATCTCAGTGAAGCCGAGAGCCAAACCTACTCTGACAAGGGCCAAGCTGCCACTCAAACCCCGCTTTGTCGTAATAGCCCTATACTTGACTGTCAAGTCTTTACGGCATTTCATTCAACTTACAACCCGCTATCTAAAATGCCACTTACAAGCAATGCCTCTTCTGCACTGCCTTCTCTGCTCTACTATTCAAGGCCACATCCTTGCCCAGTAACAGAGCTCAGCAGGACATGCAGCATATAAATCCCAGCTTAGCCACAAGTACTTGGTGGGGAGGGGGGGGGTGGAGTCCGCGGACAGCACCGCCGCCCCCAAGGCATCGCTACTTCATCTGCTAAATATCTACTAAATATCTTCTAAACTCGCAGACCGTCATCTACTGACGACTGTCTGATCTGAAGCCATCACCAGCCATCAAAGACACTTCCACAGACCTCATCGTAACCGTGGCTTCTTTATGACGCACGTCAAAGCCGGCCAGCGGCGCCGCGCCAGGGCACCCAAGGTCCGCACAGGCTGCCGAACTTGCAAGTGAGTAACGGTCCCCGGCACGTGGATGAGATCCATCTAACCAACGGCCCTTGTACTCGGAGCCGATGGCATGTCGCTAACACGATACGGCTTTAGAAGTAAGAACATTGACTCTCTCCTCTCTCTACATGGCTCCTCGTTCAATTCATTGCCCTCTAGAAAAGACGATGCTGACAATGTGCTTCCAGTCCGACGCGTCAAGTGTGACGAGGGCCGTCCATCCTGTAATAGATGTACGTCATCAAGCACGTGCTCATCAAGATCCTACTCGACTGAAAGCTCACCAATCACCACCTAGGCGTATCTACAGGCCGCACATGCGACGGCTACGGCCCCGTCGTCACCACCCCCTCCGCAACCCCGTCGCCGCCGCTCCCACTGTCTCCGCGCGCCGCGTACACGGGCCAGGAGTGGCGCTCCTTCCAGTACTTTCACGAGAAGACGCTCAAGCAGCTGTGCACCTTCTTCCCGAACGACTTCTGGACCTCGTACGTGCTCAAGATTGCCAGCACCGAGACCAGCATCTGGCACTCCCTCATCGCCCTTTCCTCGTACCACGAGCTCTTCGCCGAGCCGCACCGGCACGCCGAGGAAGACGACCGCTTCGCCCTCAATCAGTACAACTCTTCCATCCAGCAGGTGCTTTGCATGGATAGAAGCTCGCAGAGCGCGCACGTCCAGCTCGCCTCGTGCATCCTGTTCATCTGCGTCGAGGTAAGGAAGCCCTTGTGGCGGAACTCGCCTTCACACCAGCTGGCTAACAGGAAGCTACAGACGCTTCGGGGTCAGATCGTCCCGGTGGTGAGGCTGGTCACGCTGGGCTATAGGATCCTGCAGGCGGAAGATGCCCTGGACAAGACGTTCCGGCCGCCCGCCGCCGACGCCTCGGATCGACGGAAGCTCTTCGCGCTGGCCCGCAGCTTCCTCAGCCAAGTCGTCTGCCAAATATACGTCGTACGTGCCGCTCATCCCGGTCTTTTCCCCAACTTTCTAACCTTGCCCCGTTAAGCTCATAAACGACCTCGACCCCGGCATCAACGCCATTGCCGCCAACATCATCGAGAGCGGCCACGGCCCCGGCCCGCGCGGCTACCGCTTCGCCACCGCCGCCGACGCGCAGGCCGTGCTCAACAGCATCCGCCTGCACTTCGACCGCTACGACGAGGGCGCCATCGAGACCGCCCGCGCCGACCTCGCCGCGTGGACGCTCGCCTTCCACGCCCTTCGCCGCCGCGCCACGCCCGCCGAGGGCCGCGCGCTGGCGCTGCTGGAGCTGCGCCGGCTGTACTTTGCCGCCGAGCTGTCCGTCAACATTGTGCGCGGGCCGGTCGACCCGATGCTGTGGGACGTCCACCGCGAGACGTTTGTCAAGATCCTGGCGCTCGCCGAGGTCGCCATGTCCCGCGACGACGACGACGGCGACGGGCCGCAGTTTCACATGAACTCGGGGGCGGTGCCGGTGCTGTACGGCCTGGTGCAGAAGAGTCGCGACAGGGACCTGCGCGCGCGCGCGATACGGTTGCTGGCGGCGCAGGATAGACAGGAGGGCGTGTGGAGTAGTAGGATGGCGCTGGGCACGGTGATGCGCGTCGTGGCGATCGAGGAGCGCGGGCTTACGGGCCCGATGACGTGTGCGGATATCCCGCGCGAGAATAGAGTCAAGACGATCAAGGTGGTCGAGAAGAGTCCGGGCGACTACACGGTGGGATTCGAGCTGTATACCGGGTGGCACTGGGAAGATGCGAGTGCGTTTTTAGCATAGGTGGCGATGACTTGGACCGGGAGAAATGAAACTCATTCCCATGGTATATATTTGTAAATAAAATAATTGACTCATACACATTGTCGCAGGAAGCAACTCCTGCTCCTAAATTGTACACAATCTATACAAATCACACACCCATAGCACTACCGGTTCGTTAACATATTACCTTGTAAAAATGCTTCCACCGTGGCCAGCTGTCGCGCTCCTCCTTTTCCTGCGCTATCAGTATCGGCAGGTTAAACTCGCGCCTGCCCGTGTCCATGTCGAGGTTCTCAATTCTCACGTAGCTCGTCTTGTAGTAGAACTTGTGCCCCAGGAAGAAGAGGAGCACGACCGGCGCGCCCATCCACTTGAGGAAGAAGTTCTGCACGATCTGGCGCGCCGTCATGTTCTGCGAGTTGACCGGCGACACGCCCACCCAGAACTGCGTGGTGATGACGAGCCCGTTGAGCGCCAGCCCGACGTACGACCCGGCGACGCCGAACTGCGCCTGGAAAGGCAGCTCCTCGGGGGAGTGGCCGCGGGCGGCCCAGGCGCGCCGGAAGCGCACGTGGCACATACAGATGGACCCCCAGGTGAAGATGGTGGACAGCCCGGAGGCGGTCAGCAGCCACTCGAGGACGACCTGCTGCTGGCGGAGGTCGGCGAGGTACGCGAGCAGGCCGACCGCCGCGGCGAGGGCGATGGCGACGAGCGGGCGGCCCTTGCGGTCGACGTAGCCGAGGATGCGCGGGGCTTGCCGCAGGTTGGCCATGGCGGCGAGCGTGCGCGTGCTCCCGAAGACGGCCGAGTTGCCGACGGACAGGATGGCGACGAGGATGACGGCGTTCATGACGGACGGCAGCACCTGGATGCCCGCGTCCTCGATGGCGATGACGAAGGGTGAGGCGCTCGCGTCGACCGGGTTGTCGCCGCCGTACAGCCGCGGGCTGTTGTAGGGCACGAGCAGGCCGACGAGGGTCAGCGCGATGACGTAGAAGAGGGTGATGCGCCAGAAGACCTGCTTGATGGCGGTGGGGAGCGACTTGCGCGGCGCGGCGGTCTCGGCGGCGGCGAGGCCGACGAGCTCGGTGCCGGCAAAGGCGAAGGCGGCGGTGGTGAAGACGCTGCAGATGCCCTTGAAGCCGTTGTGGAAGGCGCCCGGGTCGTGCCAGTACTCGCCGCCGATGTAGCCGCTGTCCGGCGTGCCGCCGATGTTGAGGACGATGCCGAGGAGGCTGGGGGTGACGGAGTCAGCGGGAGGCGGTGGAAGGGAGTTTGGGTGGGGAGGCCTACATGAAGCCTAGGATGGCAATGACTTTGATCATGGAGAAGGCGTATTCCGCTTCTCCATAGCCTTTAACGCCAAACATATTAATGGTTATAATGACGACTAAGAAGATGGTGACGAAGACGGCCCTCGGGATGGAAGCATTCCAATACTCGATGGTGAGTGCAGCCGCAATGATCTCCAACGGCAACACACCCAGCCATTGTATCGCGTAGCTGGTTAGGATGTTTAGTCAGTCTTTGGGTCTCGCAGCTGGTTGGTGACTTGACTGCACTTACTTCCAGCCCATCGCGAATCCCCAAGAGGGGTCTAGGAATCGCGTAGACCACGATGAGAAGGAGCCGGCGATGGGGAAGACGACGGCCAGCTCGCCGAGCGCCTGGCAAGTGCAGAACAGCATGATGCCGACGACGGAGAAGGCAATCAGGAGCGACGCCGGGCCGCCGACGGCGAGGGCCTTGCCGCTAGCGACGAACAATCCGGCACCTGCAAGAGTTGGTCAGTTTCTTTTCCTCGCCTCATCAACTCTCCGGCACGCACCGACGGAGCCGCCAATGGCAATCATCTGGAGGTGGCGGCCCTTGAGGCTGCGCATCAGCCCCCCCTGCTGGGCGTTGTCGACGGTTGCGCTGCGCAGGTCGTAGTGCGGGCCGACGCCGTGGGAGCGGACGATGGTGTCGGCGTCGGCGTCGACGTTGCCCCTGTAGAACTCGGACTGGGGATCGCGGCGGAAGCCCTGGAAGAAGCGCTGGACGCGCGTCGGCGGCTCGTCGCCCATGGCCGGCTGCAGGAGGTACCCCGTCGGTCCCCCGCCGCCGTCCTTGCTCCAGCGGTGGTCATCCATGTTGGAACCCGCCGGCGCCGGGGGGCGGTGTTGCTATGCGAGAGTCGCAGGACGCGATGGAGATTTGTCACATCGATCCGGAGAGGCTCCCTGGACGTGTCGTTTGTATCAGGCTGGTGCTTGTCGTCGAGATGAAATCTGACGAGAGACGATACCTGGCAGGCGAAAGGGCAAGGGGGGAAAAGCGTGACTCTCAGCAGAGAATTGAGCTAGCGCAAGGTCTTGGGCGGCGGCGAGGCCGTGGCCGTTTATTTACTAGTTAGTATGTACATACGCCGAAGGCAACACTGCAATGCCGATCGACTCGCGCTCAAAGGCTGGCTGACATGAATGAGCTGGTGGCGTTTTAGTGGTATGAGGAGGGTGGAACAGGCGAAGACGCTACGCGAATCGCAGATGCGAGAGCAAACTTGATGCACGTTTAGGACGGAGCTTATTAAAAGGCAGTGTTGAAAAGCTAGGCGGTTGGTGGGCTTGGCTGGTTGGTGATGCTAGATGCTCACAGGCTACTTATTAGGACCATTTTGGTGCTGAGAGTTGAAAACGGCCCAAGAGGTAAGCCTCAGAGGCGGTGGCTGAATATCAGACGCCATAATCAGCTGTTTGCCACTGAACAAACGTTCATGCACGCCTGGTGGGCCAACAGAAGGAATTGAAACAAGAAAAAGGCAAAAAAAGGCAGAGACAACAAGACAAGTAATAGCGTGTTATTAAATGGCTAGACCTGCTGTCGCAAGGAGGACAAAATGGCAAAAAATGGATCTCCGATGCGGGGAATTGAACCCCGGCCACTGCGGCTCTCAAGGATGAGATTGAAAGCGCAGGATCCTAACCACTAGACGACATCGGATAGGCGTCTTGTTAGTTGACGATTGGCGGACTATTCCTCTATATACACATACATTAAGCTGCCTTCAAGAATATGCCCATTCTCAGCGCGTATCTTAAGAGTCTAAATCCTACAAATTTTGACACGGCATCTTATTCGCCTAGCATCGGCGCATCTTTTATACTGGCTAACAGAAGAATGCGACCTGCGAATGCAGTGCCGAGCGCCTCGCACCGCGGGGCTGCCAAGTACTTCGTCACGCTTCATACCTATACAAAGATGTCCCAGAAATCATAGCAAAGTATATTAATGCCGAGCTCTCGCCAAGCCTACACTAAATACTACACAGCGCAATTGGCACCCTCGCTTATTGTATTTTGACTTGCATTTTTTAATACCCTTTCCTTTCGTTGAACCAGTAGCGCCTCCTTGCTCCAAAGGGCGTTGATCCAAATTGTTGCCCTGCTTCTACTAGTCGGCACAAAAACCAGAGACATATAGGAGGTTGACCACGAACACCATATCTACGGTCGCAAGCTCTACCGCTTCTTCGTAGAGGGCCGGGGCCTGCACTCGTCGCCGTTAACCGGGTGCAGCATGACCTTGATTGGGTAGTTTTGCGTGTTATGCTGGTAGCCCTTGCTCCAGTCATAGCCGACGGCGTAGGCAAAGATGGTGCCGGTCTTGTTGAAGGTGGTGGCGGTGATACTACCACCGACGTTGGGGTAGCCCTTAAGGCGGTGCTTGGCGTCCTTGTCCCAGAAGTGGAAGGTACCATCGGAACCGGCGGTGCTGAACGTGCCGTGGACGGGGTGGAACGAGATGGCATTGACGGCGTGGACGGCCACTGTGTTGTTGACCGCGGCGTCGCGGTGACACTTGAAGGAGAAGTTTGATCTACAAAAGTTAGCGGAAGCTTTGAGGGTAGCCGGAAGCTGTGAAACCAGGGCGAGAAGATGAGGAGAAAGCCTACGTAGAATCCTTATCCTCGACATATTGGATCGCACAGCGACCTTCGATGCTGCCGATGGCAAAGCCAGCAGCGTCCGTGAAGCAACTAACTACACGGGTTTGCCATTTTAGGGGGCTCTGAAGCGTCTTGTAGATCTTGGTCGGGTCCTTGAGGTTGATGACGTTGATGTAGCGGTCGGCCGTGCCCACGACGCACAGGTTGTCGCGCACGTCGATCGTATATACGCGTTCCTGGCACTGCACCGTCGCGGCGGCGCCTTGTTGACGCAGGTCCCAGTACTTGACCGTCTTATCCCACGAGCCTGTCACCACCATTGGCGTGCCGCTGTTGTCAAAGAAGCGGCACGAACGTACGGGCTGGTCGTGGGTGCCGATGACAATGTCCTGCTGAGAGGCGAGATCGCAGACCTTGACATTCTTGTCGGCCGATGCCGACGCGACCTTGGTTCCATCCTACAGATGTTTTGATGTCCTCGGTCAGCGTCTTTCTTCTTTGAGATCTTCCTCCCCTGCTGCCATGGTTTCCCACCCACTCACCTTGGAAAAGTCGCAGTCAAAGACGGGCTGGGTGTGCTCAAACGCGTGGCGGCCCTGGCTTTGGCCATTCTGGGCAATCTCGTAGATGCGAACTTTGTTATCCCAGCTAGAGATAGCAAGGAAGTCCTGCTGACTCTGGCCCGGCGAAAAGGTAAGCGCTGTGATGGTGTCCGTGGGAGGATCACTCAGCGCCACGTCGGACTTGAGGTCGCCAACTGCGTTGGAGGTGCTCGAGCTCGCGGCCGTCGCCGACGTCCCGAAGAGGCTCGACATAATTAAGTGTGTGGTGTGGCGTTGCAAAGCAAGCGGACCGTAGGAGGTGTTGGTGGTTTGTGGTACAGGTCCTCGCGGAACGCGTGCTCGAGGCCGTTGTGCTCTCGCGGCACCAGTCGCGACACCCGCAAGTGAGGCAGTAGAAGACCGATTTTATATCTATGGATAGGTCACTCGTGCTCTCTGAGAGTAGGCGGCGGTTGGTGGGGTGCAAGGCAGAGGTCGTAGCTGTGAATAGTTTCCGTGGTCGGTGGTTGAAATCGCGAAACTTGGGCAAGCTCCCGCTTAGAGCGGCGCTCCCCTGTAAATGCATGCGCCCAGCCATTTCGCGCGTCACCGCCCAAATCCCGACCCCACAAAACCAGCGCGGCAGAATTAAGAACTCCAAATTTTCTTGCCTCGCCTTTTCCTTTCCTTTTTTTTTCCTCTTCTCTTCATCTCCCCTTCGCTCAACAGATCGCTGTCGAAGCTTACACACAGAGATACTTCATCTGAAGCATCTCTTCCTCTAGCTTTGGGAGAAAGTCCCCGGACACCTTCTTTTCTTCCTCACCGATTAAAAGAACTTGCGGAAACGCGCCGCCATAAAAGCACTGCGGCTGACTTCCGCGCCTTGGCTGCCTCTGGCAGCGACCATGCCCGGCCCTCCGCTACATTCGCCTACCTCGAAGCTAACGCGACACCTTTTGTTCCCATAGCCGCCGCTCGAACCCTTACAGGATGAAGATACGAGTCCGAGTCGGGTGCGGTCGGGACGGAGTGTGCGCCTAGCAGACAGTGGGTGGATGGTGGGCTGACGCTTGTGGTTCTTGCTGTGGTGGTTTCGGGCGCAGAGGATTTTCGTCGAGGTCGATAGTTATGCGATTGCTGGCCTTCACGGCTCAGTTACTCGATGGGGCTCATTCTTGAGGCGAAGGGGGTTCCGAATCTAGCTCCGTCTGGACTGGACTCGTATTTTTTGTTGATGTCTTCCGCCATTGATCCCAATCCTTTTTTTACATTCTAAAACTTCACTGGAAGTTTCTGGGAAATTTGTCTGTCGCGCAGAGACGATCCAAGCTCATATGATGATGATCAATATTAGAGTCAAGCACCGAGCCAGAAACCCTGGTGATGTGGACCATATATATTATGTCAACTGATAGCTTGGATCTCTTTTGCCTTTTACTTTCTCCCCCTTCTCTCCACCCTTGCCTTTTGCTCCTCGTCTTCCTACTTGTTTGTGCTCTTCAGCCCCCCGTAAACCTCCGTACAGGCCTCGCATCATAGAATCACATCCGTAGTCCCTGAACGGCAGTGCCAGCGGCTCGGGTTAACATGTCAGTCACTGATACGCCCGTCAATTAGTTTAACAGCATGTAAACAAGCCCGCTCACGATATGGTGCATGATAGGCCACGGCTCACCGATCACATCGTCGGCTTCGCGAGCCGCCATCTACGTACCTCCGCCTTCCCGCGACATTCGACGTGAGAAGACCGTGGCGGGGTTGAGTTGATTGTCTCATTGTGACGTGAAAGCACTGCCGATATTTTTAAGGACGTATGTGTTTTCTGCGGTGCTACGTGCTGCAAGGCTACATGTAAGCCTGCTGGTACAATGCGTGAGTCGATTAGCTCTGCCCTCAACGCATTTAATTCTCTTCGGAAGGCACTCTGTAATGGGTTCAGACTCGAGGTGGGAATTGTGTCAATTTTTTACTGATACTGTAAAAGCCTCGTAGATTGCTGTGTTTCTGGGGAAGGAAAGGAAAGTGATAAGAGGGAAATGACAGGGAAGAAAATGGCTGTGTTTTCGGGAAAGAAAAGAGAGGTGATAAGAGGAAATGGCAGAAAAAAAAAAGGGCAAAAGGAGAGTGCCTGCAACAATTGGAATTCACTCGATGGCTCATCGCACTACAATCAAGGTCCGGACTCAGCTAAGATGCGACCAAGAAAGGCTTCCATGTTCGGGTGGTCGGTTAGCCTCAAGTTACCGTGCTTAACTTGTCTGGCCATCAGTAAGAAAAAATTCGTCACTGGGTTCGATGGCGACGGGGGCTGTCGACGGTGACTTGTTGGTGAACTCGGCCCAGCGTCAGATTGTGAAGAGGAGTCGCCCATGTTTAGTACAGGGTATGTGAACTTGCGGGACAATTGGAGTAAGTGGCTTGCGATGCAGTCGTGCACCTGTTCGTTGGGTTCATCGAGACACACAGATTCAGTATCCGTTGACTCATCGTCACTGTCGGTATCTGTTGACCACTCTCCGCTGTCGGTATCTGTCAACGCCTGCTCGTTGTCGGCATCGGTTGTCGCCTGTTCGCTAGCCGGGTAGCAGGTTCCGCAAATCGGGCAACTGTTCATGTCTCGGTTGCATTCTATGCCGTACCCCCGGGCTCTCTTTAACGTCTCCTCGTCATCTTTCTCGCCGTGATGCTGGTGTAGATGATGGGCCAAGTCTGCAGCCATCAGCTCAATAGACTCGAATTCGACCGGTGAGACACGATCGCAATCTGGGCAGAGCCAATGTACATTTTTGTACAAGTGGCAGGTCCAAATACTCGTGTGGTCCGTTTTCATGTGACCCTTCCACTCTTCAGCAGTCTCAAAACAGACCAAGCCGCCTCGCTGGCAGTGTTCGTACAGGCAAATGTATGGCTTAGCGGTATGCATGAAATGGCACCTATCTCGAGTTAGCAGGGTGATGCATAGCAAGGGATGATGCTTGTTGTAGAGATGCGCGGCGACTAACATGTCATTCGGGAGATCAACCGAGTCTTTGGAACATGGCTCTTTGCAGACTGGGCATTCCTGTTTCGCTGATGGAGGCGGAGGAGTTTCCACGGCAGGTAATGTCCACGAGGCTATTTCAGGACACTTGGATTCTTCGAGTCGCAGCTTTTTGTCTGCCATGATACAGAGCATTTTGTAGTGAGTGAAGAGCACAGCATCTTTTAAAGCCTTGAATAGACCGGCAGGTTCGTCGCTAGGTGCCCTTGGCTTTTCGATGGCAGCCTCGTCAGGCTCGAAATATTTCTTCTTGGTCTTTGAACACGAAACACCCCAGCTATGACGGAAAGTTGGTTTGAGATGAGGATATTGGACCATGATGTGCTGGATAACGGCCGGATTTAGGCCGGAAATGTTACGGTTCTCTCGGAACAACAGAACTCGTAATTTGAACCCGTACTCACTTTCCCTAAAAAGGATTAAGCGATTGGAAACCCGTTTCAGCTCACTGAGTATGTATTCGATTGCTGTGAATCCAGTATCGAAACAGTGTTGGAAAGGCTTTGGTTCAGTGTCGGTACTGCTTGCCTCCGAGGCATTTAGTCCGGCGTCGGTACCGTCAGTAGAACATGCTTCCTCGGCTTTTGGCTTGGCGTCGGTACCGTATGCCTTTGCGATCTTAAGGACTGTAGCAAGAAGCTTTCGATTAGGCGACAGGCGAGTTGACAGGAGTGAAGGAAACAGTTCCATACCTAACCACGAGCACTGGCCCAATGCACCTAGGCGGCTCTCTATGAAATTGCGAAGTGGAGTCCTTGATGCATCAAGCAGCGCGTCAAGGTTGCGTCCATTCTCAACCCATACGTCCAACAACTTGCACCATTTGTAGAACTTGCGGAGTGCGTCCCGGCTCTTGTCGCTGTTGATACTGTCGAGCAGATAAAAATAAATTTGTTCAAGAAACTTGTAGCATGCATCTGCCCGTTCATATATCGGGTGCGGAACGTTATGCGGGTTCTTTGCTGGGGAAGCGGCCTTATCGATTTCGTGCTTGTCGTTGGACGTGGAAGAACCCAAGTCACGCTCCATGACGGAAATTGATAACGATTAAAACGGCGGTGGTAGAGAGAGGCTTCCTTTCGGAGAAGTGGCCGCATCTTGAACCTTTATAAACACTACGAGGGCCAGATTACACAGAAGCATCAGTCATTCAGCGCTCCAGCCATCCGGTCCATTCATCAGCCAAAGCCACCGACAAGCCGAACCTTTTCTACCTGTACATTGTACCACAGACTGCCTTGCTACTACGTATTAGTATTGGGATGTGCTGGATGTGATACACTGGCAGGCTGGCACAAGTCAGTCGGGGCACATTAGCAGGGACCAGCATCTCTTTATCCGTACATGTAAGGCCGTACATGACGTATTAAATTGCCATAAATAGTCGCCCAAGTCTCCCTCACTTTGTTACTTCCACATTCCTGTTCCTTTCTTCCTGTTTTATGGCGCTCGTACCCATGACCCGTCCTGTATCCCGTCTACAACGGCAGGTGTACCGTATCTAGAGCATGACCTCTGCCAGGATTTGTTTACGCAGACGTCAACATAATCACCATATTCGCAGATTATACCGGCAACTGAAGCTGGACGCCTACCTGCATGCTTCCGTAGGTATTACTGAGTATGATATGACATGTCCCCATCAGCCTGTACCTGCGTGCTTTCTTGTACTCTGTGGCACAAGCGTCAGGCTTCTAGGTGACCTTTGACGAAGTAGTGGGCAGAAAACAGTAGCCGCCGTAAACTTGGGTCTAATAGTGGTGGTATGAGGCAGAATGTCGTGGTCTTTGTCCTCATATGTGGTACCGGTTGCCGCTGGGACAGCCGCCGACGTGCTGTACATTGTGCGATTCAAGGAGCCGGAACACGTACATCATTTGAGGAGGAGGCGGTACCACCCAGTACAAGTACAGAAGTAAATGGAGTTAAATTGCTTGTAATGCCTCCATACGAAACAATACTTTATGGCTGGAGTTTCAAAAGAGTTGTTTCTTGGATGTAGAGTCGGCAGGTGATTGTTGGTCGAGTGCCAATTGCGGCACTGTGGACATAGCACAGAGTACGTTTCAATATATTTTTTAAGAAGAAAAAATTAAATTGCTTTTCAGTCTATGAAAAAAAAACGAATAAATGTATCACCATTACCAATCTCGCCACTCCTCCCCTCCACAGCCTCTGGTCGCTCCGCTGTGTAATGCTTCCCACGAAACTGCCAGCTCACTCTGCTTGCCCCTTTCTTGAAAGCCTTGTCACGCATTCGCCCTTCTAGCCGAAAGGCTCGACCCTCAAGTCTGAACAAGACGTCGCGCAGCAGGACCTTCAGCAATAGCCCTGGCGCGTGAAGACGTAGTCTTTGCGCAATGTTGGACTAACTGTCAAAGAGGAGCGCTGCAGCAGCGGTGACTGGACGGGCCATGTCCAACCCCAGCATATCATTGGTAAAAATTGAGCTCTTAGAAGAAGGCACTGACAGTCCAGCGCGCAAACAAAGAGTTTCGGCCATTGTTTCGTCAATCGACACATGCGGGCTCAACGCACTCTTGCCAAGGAATGGTATTTCCCAGCCTAACCTCTTTTTCCTGGACTTTAATCGTCATTTCCTTGATCACTGCTTCGTGGAGGTAAGAAACACTACTTCATTGCACAACACGGCCGCCATATGATTGGCAGTACCACTGGTCAGTCAAACTGTCTAGAAACAGCGCTAGCTATGAAGTTGAGACGATGTGGTTGCACGAGGCGTGGAGAATAGAGCGGCGATGTCAATGGAATAGAGTTCGCAGACGTACAGCAGGGTTTTCATTGCGCCGACATCCACATATGTAGGTGCAAAATAACAGTTGAGCGTGTTGGCTGAGATGGGTGGCTACCATGAACAACAGTAGTTGCATAGCCTAGGGCAGACGCCAGACGCTACAACATTGACAAGGGATTCGATATAGGAATGTCCAACGAGGCATGAATGTCAACATCTGATCTCTGCTGCGGGAGATCACACCAGCAAGGAAACAATAACTGGAAAAAAGCTCTTGGGATTATCAAGCCGGTTTTCCGACTACAGGACAGTGGACTTTGTAGCAGTGTCTTTTTTTTTGTCCCAAGTTGAAAAAAAATAATTGCCCAAACGCCTTGTCGTACGATACTGACTCGTCAGAGGAGATCAGGCTATCGTTCAGCCCGATTCACAGGCTCGTTAGTGCCCTACATACAACCCCTATTCTCAATATATTCTACATGCGGCTGGACAATCAGCGAAATAGTGAGGTCGATCTGGACTTGGCAACTAGTTCATCAATTCGAGGAAACAAGATCGGTTGGGAGTTGGCTGCCACTGCTTACGTTGGATGCAATAGGACCGACTGCTTTTTGAACAGTTCTAAACAGTAACCCTCGGGGGTTGTATCGACGTCGCGCTTCTTCATCCTCCCTTCTTCACATGGCAAGGAGCGGCACAAACCTGATATGCCGCTACTGCAAGCCCAGGAACCAGCGCCATGATGCGAAACCAGACTAGGGGCCGCCCAATATGCTACTTCTGCCTTGCTGTCTGTGCCGTTTTTACGCCTCTAATCGTATATGGTTTAGTACTATGGTAGGCTGACTATAGCTGTGGAATAGGGGGCAATTGTCTCGCTTGTCCCCCACAATTGCAACGCCTGCACGGATATCGTCCTTCCCTGACTATCCTTACCCAGCCGAGGGCTGAGCAAGAAAAGGCTCCGGGGTGCTGTTAGTTACTTTGACTTCTCCATCCCTTCTCTTATCAAGTTTTCTCGAAAAGAACTGCGTTTTTTGTTCTTCTTTGCCCAAAGAGGCGGCTTGGTCGTTGCCCTGATCTCTCGACTTACACACGCCAATTGTCGCAGCCACAGACGCCTTTTATTGACACCATGAGTGGATAGCGGCTCGAGGACGGGACAAAAGCCAAATGAAAACAATTCTGGGGCGAGGACAAGGACAAGAACAAGGACAATAGAAAAAGACAAGAACATAAATCGACCGACATGCGCATCCTCCTCCTCATCGCCGCGCTCATCGCGGCCGTCATCGCCGACGGGCTCAACCTCACCGCCATCACCGCGGAAGTTCCCCAGTGCGCTCTCCAGTGCGCCGTCGCCGGGCCCGGCCAGGCCGGCTGCGGCCTGCTCGACAGCGAGTGCATCTGCGCGCGGCTGCCCGAAATATCCGCCCTCGGGGCGCCGTGCATGGTCAAGGCCGGGTGCAAGATTGACGACATCATGAGTGCGACTCCCTTCTCTCCGGGGACGACGACAAGATTGGCTAACAATTTTTTTTCTGTGTAGAGACGGGGAGCATCATCGTGGGAGAGTGCGAAAAGGCGTACGCGAGCAAGCACAATGGCAGCATAGAGGGCATGTACGCACTGCCGGCGAACGAGAGCTCGACAAGGACGGGCGCGGCGGCAAGGTTGTACGGTGCCGGATGGGCGGTCATTTCGGCGGCATCGTTTACGGCTACGGCGTTGTGGCTATAAGGGTTACTGTTACTGTCAAACCGTGACCATCTGGCTGGCAAACTGCAGTGATCAGATCATATTCTTGTATATATTAAATGGCGGACATTCTTTCTAGCTGCCGTCTTGTTCTATAATGAAGGCTTCTATAATTCTAACGGCCTCTCTATTCCTTTCCACATTATCCCTCCCTCAGTACACCGCGATGGCGCCGTTGGTGCCGCCGTCAAACGTGCCGTGCAGCGCCTCGAGCTCCTGGACGTGCCGGGCCGTCTTCATGCCCTGCCGGCGCGACGCCTCCACGCGCTGCCACGTCCACTCGCCGTCCACCTCGAGGTCTACATTCCCCAGGCCGACCTCCTCGTCGCCCAGCCCGTTCTCGCCGCCCGTCCACCCACCGGGCCGCGCCGGCAGCAGACCGCTCGCCTCCAGCACCACCGCCGGGTGCACCGTCAGCCTCCCCAGCTTGAACACGTACTTGCTGATCGCCGTCGCGTGCATCCGCGTCTCCCAGCCGCCCGACGCGTCCGTCCCGCGGCGCACGCGGCACCCCGCGAACCCCGGGTCCAGCCACTCCGTCGGCCGCGCCGCGCCCGCCGGCACGAAGTGCGTCACGATGTACGCCCACTTGCGGTCCCAGCAGAGCACCCGGCTCCACAGCTCGTAGGGCCGGTACGCGCCAATCTCCCGCCGGAAGCTGCACGACACGGAGCCGAGCATGATGCCGAGAGCGCCGCGCGCGGGGCGGCCGGTCTGCGGGTCGAGGACGACGTGGTGGCGCGGGTTGGAGGCGAGGCGGGCGAGGCCGGGGCGGCACAGGTAGGCGACGAGCTGGGTGCGCGAGGCGTCGAGGTCGGCGAAGTAGGTCGAGTTGGACTTGTGCAGGTTGTAGTCAATCTCGAGCAGCGGCGCGCGCGTGCGCGTGATGACGTGTCGGTAGAGGGCGCGCGGGCCGAGCTCCGGCGCGGGACGGATGAGGTTGTGGTGGATGATGGGGTAAAAGATGCGGTACTGGAAGGGGGAAGTTAGCGACAAGGCAGGGCGAGGGGGAGGCTAGTTATTGGGCTGCTGCGGAGAAAACATACTGTCCAGACAAACGGCATGTTCTTCATGTTGAACAGCACAAAGATGAGGAGAAGGATGCGCGAGCTGCGTCCGGGGCCGGTGAGAAAGGCGCGGACGGCCTTTTGCCAGTTGACGCGCGAGGCGGCGTAGCCGGTAGACCCGAGGACCAGCGGCACGCCAACGCGCACCATCATCTTGAACGACATGATTTCTCTTTCTTTCTCGGCGTTATGTTCCTCGGATATTATTCGATGCGACGGGCGGTGACGGTGAGCGGAAGAGGCGTTGGGCGATTGCGCCGCGCAGGGAGACGAAGAGGATGAGGACCAAGGCGGCGACCCAAAGGAGCAGCGTTTGGCCAAGGCAGAGTGCGGTCGTCGCGGCGCACTGGCGCATACAGGACCTGCGCAGAAAAGAACGAGAAGGAGATGATGACAAGAGAGGGTATGAGAAGTTGAAGGATGAGGTACGAGTCCCGAGCGTCAGGGACACCGAAAAGTGCCAATGAAAATGAAGTAAGATAAAATCCGTCCGTGTGCCTGGGCCGAGGTACTTGCCTTTTCGAGCGGCCGCTAAGATTCCCGTCAGCAACAACGTGGGCGCTGGGCTTTTAATTTTGTTGGGACGGACAGCCGGATAGTATTTTGTGAACCCTGGAAATCGATTCTTTTCCGACTGAAATCGTTTCAGAAGAAATCCGTATGTTTTTATTCTACAACTGACTCATCCAAAACAGCATGTTGTGCGTGGACTGTGTCCCTGACTCGACAGCGTCTGTTCGAGGACAAGACATCACCCCTAGCATGTACCGAGAGGCTCTTTTCCAGCTTAGTATAGGCACGTAGATTCTGGGCGGCTAAAGAGTGGCCATGTGGTACGATGTAGTGGATTTTATGAATGAAGTAAAAGTAAATTGGACCAAAAGGAAAGCCAGTGAGCAGGCTGTATTTGTGTCATTCGGGCTTCGCGACAACACATCGCGGGGTGATGGGGGTCGCTCCGCTGACGGACATGTAGCTGCAGGCGAGAGCCATGCAACGCCGACTTCAAGGTAGCTAGATTTACGTGGTATCCATATATTCATACATGCATGCATCCCGCCTGTCTGCCAGTTGGCGAGCCTGCTGACAGAGTTGAACTGCCAATGGCCGCTCGCCACGGCATGACCAGGGACACGTACGCTGCCCACCTCTATCCAGAAATATCCTAAAAAATTGTCGTCTACATCAACGTCAGATCCCCATCTAATCTCCTCAGCCTTTTGTTCCTCCCCGTCTCCCATCATGACCGGACCACCTCCGTGCCCTTGGCCGGCTCCAACACCATCCAGCGGCACTCGAGCGCCTTGTTCTCGTTGTGCAGCTTGAGTTTAGCGATGATCTGGTCGGCAATTTCCTCAAAGTTGGACGTGGCCAGCGCGAGGATGGTGGGGCCCGCGCCGGACAGGCAGACACCGAGGAAACCCGGCTGCGTCTTGGGCGACATGGACTCGACGACCTCGGTGAGGCCCGGGATGAGCGTCTGGCGGTACGGCTGGTGGATGCGGTCCTGCATGGCGAGGTGGATGAGCTCCGGGTCGGGCGGCGACTGGCCGAGGGCGACGGGTAGCAGGGCGATGCGCTGGAGGTTGAACGTCTGTACAAGGTTAGGTCAGGCTGGGAGGGTCTGAAGGAGGGAAGTCGGGCGGGGGCCCTTACCACGTCGTTGCGGGGGTACTTTTCCGGCAGCACGGCGCGCGCCTCGGCGGTGGGCACGACAAACTCGGGCACGATAGCCACGGCCTTGATCTCCTTGTTCCAGGGAAACTCGATGCGGTGGCCGATGCCGACCGGCGGCTCGGGCGGCTTCTTGCCCGTGTCGACACCGCCGGCCGGTGACGGCAGCACCTCACTGAGCGGCACCTCGATGCGGGAGGCGTCCTCGGGCTTGAGCGGCATGAGGTACGTTCCGACGAAGCCACCAAACAGCGCCGCGCCGACGTTGTCTGGATGTCTTTCTATTCACACAATAGCGGGTTAGCTCCTGTACATCCCACAAGCCCTCTTTCGACCAACCACGACCGGTGGTGGGTGGGAGTTCGCACCAATCATCAGGCAGTAGTCGAACAGCCTGTTGTTGTCCAGGTGGTGCAGGCCGCCGAGCTCGCGTCCGAGGAAGACGCCGGCGACGACGGCCGCGCCGGAGCTCCCGAGGCCGCGACCGAGCGGGATCGGGTTGCGGATGTGGACGTGCGTCTCGACGGGGAACGCGCGCTGGTCGTGGCAGCGCAGGACATAGAGGGCGACGCGGGTGATGAGGTTGCTCTGCGGGTCGAGGCTGATGTCGGGCCCGCCGGCGCCCTGGCCCTCGTAGGTGATGCGGCAGTTGAGCGGGTGCTCGGAGCGCGGCTTGCTGCGGTCGATGGTGACGTCGAGCTCGAGGTAGATGGAGAGGGCGAGGCCGATGACATCGAAGCCGGGGCCGATGTTGGCGCTGGAGCAGGGCGTCCGGATGGTGAAGGACTCCATGGCTGTAGTTGAAACAGCAGGGAGCAGAGGACGAGACGGGACGGGACGGGACGGGGAAGGGGAAATAGAGGTTCAATTAGCAACGGAGAGAGGAGGAAGCGCTGGTTGTTTTGTTTGGCGGGGGAGAGAGGGAAGCGTTTTTTGAAAATCAGTGACTCGTGGCGGGGCACACCGATAACCGGAGCTCAGTAGCTGGCGGAGGAAGTGAAGGAAGTTATAGAGCAGGGAGCGTATAGTAGAGGGCATCAGTGCATGTTACGGAGTAGAGGATCCAATATTTAGCTGCGATGATATATCCATGATTTTTCATGATTTTTATTACATCCCGTTTTCGACACAAATTGTCGCCCTTGAACACGCGACTGCTGCCCTCGCCGCTTACAGTCACTGCAGATGCAACAAAGGAAGGTATGGTGGATCTCTCATCTCTGCAAGGCTGTCCCAATCCGGCCCAGACATACAGACCCTGACACTTGTCCCCTTTTCACAGCGCTCCCATTCTGCCAACCAAATTTGCACGAGTCATCCCATTCAACATGGTCACTTATTACTCCTAATAATCAACTCACCAGGCTGCTGAGAGCCTTGCGGTCCGGCGCTATGTACACCGCCTTGGCCTCCTCGCTCGCCCACAGCATCGGCGAGTAGTACACCAACGCGAGGTCCTTGTACGCCAGATGCGCGTTTGTTCGGATGAAATCCCCAAAGTTCGCTCCTCCATCGAGCCCGCCAACGGCCAGGAGCATTTGCTGCACCCAAAACACTCTCTGCGTCAGGCCGTCGATGCCGGGACACGGCACCTCTAGGGCTGCCGCGATGGCCCGCGACCGTCGCTTGCGGCTCGCGACCTGCTCCCTCTCCTCCTCATCCGTCGCCTTCGAATGCATCACCTCAAAGAGCGACTGCATCATCGCCCCGTGCCCACTGCTCGATCCGTCCACGACCTCCTGCGCCAGCACCGCCGCCATGACCGCCAGGTCCTTTGCCAGCGGAAGCTCCGCGTCGCCCGGCTCGCTCTCTGAGACCTGCTTCTCGACCATGACGCCACGCGCCTCGCTGACGCCCGTCTTATCGAACACGGCCACGACGTTGGGCAGGGGCTTCCTGTCCGGCGGGCAGAACTGCATCCGCGCCCCGAGGCTTTCCCACAGCTTCGTCGAGTAGTGCGCGCGCCACTCGTCCCCGGTGATGCTGTAGAGGGCCTTGAACGCCGGGAGCGTTAGCGCCTCCACCGACCCGGACCACTCGTGCTTCTCATCTTCTCTCTTCGCAGCATTCTCGGGAGAGGCGGCTGTGGCGATGGCGGCGTGGACCATTTGCACCCAGAAATACGCCTGCGTCTCGGAGTACGGCGGGATGGCAGCGGTGACGGCGCGCTCCCGCATCGTTGAGGATTCCAGCGCGGCGAGGGCAGCCTTGACAATGGGCCCGCGGCGCGCCTTGGACGTCAGCGTCTGCTGGACGACGGTCAGACCGAAACTGATGAGCCGGTCCGCGACGCCGACGGCGGCGGGCGGCTGGCCTGGTTTCTGGCGGCGCTTCGCGGCCGTCACCGCGACGGACGGCAGCGGCTTCAGGTCCGGCAGACACCATCGCTCCCTGGGCTCCTTGGCGAACAAGATGGCCTTGGAGTAGTACGTGCTCCACAGCCTGGCATCCGTGAGTTGGGGGCTGTGCAACAGGACGTCCTTGAAGTCGTCCCGCCGCAGCGCCCGCTTGGTGTTGAGCGTGTTGATATAGTTGGCGGCGGCGACGTGGAGCTGCGCCAGCCAGAAGATGGTCATTGTGCTGCAAACTGGCATTAACTGTGAACCTTTACAGCAGTAACCTCAGAACCAAATCCTGCTTACCGATGGGTCGTGTTGCGGAAACGCTGCGGGTTCCCCGCTCGCAGCCGCTCCAAGTGGCCGATGAAGGTCTCGGCGGCTTCGAGAACGCCGCACCCTTGCTCAAAGGCTTCCATCAACACGAAGAAGCCAGCCTTGAGGTGATTGTAGTGATCCCATGGCGCTAGCGATCCGTCCTCGAAAGCCTGCCAGAAGCCGTCTGTCGTCATGGAGTCAGCCTCCACCATCGTCTTTACTCGCTCAGCATCCAAAGCGAGGGCCGTTGGGTTGGCGTTTTCTGCGTCCGTCTTCTTTTTCGCTGGGAGCGCAGCAGCACCGCCGTTCTGGTCCTCCAGCATCTTCACGACCTCGTCTAGGATAATCCTAGGATTCTCGGCCGTCTTGGCGGAGAAGCCGGGCTGGTTGAAAATCCTGATCGACCCTGGTCTCCTGCACGTCGCGATGAGCTCTGCGTATGCCGCCAGGATCTTAGCCATGTGTTCGGCCTTGGCCGCCGGCTGCATCAGGTCTTGCACGTTGAGCACAACCAGGACCGGCACAGCGAGCATCTCGTCGTCGGTGATGACGGTCTTGAGCACACCCACCTGCTCATCGAGCCTCTCCATCTCTGAGCAATTGTGCATGTAGATGAGGCATTCTGTGTTTTGAAAGTAGTGTCGATACAGCGGTCGGATCTTGTCACACCCTGATCAGCGATTGATTAGCCTTGGCCCGTGTCAATCAAACCAGAGGACCCGAGCCAACCCCCAACGTCCCACACTTGGAATGCGTAGCCTCCGGGATGTTTGATGGTCTCGACGTTGAAGCCGATGGTGGGAATGGCCGTGATTGGCTCATCGAGGACCCATCGGTACAGAAGGGTCGTCTTGCCCGCGTAGTCGAAGCCCAGCATCAGCACGCGACGCTCATCCGGCCGCCAGAACATCCACTTGCCCAGCTCTGCAGAGATGTTAGCCGGGAACCGAACTAGCAAGATTCCGTGTCACGCAACTCATCGTGTATCGTAAAGGTGTGATGATTTATTGAATTGAGTACTGTGAATGCAGCCATGACAATCAGGGGCGTTGCGGCTGGTTAGCTTATATACAGATACAGAAGGCTAGGCAGCGAGATATCCACTGGCAGGGGGCTTTTGACGAGATGAAGACAGATTTCGGTTAAGGTGACGAAGCCACGTAGTAAATTTAATCTAGGCAACTCGGTAAACCGTTGTCACCGATCGAACGTTTCATTACTCCAAGGTGAAGACGGAACAGGCAACCGCAAAGGACTAGCAAGGAGGCTCGGCAGTTGGGCTGGTACTAGAGGGGTCCATCATGTACAATGACGTTGCGAGGGAAGGAGAGCTGAAGAAGAGTCGAGTCTGCGTCGACGTCGAGCCTGAGTGACGGTGGGGGGCTCTCAAGGTAAGGGTGATGAATAAAACTGTGCACTGGGGGGATAAATCATAAATCGGTAACCCCCCGCGCGTAAAGCGAGTGGGTGGTCGGCAGCACGGCAGCATCTCAGCAAATATATCCCTGTGTAGTTTTAATATGGCATTGGTCGCCGTAGGATCAGGGCTGAATTACGACAACTCATTCCTACGAAAAGCTCACCACACTATCGCATGAGTGAGCAAACAAAGCCGACCGCCTCCCGAGACCCGAGATGCATTGCCCAACGCGGTGGGCGGGTGGTGGCAGCTCGTATCCCTCCTCGTCACTTTACGCCCAGACCCCTTCTCTTCTCAACACGACGCATGGATCCATCACGAATAATAACCACAGACTTGGAATTAATTGGCTGCCTCGATTTCTTTTCTCTTTTCTTCCTTCTTCCTGGTTTTTATTTTTGTTTTTTCTTTTTTTATTCATTTATTTTTATTTATTTTTTTTCTTTCTGCTCTTTTTGTCTTCTTTTTTGCTTCTGCTTTTTGCGGCCGCCCCTCACTTCCCACCGGGACGCAAATACGAAGCTCCGCAGTGACCGACCGACCTCTCTTCTGCCTTGATGAGCTATTAATAAATCTCATGATTGCTGACGGAGCAACACTCCGCCGCCGCGCCTCTTTACGGGAGCGATCGCCCGTACCGGTGGCGTGGGCTGCCAAGCTACCAACCAAGTGTAGATGTCTCCGGTGACAAAGACCTGTCATATGATGGGCAGTGATGGGTTGTGCTGCTTGTCAAACCCACATTGACATGGCACACAGCATGTCTGACTTCGTATGCGGGACTGCGCATGGTGGGAAGCTCGGAGCCTCGTTTTTCTTGAACATGTTGGATGTTGTATAAAAGACCCAGACCAGTCCGTTCAGTTTGACGGCTTGCATCTCCTTCATCACACACTCGCTCACATCACCATCATCATAATCATCATCACTATTCACTCAATAGCATCTTCACTTTCAATCACTCATCAACTCATAATCACCATCATGCAAATCTCATCCATCCTTGGTCTCGCCGCTCTGGCTACCTATGCCACGGCCATCACCGGTAACGTCCATCCCTGCCCTGCCCTGCCCAAGAAACCTTCACACTGAACGCACAAAACGTCCACCCCCCCCGGTTACGACGACGGTAGCCGCCCCCTCACCAGCGTTGCCTGCTCCGACGGCGACAACGGCCTCATCTCGCGCTACCACTGGCAGACCCAAGGCCAGGTGCCGCGCTTCCCATACATCGGCGGCGCCGAGGCCGTCTCTGGTTGGAACTCGCCCGCCTGCGGTACCTGCTGGCGCCTCGACTACCAGGGGCGCTCCATCACGGTCCTCGCCGTCGACCGCGCCGTGACAGGCTTCAACATCGCCAAGGCGGCCCTGGATGGGCTCACCGGTGGCCGCGCTGTTGAGGTTGGGCGCGTGAACGCCGAGGCCACGCAGGTCGACCCCAAGATTTGCGGCCTATAAGGTCGCAGACCCGAACACTGCCGTGGCTTTCAAAATCTGATGAATAATGTAATGGCATCATGGAGATTAGGCGTAAACTAGTAATACATTTCAGGAAGGATCAATCAAGCATTCTTCCGTCCGTTGGAGTTCAAGTCCACCATGAACTTGTGCTGGGATGCAACCATCGATGAAGCTGCCCGGCAGTTTCCCTAAACAGCATCGACGCGTACAGCCTGTGGAATCCCAGCAAGAGACCTCCTGCCGACTTGTCGCTCTGCGGGTTGCACGCGTAGCACTGCATCTGGAGCCTGACCCTTTGCGTCTCGCTGGCGGCGTCGACTTCCAGCCGTTGCACGCTGAGGCGATGACAACCGGCGAACGTGGTCATGTCCGACCCGAACAGGAAGTCCGCGTGGCTGGGCGTGCCGCTGCTGGGATCCTTGCTTAGGCAAACGTCTGCGAGGCGGAAGACGCCAAAAAGGACCGTGTGCAGCGCAGGAAGGGACGTCTCCGACAGCTCTGCCGCATCCCATACATGGGCAGGCACTGTGGTGGAGGCAAGTTCTGGGATGAGTGTCAGTGGCATGTCGCATGAGTCGCAGGACAAGACATACTCGAATATTTGCTGTCTTTTAGTTTGAGAAGATTCAAGGCCTTTGCTTCGGGATAAAAGACGCATCCGTTGAAGAAGCTCTTGGTCGCTTGCGCCAGGAGGGCCTCGTCTGAGACGTCGTCCTTGTTCAGCGGCACGTCCAGTGTTGCTGTGTGAATGTCCACCGCGCGACTCTGTCTATTTTGCGGATTGACGTAGTCGCGAATGGTCTGGGACTCAATAAAGGACGGCAACGCGACGTTTTCATCCGTGATGCCCAATTTTGAGGATGCTGCTATTCGTCGAGCGGTCTGCCCGAGGTAGAGGGACGAGGCTAGGATGGCGGACCCGTAGGCAACGCGCCAAGCTGTGCGTGATGTGATGGACATGGGTTGGGAGTTGCTTAGGGAAAGGTACTGTTTGATAATAGTTGAGATAATTCAGAATATCTTGCGATTTTTCTTAGAGTGGTGCAGCGCTTGCTCAGCGTCCTGATTGATGCTTATAAGTTCCCGGGCTGGCGCGGCGGTGGCCCGGTTCAGCCCGGTGAGACCCGGAATTGTATCGTGCTAAGGGTCAGCTGGTCACTTCCCTACGCAAGCCTCGCGGAACTGGCACAAAAAAGGGCAAGTATGACTCAATTACATATTATTTATTATCGCAAGCCTCATAGCTGGCAATTCTAGCTGTCCGCGAGGTTCCGCTTGCTCGCGCCCGATCAAGGACGTCGATCCCATCTTCTTGTCAGCGGCCGAGGCCAGACTTGTTGTATCTTCATATTAGTAAATTTTAACAGGTATGACCTCAGGACTGACTTTCGGTCAAGCCCTCTGAATCTTGCGTAGTGGCCTCGCCGGTCAGCAATGCCGTTGACGGAGGATGAGCGTCCGTCCAAGGCTCAAAGATGGTTGCGCCCTTGAGCATGCCGCCAATCGTCTCCCAGATCGTCAGGAACGCGATGAGCGCCATGATCAGCACCATGAACTGCGTCGCGTTGAAGTGGCCGTGCGTCACCGGGATGATGATCAAGATGATCGCGACCACCAACCGCATGCCGATCCGCAGGTTCCTAGGCAAGATGAGATCATGCCGCTCCTCCGCCTTGTAGAGCATGCCGTAGACCCAGAGGCACAGCATGCCAATTCCCAGCCCCGCGCCCAGCAGCCACCGCTGCCCTCCCTCCAGCTCCTCCTCCGCGACGCTCACCCCCGCGACGTGTCCGGCGATCAGGAACGACGCGGCCATCGGCAGGTGCAGCAGGAAGAAGCCAAACGCCGTCCACGCCGAGCGCCTGATCGGGTGCGTCGCCCGCAGACTACCATCACCACTCACGTACACCCAGTTGAGGCAAAAGGCGACCACCAGCGCGCACACGGCCTTGCCGTAGCCGGCCGTCAGCCCGATGCCCGCCGGGTCGCCGACCACCACCACGTACACGAACTCGCCCAGCACGATGATGAAGAAGGCCGCCATGCGGTCCACCTCGTGCGCCATGTCCACCGCCGTGCTGTACCGTAGCCGCAGCCGCCTCTTCAGCCACGGGCTCAGCGTCAGGCTCCACGTGCACTCCTGGTACACAATCAGGACCGCCACCACCGCCGCCTTGGCCTCGATGCTGACGGACGACAAGAACAGCGGGACGGTGATCAGCAAGCCAACAAACATGAAGGAGGCCATGATGCGAGCCTGGACGCGGTGCGCGACGCTGGCGAAGGAGCTGACCAGGAAGACGAGCATGGCGGTGGCGCGCGCGGCGACGTAGGCGCCGGCGGCGGTGCGCACGGCGCCGAGGTCCGAGTCGACGTGGTTGGCGTTGTTGGCGAAGAGCACGAGCAGGGCCATGATCCAGAGGACGGTCAGCCGCTGGACGAGGTCGTCGGTGTAGTACGAGTTCATGATCTCGCGCAGGTCCGCCCAGACGTGCCAGGCGGGAGTGAAGGTCAGGATGTACTTGGCGACGTGCGCGCCGTCCGGGTGCTCGCTGAGCTCATCGCTGAGGTTGGCGACGATGGCGACGTCTAACAGGGTGGTCAGGCAATCATCTCCGTAGAGGGGGGGATTGCGTGGATTCAGGGCCAAACTCACACAGCAAGTCAAGGAACAGCTCGAACCGCCCAGCCTGCCGCTCCTCGTCGCTGTCCTTTTGCAGCTCGCCGTCGCAGAACCACTGCAGCGCCTTGGGCCGCTTGATGATGTAATGCTCCCCCTTTGCCCCTTCCTGGAGCTCGTTGCAGTTCATTGTCACACAAGTCCTTTTGTGTGCTCTCGTATCCTGACACCTGTGCTCTGCCCCCTTGTGCGCCTCGCTATTCGCAGGCGGTGAGGGTAAAGCTTGGATGAGAGGTAGGTGATGAGTCGAAGTGAAGTGATCAAAAACAAGCCCCTCCGGAACTGGGCATCGGCAATGTCTCACAGAGACTAAGCCCTAAAGCCCTTTGCCACACATTGTCGAGATTGCACTTGGGCCGTGGCTGGACTAGTGAGGTGTATGCGCTGCAACTCTAATTTCTTAGGGTTGGTAGGCTACGATTGGGTGTTGGCGAGGGAGAGTATGTACGTGGTAAACGGCGCCTCGAGCCTCTTTACTCGAATTCATTTGCAACTGCCCGGGGAAGCAAGCGGTGGGATTGTCGTCATCTTGCCTCGCCGATTCTTCCTCCGCTGCACACTGTCATCGTACCACCCACCGGGATTTTGCCTACATACCAGGCAGTAAAGTAAGCTCTAAAATTACACTCAATGCCAAGTTCACTCTCCCTCCTCCGCCTCCGCCTCCGCCTCCCCCTCCGCCTCCCCTCCTCCCACAGCAATACTCGGCCGGTGGCCATCTGTCGGCCCCGATGCCTACACAGCCACCCTCTCCCTATTCGATCGCCTATACAGCTTATACAATGCTACTCATTCCAGATCAGTCCAATATTGCGCCTGGCTTCGCTCATCGTGTAACTCTTGTGTTACTGCTCGCGGTCCACAGGTTTGAGGACCACAGGATTGCGTCTCACAAGTTTGCGAGATACAGGAAACCCGAAGTCGGAGCGGCCCGCAGCATCCCCCTCCTGGCGAAAGATGGGATGAGATATAAAAGGGCCTTCTCGCCGCCCATCTTCGAAGACAGTCTTTTGGAATGGCAGAGCACACACCTGCACCTCCTCCTAGCTGCAAAGTCGCCTCTGCCTTGTGCATAGTTACCAGTACAGGCCGGGGTTGGGAGTCAAGGGTGGAACAAACCTTTAGAACAGCCCTCCTCTGGGAGATGCAACCGTACGGCAACGATCCCTTCCTTCCTTCTTCTTCTTCTTTTACCTCATCACAATGCAAGTCTCTTCTCGCCTACTAACAACGCAAAAAAGAAGACTCTTTTTTCCCCGGCTTGCGCGGGCACCATCGCCGCTGCCTCTCAATCCCTTGCGGGGGGGGTTCGAAGCGTGCCTGGCTTGATACTGCCCACAGATCGCGGCCCTGCCTTTGCTTGTCTCGCTGCCGTCACTTTGCGTTTAGCTCTGCCCTCCCCCGCCGGCGGACCCTTTCCACTTCACCTCAAAGCGGCGGGGGCTAGGTGTCATTGTCGGGAGGTATGCCCTGCGCTGCCTCTTGGCAGGGCAAGAGAGCATAAAACAAGACAGCCGCGGGAAAAACTCCGTCGAGTGAGGAACCCGTTGCGACTGTGTCCCTGGCGCCCCCTAGTCCACCGGCCCCGGACACCGAGCGGGACTCCATCTCGGCAGGTAAGTCGCCGGCTCGCACCCGGCAACGGTAGAAAGGTAGGTCCCCCGGCCAAAAGGCAAGTCTCGTCGGCAATCACTAACGCTTCAGCAGATGGGAGGGCTAGTATCCCCCGTCCTCTGTCGGGCATCCTTCCTGCGGTTCTAACCCTCACAGCAAGGCCCGGACCGGAATCGGTATCGGCGACTCGACCACCGGTACAGAATACGGTGTAGTCGGCACTGGCTACAGTCTACTGATAGGGCGACTGGACCACCGGTGTAGAATAGGGGGGTGCTCGGCAAGCCAGTCAAACCAGACTTTCGGGCTGCCGAACACTCTCTCTACTCTACACCGGTGATCCAGTCGCCCTACCAGCCGACCATGACGCTGCCGGTATAGCTCCGTATTCCGTACCTGTGGCAGAGGCCCAGCCGAGCGAGCCGCTGCCGCCGACCCCTGCAGAATCTCGAAGCAACGAGCGTCTAGCCTGACGCGCTGGGAGGGCCTTGCAGGAAAGCATCGACCGGTGCTCCAGGCCCATTCTGCTTCGGTCGCCCGAGCCGAATTACACGGTGATGAACCGCGTTCAGGCTGGGCAGGCGGCCAACTTCTGCGGCATGACGCTGTCCGGCGACCATGAATATGGTCGCCACTTCAATCTGGTACATGCGCCGCCCGAGGGCTGGCGCTGGCAAGTCATTGACCCGACAACAAAAGGTCTGCAGCCCCGATGGCGCGTTCGGGTGCCGATATCAGATTGCAAGAGCTGCCGGGCCTGCGGGCCCCTTCTACTTCCAAGGTGAGTACCTTTGTGCGCTATTACCGTTTGTTTCTTCTCGCTCGTGTCGAGAATCCGGGAGCCTGGGACTACGGGATTGGAATTGGGGGGTTAGGGTAGGAATAAAGTTTTGGGTTATTGTTGTATTAAATCACCTGGAGCCTTTTCTGCAAGTGATGGTGCTGCCTGTTGTAAAAATCTAACTGGCCAAGTAAACCAACTGTACGTGCCTGTGTCGCTCGCTGAAGTCATGTCGCTTCACTGCTGGAAGCAGTCTAGAGATGGCAGACAATACACTAGTAACCATGTAAACTACACTGAGGCATGACGTCAGTTAGCATTAGGGCACTAAAGGACGCTTCTAATGATAAGTAGAACCGTTTAGGGACGGGGATAGGCTGAAACTTTGTGCGCGTGTACTGTATATACAGTCTAGGGTAGCTAACCAGATGCTGCACCCAGCTTCAGTATTTGCATTACAGCATAAGTTTTGGCATTGGCGTCGCCAACAAATGCGAGCCATGGGACCAAAGGGAAGAGCCACATTACGCCAGAGAAACATGTTTGGCACAGACACAACCATCTACAAGTCATGGCCACCATCTCGAAACAAAAAGTGGCCCCCCGTCTCGCCGCTGTCATCAGCTTGTCATATAGAGAAACTTGGGTTAGTTTACAAGTTTTTACAAGTTAGTTAGCCTGATGGGCTTGTGCATGGACGATACGCTACGGCAAATAGTAACTGCAGCGGCGCCAGTTCCTGTGGTTCCTTGCATGTAGGAATGTAGGAATGTACGAACCTGCACCCTTCGCCGTTGAATTGGGCAGGTCGATCGATTCCAGTGCTCATTCTATGGCCGAATGCAGTCATTATAAAAGAATATCGACTCTGCATTTATTCTCGTGACGACATTGAGTAGAGGTATAGACCTCCCGTCGAGAGGCAAAGACGTCAACTTCACACATTGTACTTCACAGCAGCACGCTAGCGGAACGCCAAATGAGTCCCATCTCGAATCCGACACCCTGGTAACTTTTGAGACAGCGAGTTGCGAGAGGGCTGACATCCGTGCGCGCGGGCGGAGGGTTGCTGCAGAATATTTGTGGCTGGGGTGCTCACCAAGGGACAAGCTGAATATATCAATATGTAAAAAAGAGCAGACCCAATGGCGGCGATCCGCTCAGTGTAAAAAAGCTCCGTCGCTTCTCAACAGGTTAGTATTGCTGTAACCGTTCTCAGAATAATGGCGAGGCTGCTAGCAAGCCATTTCATGTTTTACATGACACTAACTATGTGTCAGTTGGTTCACTAGAGAGCTTGCTTTCACGCGAGGAAAAACCTGACATCTCAAGCCAAGACATCGCAGTACGATATTTCGTATGGACAGCGATTGGCAGCGATTGGGCGAGCACTAGTCCAGGTCACAGCGCGTTCCGAGATGCTCACCGGAAAGGCGTAGTTTAGGTTACACTGGAAAAACGTGGCTCCCGGAGGTGCCCGGGGAACGCATATTGAGCGGCATCGCGAACCCTCATTTGGCTCACTCATCAGTTCATGCATTTGCTTGGCCTTCCCCTTTGAATTAATCTCGAGTTCGGTGCCGGGCGGTGATGGGCTTGCTTGTTGGGTGGCTTGCATTGTGCAACATCAACATGAGACATCGGTAGATGGAGGAGATGCGACCCCTCCATCATAAACGTGGGGTTCACAGAGCATCCAGTTTGCATGAGAGACATGTGTGTGTGTGTGTGTGTGTGTGTCTGAAGACGATCGCGACAGGACCTCTTACTCCGACGTCAACATGTCTAATTAAAGGCTCGCGTTGAGGTTGCAGGTCTGTGTTGGCTGCATCTTGTTCCGAACTGTGCGTTGTCATCTTTTCTAGCCCTCAGACTCTTTGCAAGCAGAAGGCAACTCTTGCGGTCGAACGCACGGAAGGTCTCAGAATATGCTTCTAGCGCCGGAGGAAGCCAGCATTGCAGGCTTGAAAAGCCACACGCAACTGACCAACTACCGATAGCTGACGGAGGTGTTCTTCACCAGAACCTTTTGGGTGTGTACTCGATGCACCTGATCCAGCCTCTCCATGAGCGAAATATCACAGTGTGTGTGTGTGTGTGTGTGTGGTGTGTGGTGTGTGGACCAGAGCTATTCTTCTTCCAACCAACCCAAACACAGCCAAGACACGCCACCACCTTGAACCAGCCCTCTTGAGGTCAAGTTTCATTTTTTTTTCTGGAAAAGAATAGGGGCACCTTGTGCCTTTTGTAACAGAATGGCGCTGCTCCACCCATCAACCACATGCTAGTTATTGCTGCACGACAGGTTCGTGCTGGGCGAGCCCGGGCGCGCAGAGATCGTCGGCTTTATTAGCCCGTGCCTGGTCTTGTTGGGCTGGCCATCCAGTACCCGTATTGCCGTGCAATGCCGTCTGCGCCAGCCTTTTTGGCAGCAGCGGCCCAGGCGAACGGATGGATGGAGTGCCGATCTCGAAGGGGATAGGATTGGCAACAGACATTTTTCCCATCAAAGAACCAACCAAGACCATGGCTCTCATGCGCCACCGTTGAAGCCAACGTACCGCCTCGTTGAACTCAGATCCTCAAGCTTCACGGAGAATAAATGAGGTTGTGATGAGGCTCTTCTCATGGCATACTAGACTTTCCTAGCGTTTCCCGAGTTTAGACGGGGGCGTTGGGATGCTGCTGTCCTGCGCGATCGCAGCCGAAACTCTAATAACCGCGGCTCAAGACCAGACACCCAAGGCTGAAAAGAACGAGCAAAGAGCAAAGAGAGGGAGACATACTCCAAAGTACTAATAAAACAGGGACCCAGTGCGGCGCACAAGACACCCCCCAGTTTAATGTCCGCTTTTGCTAAAGCTGGGGGTGGGTGTGTGGTGGAGGAGCGACGCTGCAGCATCCTGACTCGACCCAAGCCATCGGCCCAAGCCATCAGGATACATAACCGGCGAGGCGCTCTTCCGCTTTCCTCTTGCATCTGCTAGTTATTTTGATCTTTTTCTCTTTTTCTCTTTTCCAATTTCTCTCCTCTAGGAGATGGCATGTTGAAAAGTTTCCCATGTTGTGATCCCTCGACCGGTCTCGCCTTTTCGTTTGGTTTTCGGTGATGCGTCCTGGCGACTTATACGCATAGATTACGGACATCACGCTCCCACGGAGCCGGGGCATATTGTGTTCCTCCCCGACAGCCCCGGCCTGACCCCAGACATCTAATCGACCTGCTTGTTTCGATCAACGAACCATCACGACCACCCCTGAAGTGAAGCGCATCACATCTCAACATGCGGTTGCTGCATGGTGTGTTGGCCGCCCTGCTGGCCGCGACGGTGCCGGCTGCCGCCGCCCAGCAGGCCAACAACCTGTCCTTGTCCGACGCCATCTCCCAAATGCCTCCATGCGCGGTACGAAAGCTTGCATCTTCATTCTGTTTGGTACCAGGCTGGACTAATTCCTTTCGCAGTTGACGTGCTTGTTAAAAGTCGTCGGCGACACCGGCTGTAGTCCCGTCGACAAGACCTGCATCTGCCGGACCAACTATCACAAGATTGAACAGACCGCGACGCCCTGCATCCTCCACTCCTGCACGTTCCCCGAGGCACTTCGTAAGCACCCCCCCCCCCCGGGCCCGGAACCTCACCGCGCTCTCCTGCGACGCCCCCGTCCGTGACAAGACCGCCCGCTACAACGTCATGGCCATCGTCCTCGGCGTCCTCACCAACCTCCTCGTCGCCGTGCGCCTCCTCTACAAGCAGTTCCTCTCCGCGCGCCGCGCCCTCACCTGGGACGACCACGCCATCCTCGTCGCCGCGCTCCTCGGCGTCGCCGCCACCGTCATCAACGTCCGCGGGCTCACCGCCGCCGGCATGGGCCGCGACGTCTGGACCCTCACCCCGCAACAGCTCGACCGCTTCGGCGCCTTCTTCTACGCCATGGAGGTCATCTACCTCGCCGAGATTACCTGCGTCAAGCTCAGCCTCTCCGCGTTTTACCTGTACGTGTTCCCGGGGGAGCGCGCGAGGACGCTGCTCTGGGGGACGGTGGTGTTCAATGTCGCGTCAGGGGTGGCGTTTGTGGTGGCGGGGATTTTTCAGTGCACGCCGGTATCGTTCTTTTGGAAGAGGTACACGGATGTAGAGGCGAGGGGAAGGTGTATAGACATCAACGCGTTTGGGTGGGCGCACGCGGCGATTGGCATCGCGGTGGACGTCTGGCTGATTGCGATTCCGCTCAGTCAGCTGCGGAAGCTGCAGCTGCACTGGAAGAAGAAGGTTGGCGTGACCTTGATGTTTCTTCTCGGTACTTTGTATGCTCCCCCTTGTTTCCTTCATCGACGTTCTCGACTAACCCGCTCCAGTGTCACGGTCGTGTCCATCCTTCGCCTCCAGTCGCTCATCTACCTCGCCCGCTCGTACAACCCGACCTGGGACCAGTGGCTCGTTGCCTGGTGGTCCACCATTGAAGTCCACGTCGGCATCATCTGCGCCTCCCTGCCGACCCTCCGTCTCGTGCTGGTGCGCATGTGTCCTCGCGTCTTCAGCACCCACATCACCCGCAACAAGTCTGCCCCGGAGCGCAGCACGCGACCGAACAGCGCAAGCTACATCATGCAAAGTAAAGAAATCACCCTATCCTCGATCGAGATAGAACTAGGTGCTACGGACAAGCCTGAAGCTCGACGCATGTCTTTTCGCCCCTCTACGTTGCCCTTCCCAGCTGCTGACAACTCCAAAACAGCCACACCACCACCGAAGAGCTACTCCTCACCACGGTCACCACGCCCATTTGTCCCCCCGAAGGACTGGTAATGGGAACCGTCTATGGTCCGCCGCTACTACTTAATTTAATTTTATTGAGAAATGATTGAATAAGGGAAAAGGAAAGGGAAAGGGAAAGGGGCAAGTAAACGGATGAGGGCCATATACCCAATCATGCCATGTCTTCGCAAAAGGTGCAAACAGAACCAAAACTATCCATTCGGCTACATTGGCTGTAAATGTTTGACGAATTTCCCCGAGATTAATGTAATTACAATGATTAAAATAACTTTTGTCGTATGTGCGAAAACCTGAAAAATATTACCATCCACCTCGGAGTCGTGCCTCTCACGAGGAGCTTCCACGGATCTCACGGACAAGCTGCACCAATATGTCCTTGTACCCAACTAGATCTGGCGACTCGTCCGCCCAGAATTCGAACTGTGTCAGCACCTTTCCAATCTTGCCCCCAATTTGGTCTGGACTCCCAGTCCAGTACTGCCCTTGACTTGCGCCCCATACAGTGTCCACACCACCAGGAATCCAGGCGTCCTGACCACTCTTGATGATGGCAAGCAAAATCAGGGACGCCGTCATGATGCTGCGCAGGTCATACCAGAGACCATGGTGGCGATGGCCCCTGGCTCGCACGTCAATTGTTTTCAAGCAGCATTCAATGCCAGAAGCGACCATAGAATGAAGGAGCTCTACCTCCTCATCGTCGAGCTTTGGTAGGGCTCCGACAGCATCAACCCTTTCCATGCCAAGCGGGGTGGCTATTGGTGAGTTGAGAAGATTGTTGATGCTGGACTCGGTGTTTTTGGACGATGTCATGCGACGTAGTAGGTTTGGCTTAGCAACATGAATGAAGTAAAACAGAAATGGTTGATACAGCCACGTCTGCATTTCTAACAGTCTGTTGTCAATTGCCCAACTGAGCTCCTGTGTAACAGAATTTGAAGTTCCTTCATGTGGCGCACGAATTACCGAAGTAGTCTCATAGTGTTTAATGGCTGGCGGCAAGTATGCCGACCAAGAGGAAACTTGCGCTTCGAACTCCTTGGCCATTCGTAGCGACGGCTTCAAGTTTGTGATCCATGCTGATCGTCCGTGACGGAAGAAGGTGTTGACGATGCGGTTGCTGATGCGCCGCAGTGCAATTTCCGTCAAATAATAATACCAGCTCTCTTCCTCGCTGCAGAGCCGCACCGCATGCCGCCGAAGCTCTAGTTCTTCTTCGTTTGCGAAAGTATGCCCGTCTGTGGCTGTGGAATCGCTAGAATTATCTGGTATTGGTGAAGGAGGTGAGGGGAACAGATCGGGATACTCGGTGAGACTGATTTCAGACTGTTGGAGAGGGAGCTCGACGCGAAATTCGCACTCAGACTTGAATGCAGACCAGTAAAGGCTCTGCTCAAGACGCTTAATCTTTCGTGTGGTAGGGCTAGAGAGGCTAGACGGGGTATTGAGAGCTTCTTCAAAGTTGCCCTCAGTGCCATGCGTCATTCGAAGATGGACTTGAAAGAAGATCGATGCGTGCAGAAAATAGTGCCAGGACGCAAGTGGTCGTAGTGTGTACATAAGATATACTAGTTCATATTAGTAGATTCTTTCTTCATCCTTCCTCTTGGTTTCGTGTAGTTGGTTTGCTCACCGCCCGCAAAGAAATGACACTGAGCGCCCAGAAGAGAATACTTGAGTGAACCAAGTCTTCGACATGCCAGAGCAAAGCAAGAATCGGCTTGTTGTAGCTCTTTGGCAAAGGTTTTATAAGACGATGGCGCAGGCGCTCTCATGGAGTCATTGGGGCCCCAAAAGCCATTCGTGGCTGGCGGCATCGACACCCCGAAGGGCTTGACAATAGATCCGAGTGCGCAGGCCAGAAGGACCAGACATGACCGACCGTCCCATCCGATGCCTTGATCTGCACATCGTCTGCCGTGCTTGACCAACGCTTCGACGTCCAGAATCGGATTTTTCGTATGTACATTTTGGAGGAATTTGTCAATAAGCGATGGGATGTTTTCTTCATCAAGGGGTGTAAGGCCTGATGGGGCAACAAGAAGATCGTCGTTCGCCTCCGCTAGGTTGGGCTTAAATAAGCTACCTATCAGAGCATTTGCAGGAAACCTATCTTCAAATATCTCCCAGCGAAGCACGGTGTCTGCACTGGCAGGGTGCTGTGGGATTTGTAAGAAGTCTCGCGATGGCTCAGGGGCTTGGGATGATTGCGGTGGGACGTTGATGGAGGATGGTGTGTGTACTGGCACTGTTTGCCTGGCAACATTGGCAGAAGGCCCGGAGGCTTGTCCTTCGTCTTCGGAAGTCAGTGTAACGCTGTGGACGCTCAAGTACGAAGTTTCTCACCTCGAGAATGTATGAGATCCCGGAGACCGGCGAGCTCAGAGCTTAGATACTCGAACTTTTGCAGCAAGGTAGTTGTGACGGTTTCTAGACTGAGGGCAGACTGGATGAGCAGGATCTATACAATGGCGGGGCCTCTCCCTTACGTTAATTTCTCAACTCCGTCTTCCACGTATTTGCAAACCTGACCGCCAGCGTCGCATATGGTACAAGCGGGTCGTTTTTTATCGCATTTGATCTTGCGGAGCCGACACGGCTGACAGGCAGCTTGTCGTCTCTGCGGGGTCTGCGGTGAAGCGATACATTAGAGCTCGCCCAGTATGCATGTATAAGGACAGAAACTCGTCCGTACAGCATTATCGAAGGTATCCTTGTTTCGATTGCGTACTTACCGTGTTAATATACGTATCATCCTGCCGCTGTCGCTTTGAGGGGGGCCGTACATGCTCATTGACAGCGGCGGGGCTGTGCTGGCCGGCGGTCGCAGGGCTGCTTTCTGGGGACCCCGGAGACATGATGCGGGAGGACGAGTCTGGTCAAGGAGCAGCTGGGTCGCTTGCGAAGAGGTCCTGTTCACGAGCAAGAAGGTGAGTCCAAGCTGATGATAAATTGGACGTCGTTGAGAAAAACCAGTGCGTGAGTGGTGCGGCAGTACGGCGAGCCCGACCGAAAGCCCCGAGCTGGGCGTTAGTTCGCATTTATAGGCGGAGGCGTGGGGTGGCGCTTTACTTTGCTGTGGGGAGTGCGAGGAAGTGTAGTCGCCCAGGTCGCGATCCAGGCTCAGGCGATTTCTGGGGATGGATGCGAAGATGAATCCAAATCATGAACAAAAAAAGGAGCGTTTCTGGAATGCGATTGAAATTGGACGCCCGCAGTTGGTTATGTAATGTCGCCTGGGGTCCGCCAGCTGATAGGGAGAAACAGGTACCAACGTACCAGCAAACGAAGCAAGTCTCGTTTCCTTCTTCCACCTCCACCAACTCTTGCGAACAGCCCACCTCAGGATCTACGGCTTCATCTTATTTGCTGGGGCCTCAACCATGTGTTACCCGACGAACCTTCTGTCACCGCACAGATGATTTCCCCAGACTCTCCACGCTGCGGTAGTAGCCGGCAGAGGTAAGTACTTATACAAGCGTCGCGTTGCCTGACCAAGGCCTGACCCTGTCAAGCCACGAAGAAAAACTGTAAATTACAAGCAACGGCAATGGGGCTTGCCATTCGGAGTCCACGATCTTGATTCGCGCGGCTACTCAACGCCACGGCTCGACTCGCTGACTCGGGGACCCAGGTCCAGCTCCCCGACACCAGTGCGCTCCCCGGGAAGCGGCTAGCTCACACCATGTCATTTGATGCCCCAGAAAATAGGCGGCGAGAGCAGGCGGCAAGAAAAGCTGGGGAATGACGCTTTTATTCTTCTCCGAACTGGGGCTCGGAGATCCAATTACCTGTTTTCTCGTACCAGCCGACCGGTTTCCTGCTGGTAGGGCACTGACAGGTTCTGGCTATTTAAACCGCAACATCGCCTGCGTCCTCTTATCGTTGGACTCGAACTAGCCTCGACTATATTTTTGGCTGGGACTTGTTTTTAAGTTCCCCCACATGCTCCTACTTTGATTCAAAAGGCTTGAACGCCCCCTTCTATCTCTGGTTGATCAATTACACGCTCATATCCTCACAATGGTCGACTTCAAGGCCTTGACCGACAAGCACAATGTCGCTCACAAGCTGTACAAGAGCTCCTTGCTCAACACAGTCTGCCTTGTCGCTGGCCTTTCCATCTTTTTCTTTGGCTACGATCAAGGTCTGATGGGCGGCGTGAATACAACACGAAATTATGCCGAAACTATGGGCTTTGGACACTGGGACGAAGATCAGGGCATCGTCGTTGTGGAAAAGCCACTGTTGCAGGGCGGCATTGTAAGTTCACGCACTGCAATCGTATGGCATCGGCTGACCGTCTAAGGTTGCTGTCTACTATCTCCCTGGCACCCTTGCGGGCTGCCTGCTAGGCGGCTGGATGGGTGATCGTTATGGTCGCATTACAACCATTGGTCTTGCCTGCATCTGGTGTATCTTTGCCGCTGCGCTTCAAGCAGCTGCCCAGGATGCTAATTGGATGTTTTGCGCACGCGTGCTCAATGGCATTGGTACCGGTATTCTTAACGCCATCACCCCAGTGTGGGCCACCGAGACTGCCGCCCACACCTCTCGTGGCCAGTTCGTTGCCTTTGAGTTTACTCTCAATATTTTTGGCGTTGTTGTGGCCTATTGGCTGGAATTGTGAGTCTTCGATAGAAGATCTTCTTACTCACACTAACATATTCACAGCGGCACTTCCAAGTACCACGATCCAGAATCGTCCTTTATTTGGCGCTTCCCTGTGGCCTTCCAGATTGTGCCACTTGTTCTGCTTCTCGCAGTCATTTGGTTCATGCCCGAGTCACCTCGCTGGCTGGTCAAAGTCGGGCGCGAGGAAGAGGCCCGCTTCATCCTTGGCCGCCTGCGTGGCAACGAGGGTGAGGAAGGCAAGGCAGCCGAAGCAGAGCTCCAGGACATTATAAATATTAAGAATCTTGAAAACGAGACATCAGAACAGCAGAGCTACTTACACATGCTTTTCGGTGTTGGCTCTGGAAAGCTGCATACCGGTCGTCGCGTTCAGCTTGTTATTTGGCTTCAGATTCTTCAGGAGTGGATTGGTATTGCGGGCATTACCATCTACGGTCCTCAAATCTTTACCATTGCTGGAATTGGGGCGTCTGACCGTCTTTGGGTCAGCGGCATCAACAACATTACATACATGGCAAGTTGACAGAATGAGCGAGCAGAATGCAGCGACTAACACTACGCAGTTTGCTACTCTTATTTGTGTGTTTACCCTTGACCGAATTGGTCGTCGCTGGACTCTATATTGGGGCGCCGTTGGCCAAGGTATCTGCATGTTCGCCGCTGGAGGTCTGGCGCGAGCCACCATCAACGCCTCTGACTCGAACCGCGCTCAGATTGGCGGCGCCGCAACATTTTTTGTATTCCTCTATACCGCGATCTTTGGCGCTACCTGGCTGACTGTGCCGTGGCTGTATCCCGCCGAAATTTTCCCGCTCCAAGTTCGCGCCAAGGGCAATGCCTGGGGCGTTGTTGGCTGGTCCATTGGCAATGGCTGGTGTGTAAGTACATTCACCCTTGGAAGAGAAGCTTGGCTACAGGGGAATTATCTAATAACAGTTTTACAGGTCCTCCTTTTACCTACAATTTTTGACAAGCTCAATGAAAAGACGCTATACATCTTTGGTGCCGTCAACGCGCTCAGTATCGTTGCCGTCTGGGCATTGTACCCCGAGTCCAACCAACGCACGCTTGAGGAAATGGATCTGGTGTTTGCCAGCGACAGTATTTGGACGTGGGACGCCGAGAGAAACTTTGCAAAGATCAAGGCTGAGAACCCGGATCTTATCAAAAGCCACAAGGACACACGCGGCGCTGATGACCCAGAGCGCGGCATCTTTGGGTCGCGACGCGCGAGCAAAGTTTCGACGACACGGCCTGGCGCTGAAAAGGAGACCAGAGTTGAGAATGTGGAAGATTCAACTACTTCAACTTAGTAATTTGTGGAAGTTTTTTGTAAACGTCCTAGCTTTCATGCCACCGTCAAATTTAGTACACCCCGCTTGAGCTTTTTCTATCGTTCAAGGAACTCGCCAGGCACGCAAGGCACGGCATTCTTTACATCACAAGCGACTAGTTGGATACTGTGAAACCCTTTTATAGGCGATTCATTGTGCAATTATCCTCTCATAATAGTCCCGCGACTGAAAGTTCTCTCTGTCGGGCACGACATGCCCTCATCCATTAGGAACAGGTGGCGTGGAGTCGCATGTATGAATTGGTCGGCTCTGAACAAAAGGCGGATACTCTGGTGAATACACCCCAAGTGAACTAGGTGCTCCATATCATTCCAAGGTCTGTCCCCGTTATACTCTAGACGCCTGTCAAGTCGACCCCTGCTCGCGCAGGAGCCGGCTGTGGCGCTCTTGCAGCACCCAAAACACTCAGCCTGATGAGCATTTATTTTTGGCTATCTACAGTTTGAATGAAGCACGACAATCTATTGGACACTAATAGTCCCTCAACTATATGCAAGCCGCATATTACATGTCATCGAGGGCGCGTATAGATGCAGCTCGACCCCCTCGCCTGCGTGAGACATCAATCAACAGACAGATACAGTGGCTAACTGAGAGGATTAACATACTGTACCAAGCCTAGTCTGGGACGGGTGCATTGCTGCCCAAAAGGCCATTTCGCCTGACGCGGATTTTGAACCTCCTCGGCTTCTGAAGAGCCCTTTTTTAGAGCCCAGACCCTCGTCGCCTCTGGATAGTGATTCAAAGCAAAATACCGCAGGCAAACACGAGCGAGGGCAGCACAGAAGCAAATCAGTCGAGGTCGAGGTAGTCATTTTGATAGTCGGGAGCGAACTGGTCTCTTCACCATGTCTCCAGTGCCTTCTCTCGAACGGAAACAATATACCGATTATACTGTGGGGTGGGTTTGCGCCTTGGTCAAAGAGCAAACCGCAGCGACAGCTCTTCTCGACCAGCGACATGCTGATCTTCGAAGTCCACCGAACGACACAAACACATATACCTTAGGGTCAATTGGAGAACACAATATAGTCATTGCCTGTTTGCCTATGGGCTCGCCAGGCAACTGCTCAGCGACGCAGGTTGCGGCATCAATGATTCAAACGTACACGCAAATCAGAATTGGATTGATGGTTGGCATTGGTGGAGGCATTCCTTCGAAAGTCAGACTTGGTGATGTGGTCGTCAGCACGCCAGTCGGCAAATACTCCGGAGTGGTTCAGTGGGATCTCGGCAAAGCAGAAAGCGGTGGAAGCTTCAGGGAGACCGGGTCGCTGAATAGACCGCCCACGATTCTGCTCACGGCGTTGACAAAGCTACGTACAGATCATGAACTGTATGAGCCAGCATATCACAACTATTTGCTAGACCTGAAGACTACATATCCCCGGCTAGATAAGTACGTCTGGTCTGAACGCCTAAAAGATCCTTGGCGTGCGGCCGACGCAGAACCAACGACCGACAGAAATGAGAGGACAGAAGACTTTGTTACAGGCGTGTGCAGCCAGAGAGAGGAGAAGGACTTCAGAATCATTTTTGGTCTGATCGCATCGGGTAACCAAGTGATCAAGGATGCGGAGCTTCGCGATAAGATCAGCCAACGCTATGAAGGAGAACTGCTATGCGTGGAGATGGAAGCAGCGGGTCTCATGAACGAGTTTCCGTGTCTTGTTATCCGTGGCATTTGCGACTATGCAGATGAAAGGAAAAATGACGATTGGCAGGAGTATGCTGCAGCCAGAGCGGCGGCGCTCGCCAAGGACCTCCTCTATCACGTTCAGTCAACTGAGGTAGAGGGACAGCGTGCGGTGAAAGACGTCATTACTAAAGGTCAGTTTGTTTTCTCAAGACATTCGATTCGTTTATTACAAATGCTGAGTTCTGACCCTGGCTGTAGTCCAAGAAGTTCAAGATGCTGTAGCCATCATTGAACACAGCACAGACTATGCTCGAAAGAGGCTGCGCCAGGAGGAGCATAATAAACTCCTTAGTTGGCTCGCAGATTTCAACTACGGTTCAAAACAGAGTGATCACAAGGAAGAGACACAGGAAGGAACCGGAATCTGGATCCTTGAGTCCCACGACTTCCAGCATTGGCTGAACACGAAGAAGCAGACCTTGTTCTGCGAAGGCATGCCCGGTGCTGGGAAGACGAAAATGACGTCCATCGTTGTCGACTCTCTGGAGCAGCAGTTCGCAGCGGACCCAACAATTGGGATAGTCTATGTTTATTGTTATTTCAAGGAGAAACGAATGCTTGGCGACTTGCTCGCAAGCTTGTTGAAGCAGCTGGCCTCCGGTCGTATGGGTCAACTTAAGGGAATCGAAGTGTTGCGCGATAAACACAGTCCAAAGGGAACCCGGACATCGCCTGATGAGCTATCAGAACAGCTCCATTTAATCACGCCGACGTACTCCAGAGTATTCATTCTGACCGATGCGCTGGATGAATGCGATTTGCCTGGCCGTGATCTTTCAAGGCTAGGCAATGAACTCATTAAGTTGCAAGAAAGCTACAACGTACATATTTTTGCAACGTCGAGGCATGATCCAAAAATCAACAAGCACTTCCAAGCTGGTAAATTTGCCGAAATCAGGGCAAGCGATAGCGATGTGGCCAAATATCTCGAAAATCGCGTTAATGAGATGGCGTCTTTGGCCAGACAAGACAAGGCACAAATTATAACCACCATTACTGAAGCTGCTCAGGGAATGTACATATGTCGTCCCCCGCCTGGTCACAGAGAAGGCACTAATGTCCATAGGTTTCTATTAGCGGAGCTCTTTATCAAGTCCCTTCCCGATCCTATGACACCGAATGACATCCGACGGTCATTAAGTGCCCTCCCAAAGCGACCGGGACCGTGGTGGTCGGACAGCAGTCGCCCTGATCGCAGCATTCTCACTGAAGCGTACGAATATGTGATGGATAGAACCCGTCAACACTCGAAAGAAAGGCTGGCACTTGCAAAGAGTGTACTTTCATGGCTCGCGTCCGCCGCGCAACCGCTCCAAGCAACAGAGCTTCAACATGCTATGGCGACGAAGCCGGGAGCGACGAAGTTCGATTTCGGGGATCTAATCAGCACCACAGACCTAGTTTCAGCCTGCGCTGGGCTCGTGGTCTTTGACAAAAACAGCGGCCGTGTTAGGCTGGTTCACCACACGGTGCAAGATTACTTTGATCAAGCGCGGTCGGTCCGTTTCCCCGACCCGCACCCGAGTATCTTGGAAACATGTGTGACATACCTCACCTTCGCAGAATTTGCGACGCATATCGATATTTGTCCCCGGGATTATCGCACTTGGCGAGAGCAGTATCCATTCTCTAGGTATGCCGCGGAGTTCTGGCGTTTCCATGCTCGTCCCGATTCAATGCCAAGTGACGCATTCATAAATCTCCTCCTAAAGAAAGCCAAGGTAAATGCGATCTACCAAATGATGGAATTTGGAAGCCAGGAGAGACGGACGTTAAACCCTACGGGCTGCAACATGAGGGGGGTTCATTTAGCATCATATTGTGGGCTATCAAGAACCGCCGAAGTATTGCTTGCAAGGAGAGAAAACGCAACTCACGAAGACGCCTATGGGCATACGCCAATGTGGTATGCGGTCATGAAAGGGAACGAGTCCATCATTGACCTACTTTTAGCAAACGGGGTCGATCCCAACGGTCCAGTCACACGTTGGGGGGTACTGCGCTCTATATCGCCACGGAAGCTGGCGATATTCGCGTTGTCAAGAAGCTGCTAGAGGAAGGGGCCGAGGCAGACGCCAGACCAGCAGAGGCAGGGCCAACTCCATTGATGACAGCCCTGGAGCTCGAGAAACGCAAGATTGTCGAACTGCTAATAAAAGCTGGTGTCAATGTTAACGCTATGAGAAACCCGACCCTGATTCGCTAGCCTCTCTAGGGCTTCCAATTGTACATTACTCGTTCAATGGCAAGAGCGGGACCTGATTTCGACCGGTATGCTCCTGTTAAAAGCGCTGTACGAGGAACTCCCCTACAGGCGGCCTCGCGGGATGGCGTTCTCAAGCTCGTTGAGAGACTGTCAAAAGCGGGCACTGATGCTAATGCTGCTGCTGAATGTGGCCCAAAAGGCAGGACCGTACAACAAGCAGCTTCTGAGAATGGTCATGTTCGAGTTAGAGAAAGTTGGGACGCAGATTTCGATTAATTAAATACTGCATTGAGAAGCAAGAGTGGATTTCTGTTAGCTAGGCATTTGATGAGGTGTGGCTTGGATGTGAGCCTATCGCGGCGGAAGTATCTTGATCAAGAGTTGAATTCATCAGTATATACGGATCATATATGGTAACTAGAGAGAAGAGAAGCAGATCGGTCCGTCTCGCAGCAGCAGCGCCCGAGTCATCATCCACTAGGAATCTCCAACCATGAGAGACTATTCCTTACTGCCAGGCAGTTACTGGGACTGGTCGTTCTGGGCCAGCAGGTTCCGCGAGGTGGAGTGGATGCCCGTGATGGCGCCCCGGACCGCGAGGCTCTGGAGATGCGCGCAGACGTCCTGCGCGCGCATGCCGCGTCCCATAAAGTACGCGCCCAGACCGGCAATGTGCGGGCTCGCCATCGACGTGCCGCTCATCAGCCTGGTGCCGCCGCCGATCGCCAGACTGGTGATGTCCACGCCCGGCGCGTGGATGTCCACCTTGGGACCGTAGTTGGAGAAGTACGCGATGCGGTCGTTGGAGTCGGTCGCGCCGACGGTGCAGGCGGCCTCGGCGGAGGCGGGGGTGACGCGGGAGGCGTCGATCGGGTAGACGGGGCAGGTCGGGCAGTCGCGGCGGCCGTTGCCGGCGGCGACGGCGACGAAGATGCCGCCGTTGACGAGGTTGCGGATGGCGTCGTCGGTGGCGGGCGACGAGCCCTCACCGCCGAGGCTCATGTTGATGACGACGCCGCGGGGGCAGTTGCGGTTGCGGGAGTCCTGGACGACGAAGTCGAGGGCCGTCACGACGCCGTCGCGGGGGGTCTGGCACAGCTGCGTGGACGGGTTGTAGTTGAGGATCTTGACGCCGAACAGCGACGTCCTCTTGGCCACGCCGTAGGTGTTGCTTCCGATGGTGCCGGCGACGTGGGTTCCGTGGCCGCTGCAGGCCGTGCTGTCCTGGTTCGGGCCGTTGAAGGACCGGATCTGCTGGGCGCGTCCACCAAAGTCCTGTGCCAAGGTGATTAGAAAGGCTCGGGGGCTCCGGGTCTGCGGCTGGCTTGGAACTTGTACTTACAGGGTGGGAGGCGTCAACACCGCTGTCGATGATGTAGCTGCAGGTTCCAGCTCCTGTGGACATGATGTCAGCAGCCTATTTCCAAACCATCCAAGGGGCGCCCTAGCCCCCAAGTATCTCCATGAAGATGGCCCTCTTACCGGCAGAATCATCGTAGACGTATCCCCTGGCGCCGGTGGTTGGGCTGGAGAGGCGAGCAAGACCCCATGTAGCCGGGCTCTGTGTGACGGGAGCGAAAGCCACCGCGATGGTGTTTTGCTCCACATACTCGACCTACAAGGTGGTGATCAGCATTCAAACCTCTTCTATTAAGAAAGGTCTGGGGTCAAAAGCCAAAGAAGGACAGAGACGTACATCCGGGTGATCGCGGATGAGCTGCAGCGTCTCGGCATCCAAGCGGCCGGCGAAGCCCTTGAAGACCTCACGGAAGACACGGTCGGTGCCGTTGGGCAGCTTCTTGACGGCCTCCTCGACGGTGGCGAGGGAGCAGCCCTTCTTGAACTTGACAATGTACTCGTCGGCGACGATCTTGTCCTGGCTGATACCACGGGGGACCACGAGCGGCGCGGGCTCGGATCGCTTAGCGGTCGGGACGGCCGCCGCAAAGGGCAGGAGGGCGAGGAGGAGTGACAGCTGCATGGTGGCGGTTTTGGACAGGAAGTCTTGCTCGTATCAATGGAATGGTGAAGATCTGCTTGCTGATGCTGAAACGGATTCTGGCATTCCACGGGGAACAGAGCTCCTATTTATCTACGAGGCCAGTCTTGCCAAGATTTGAGGAACAGCTTCAACAGTATTATACCATGATGGAGAATATTTCGTCCCAGTCAAAGCACCTCTCCACGACGCACGAGTAACTTCACCTCACCTTGATAGTCACCGTCCAGTAGCAGGCAGCAACTGACAGTTCCAAAACCTGGACCAAGACCACACACAGCCTCGGAGGTTTGCGCACCTTCCCAAATCTCACAAAGCTTTGTCAAAGTGCGCGTCCAACATGCCTCGGCGTTGGTCCACGAAGTCTGATCACTTCCGTAGGAGGAAGCTCATAGCCGGTCCTTGATGAATGACACCACTGCCAATACGTTGCAAGCTTCGCTTGGCAAAAGCTCACTAGAGTTCTAGATTTGGGCGGCAGACTGTCTCCCGCACACGGGCAATTGAGTTTGATCTTAGCGGCCGAGTGTCCGTTGCCACGGTCTCTTAGATCTGTCAACTCAGCTTTGACACAGCGAACATTGCAAACCGGGCTTGAGCCAAAATACACAATTTTCGCATTTTTACGAATTGATTTTCGTCAACGTAACCCATTCCAGAGCCAACAATCCAACAGACAGACACGCAATTGCCGCAGGGCATTGTCTCGTCCTTGTTTGAGCAATCAACCCGCGCCCCTTATCACAACTTGGCTCATTACACCAAATCCAGTTGCCTAATCCATTATAGGGCCCCTTGGCCATTTAGCTGGGTTAGGCATTATTTTCCGGCCTCCCTGGCCTCTTTGTCCTCTTGGCAGCGCCGAAACTCCATCCAATCGTCTTAGCGCGTCCGCAGCGACCTTCCGGGAAAAGGCAATGTCAAGACTTTGTGGATTCGACGGACCAGCTGGGGCTGGTGTATCTTCAGTCTGTGCTTCCAGCATGTGTGACTTGTAGAGAGAGACCTTTTCTTTACTCAAAAGGGAGGCTCGGACGCCGCCGCCGCCGCCGCCGCCGCCGCCGCCACCTCCACAAGCTGAAGATGAGATGCGGGTGGCACACCAGCAAATCTATGCTTATCTTTAAGACAAAGTGTCGGCCGACTTTAATTTCACTAGTTATTGAAAGCTCTCAAGGTTGTTAGCCTCGTCGCTAGCGAACGCGATCAGCCTTCATGATATTGAGCTTGCGAAGTGGGAAACTTGCGGGAAGATCCGGCAACCCTTCCTTCTACTGACTTTCACAAAATAGGCATTGCAGCTATATAAGTTGAGAATTTTTCCATGGCCATCGTGAAATCACAATTTGACTAACAATCGAGCATCTCCAAGTACGTCTAATTCGTTTTGTGCCGAACATGGACGGTTCGCGTCGGCGAGAGATATCTCGAGTAGACAAGGTTTCGCGACATGTCATACCTTGGCGTGCGCAATCGTCCAAATGTAAGCCATACCGTTCTGGCTTGAGATTTGTCTTGGTATTAGTTAAAGCAATGACTAAAATAAGCCGCCATCCCGGCTGAGGCGTTGAGGCGGAGGTGCCAACTCCAACAACGCCATGTCGAACTTAATCTTGCTGATTGACCATAACGGTGCTTGAAAACGATACCGAACCAGACATAAAATGGGAGGTCGTTGAAATCGATTAATTATAGTGTCAATGTATTATGTAAATATGTCATCATAACCCCCAGCCCTTGTCATCCTCGCCTGCCAGCAGCACCCTACTCCCTCCCTCCTCTCCTCCCTCCTCCTCCCCCTCCTCCTCCTCTTCGCCGTCGCCAACTTGCCTCACACCGGCACCATCTCCTCCCCGTCCACCTCCGGCAAGCCCTCCTCCTCGAAGACCAGGCAGTGCGTGTTCCCTTCAAAGTGAAAACATGCTCGCCTCTGCGCCCTCCTTCAGATACCGCCCTCCTCGACCGTCACGTCGCACTTGCTGACCTCATCCACGCTGATGCCCACAAACGAGACCAGCCGGCCGTCCTCGCCGTCCGCCTCCAGCAACGCAACATCACCGCGCGCGTCACATGCCCCTGCCCGCCCCGTGTCCATGTCCGCGACCGTCCGGGTCGCCCGACCCCTCGAACAACGGAGATGCCCGTCGAGCACACGGACACGCTGGCGCACTACGCCCGAAACAGGGCGGCCCTGTTCCAGCGGCGGTACGACAGCGCGGACAGGAAACGCGATGCCCCGCCGGCGAAGGAGAAGCCGCGATGCGGGGTTGTTAGTGCGCCGAGCATGTCCGAGCAGCGAGTCCTGCCAGTCCTCTTGAGCAAAGACGCGATCGTCGCCGCGGCCGGACAGCAGGTCTGCACGTTGACGACACTAGACTCGCAGGCGTCGGCGGTGACGGCGTCGTCAGGGCCGGCTGCGGGGCGCCGCGTCGTCTTGGGCCCGGTTCGGGTTAAGAGGTCTACGTTGCTGCCAGTTGCGGTGTCTCTTTTCGCTAACCCTTCCCCCTCCATTCTAGAATTCCGCCCACGCCAATCTCGCTCGGGGGGTGAGAAGGTACCCGTCCCCAAGACTTGTACCCCATGGGCCTTGGCCGCCGGCTCGCACGCAAAACATCTGCTCGAAGCCGTGGTCGGACCGGCACGACGCGCCGAACATCTGCGTGAAGTGCATGTACACCCGCGCGCTGCCCCCTCAGTCAGGTCTCAGATCTCGCCCAACACGTGGGGGTCGGCCCGTCGACCGCGTCCGTGGACGGCTCGGCCGGGCGTTCCAGGGCGGAGACCAGCCACCTCGGCGAGGCACGCTGGTGGATGCGGTGGTCGGCAGGCAAGCCACGCACCGGACCTTGAGGCTCTCGCGGTTAGCGGATCTTCCCATATTGTTGAGAGTAAAGAGAGCATCGTAGCTGCGTACTTGTGTCTCCGATGCTCGAAGGGAATGTCGTTTTCGATCGTCGTGCTCGTGAGCCACGGTCGCTGTGGAGAATGCAAGACGCACTGCTTCAACAACAAATTTTATTCTTTTAGTCAGGTCACGGTTCTTTCCAATTTGCAAGTAAATCTAGCTTCTGCTCTATTTATACACATCTTCGGCTCGATGCCGCGCTGCAAGTAACCCGGCGCAAGATGCCGAGAGCTTGGCGATGGCGATGACGTACATGACCAGCGCCTGCAGCCTTAGCCGTGCAACCGACATACTGGCAGCGGCAACCTTGCTGATCTCACCATTGTAGACACCATTATCGATGCGAGTCGGCTGAAGTATTCAAGGCACTAGCACCGTAAATTTTTTTTTAACTGCGCCACTCTTCTTATTGCACGTCTGCTCGTCCACGACATTGTCTATATGACTGACTAATCGACCGCGACGGAACCCGCAATCGGTAGCTACCCTGTAGATCGTTCTGACAATGCGGCTCGGCAGACATCTCCATCTGTAGAGGTTCATCAGGCTTCTAGATCATGTATCTAGTAGTGCACAGGGTCAAAAGGTTCTATTCTTACAACAGACTACGATGATGGTCAAGGTTCTCACTAAACCGTCAAGATCAATGGCGCTTTACGCATCTTCACCACACACGGGTCAGAGTTTTGTATTTGCCCTCTAGACCAAGTGAGTGCAGGCGGCACAGGGTCTCACAAATCGATGATATTGTACGCTTCCCATGCCTGTACCAGATATTGAGAAACAGCCTACAGCCTACAGCCTACATGCTACATGCTTGGTTGTACATCGTACTTTGTCTCTTCTCCAGAAGCCACAAAGATGCCGTTTCACACTGCTTGGAAAGCGCTCTACTGGCGTTTTCATTCTAGCTCTCTCAGGGACTGGTTACTTGTTTCAGGATCCTACAGTAGACTACAATGAGAAAGGCTGGACCAGGAGCTGGGCTCCTGTGCCCCAAGCCCAGTACTAGCAGATGGTCCGTTGCTGCCTAGGCCCGCCGCTGCGACCACATTTGGCTTCCCCGCAGGGTGCCGGAATGTGACTAAGGCCTTGTACGCCGCTTCATTGGGCACGACAGCGGCTTGCCAGCGATTGGTAGGTGTGTGGTGAGCCATTCCTAGTGACCACACTGGAGGGTCTTGCTCGTCAGGGTGCCATCGGCCCAAGGAGCAATAGTTTGCCGATAGGATGAAAGTCGGGATGACATTCAGCACCAGTAGCATGGTAAGGGGCAAAGCGCGTTGGGGCGGCGCTGGGACGGGGAAAGTGACAATCGCGTGTCCTACGCTTTGAAAACATGAATGCAACAGTTGCTGAAATGAGATATGACCAGGACAACGAATCCGGACCAGATCATGCACTCTGTGCTACCTGAACTGACACCAACGCTCGCAAAAACGGGCTTTCTTGTCGTATCTGCCAGCATCCGTATCTCAGTCCGTCAAAAAACAAGGCATTTGTGGATTATTGTCTGTGGACCATACACCAAAAGAGAATGGATGACAAAGGTGACGCAAGAGCAAATGTTGTGAGATACTAATGCCAGTGCGCCATCATCGTTTCTCGACGTGCTCTGGTCAAGCGCTATGAGATCGAGCACAGGATCTAATTGATCAAGCGAAACTATGCCCTCCAAAGACCCTTGCCCTTATCCCGACGAGCGCACTCACGGTAGTGGTAATACCGATGGTGATGATGAGAATCAGAATACAGAGCCAAGATCAGGCGGCAGAGTCTTGTTTGATTTTTCGATCCATGTGCTTGTTCCCGCGGTCCTCCTTTGGCATGTATGTACGTCAGCGGTGTATGGCAAAACTCACTTTCTAGATCAGGCTTCGAATTGTGCTACCGCAGCCCTAGCCCAACAAGGTTTGATTGATCTGTAACAGAAAGATCCTCGTGTTTTCTGTTCGTACGACGTTGGACATTGCTGCACCACTGCCATTTCGAGCCCAAGGCAGTTACGAGGTCCAACCCTGTGCCATTTTACAAGGAAATTGTCAACTGTACCCCGTCATTGCACGATCAAATATTA